AATTAAAATGTATTAGTAAAATTAGATACACTTGAAGACTCCATAATTGAAAGACCACCTCCTTTTTTTAAGATTCCATCTTAAACCTCCCTTGATACCCACTTAACCCTCTCAACGATTTCTTAATAAAAACTTTTAGAGCTGCCAATTCGAAACTGATTTATGCGCCGCCGTTGCCGCCCATTTGATTAACAAATATTGGAACAGCCCACAGCCAGGGCAATATAAAAATGGGTGTATTGTATTTTTATTATTTTTATGCCGATTATAACAATACGCATTTTGGCAATAACAAAATGCATAGCGCCAGCCGAAATTCGCCGCGGGCAAAATGAGCAATCCGTGGCGAAGGAGAAGGGGAAGAGGTTCGAAGTTCCAGCCAGGACATTAAAGACCCGCAAGGAGTCAATGGGGAACTAGAACCAGGATCAGGACCAGGGGCAGGGGCATCTTTCGGCCTGTCATGCCTCGCAGGCCGCTGGCCACGTGCCGCGTCAAAGTCTCCATCGCGTGTTACATCATTCATACGTCATTAATGGCCACGTGTCTGACTTCCAGTTGTTATTGTAGGCAGGGCCATTTCGGTGTTTACAGCCTTGCAAGGCGAATAAATATTAGCAGCTCTCTCTGTCTGGCCGGGAGGCTATCTCTATCTGTGCCCTGTCTCTGTCTCCCTCTGTCTCTTCAGGCTTGATAAAACAAATCGCGGCGCTGATTGCGTTTCTTATTAACTGCTGTGGGTGGTTGGCCAGGACAATATGCTCCCTGTCTTTCCTGCACTTTCAGAAAAATTATAAAAAACTAAAGATAAACTAAACAATTAATACAAAATTTCTGAAATAAATTTCCTTCCTTAGATAGGGTCTATAAAAACATATTTCAATAATTCTTCATATTTTAAAACATTAAAATAATGTTTGCATGTAGGTACATAGCATTTTTTTAAAATTTGTATTTGTGTTTAAGATTAATCAATTTGTGAAAATGTTTATATATGTATATGATGCTTTAATTTATTTAAACTAAGAGTTAATTAATTTAATTTATATGTAGAAATTCAACGAATTTGTTGAGTTTCTTTTACAACATTTTAGTCTCGAAAAGGGATCTTATGAAACACTTTTTCCACTAAGAATCTTGCTGTATTTTTCTCAAAGTGTAGGTGGTGTCGTCATGTTTGTCTTGACGCTCCGTTGAATATTTTGGCTGCACACACAAAACAAATGGCCAGGCGCCTGATGCATTGATTGTCCTGATGGGGCACTGGGATTTTGTGGGTGGCTGGTGGCGAAATCCAGCCAAAGACACACAGATGGTGCAATGGCCAATGTGTTGTGGCTTAAAGTTAACTTAAAACACTTGACTTGTGGGCGGCACCCAGGGGGCGAGAACTAAAGGAACCGCAACTTCGGGGCGGCGGAAATGTTACGGCGGCGCAAAATGGCGGAAATCGCACAACAAAAGAAATTAATTTAAAGTTTTTCGCCCAAAAGCGTGAAAATGAAATTACATAATGAATGCAATTAAAATGTTAAGCCAAGCTGAGACACACAAACAAGCGCACACATGGGAGAAAAAAAGCTTTTCCTTTTCCCTCGCTTTGGCAGAGCAAACATTTTGAGCAAGTGAAACTTGGTTTTCCTCTGGCAGAGAACAGCAAATTGCTATTTAGCCATTTTAGATGCCATTAGCACACACACACACATGAACAACTTGAGAGCTTATGGAGGGTGGTAAGGTGGTTGGGGGGATGGGAAAAGTAGGGGGCTTTCCCTCTAGCTACGTTTATTAAATAACTGCGTGTCAAAGCAACGCATACAGCACCAATACCCAGGCAGAGTCACAAACTAGCACACCCACACATCAGTAGTTGCCTTGACTTGCTAAACATTTCCCTTTGAATGTTTGCCCATGTATGGGTACGGTGTGTGGCTGTGTGTGCGTGGGTGAAAAGCGAAATTTGTTTTTAACTAAAATTAAATAGAAGTGTAGGGAAAAGGTCAGCCAATCGAATACTTTATACTCATTTTATCAACAGAATTAAATGAGATATTGTATTAATTTTAATTTCTCTAGAAATTTTCGTATTTTTTGTGAGTTTACCAGTTAAAAGTGGTTAAAAGAGTAGATTTTCTTTTTTTATTAATACAAAAAGCGCCGTAAATAAAGATATACTCAAGAACTTTTGACTATCTGTGCTTTTTAATAGATTAGTATTGAACCACTTTAAATAAATTGCCCAATCAGTACAATTCAAAACCTTTTTTGTAACCTATGTATTTCGTTTTACCCACCTGTAATTCATTATTTTAATTAGGTAATGCTTTTAATTTTTCAATTTAAGAAAATATTTTGAATATTCGTTTTGATAACCGAAATTAGAATAATATTTAATTTTCTATTTAAGAAAATATTTTGAATATTTGTTTTGATTACCGAAATTAGAATAATATTTTTATGTTTTTACACTTTTGAGTACACATTTCTTATCGTAATATTTTTAAGCTACGCAGCTCTTTTTAGTCTTCCTCCAGCATTTTTGTAGGGTATTGAAGGAGCATAATAGAGCAAAGCAAAGAACACAATAAAAAAGGAAGCGAGCTAAGCTTTTCGTCTGTTTGTGTGAGTGAGGAACTACAATTTGTTCGTTGACGCCTATGAATTAGCCCGACCGCCCACGAGGATACACAAGGATATGCAGGAGGAAAAGAGAGAGGGGGAAAGGAGGGGTTCGAATGGCCAGCGGCAAAGGCTGAGCAAAAACAATTTCAATGGGAATTCAAAAATTAATTAAGCCAGCCCAAAAGGCAAAAGGCAGCTGTGTAGATGAGTTCGTCAGCTTGTGAGTGTGTGTGTTGGGTATCGAGTGTGTGTGGGTGCTTCGGTGTGGGTCTGTCATTTTCTGTTGCCTGCTTCGTGGGGCAAGAAGAAGGCGAAGGAGTTTTGTGGAGGAGGAGGGAGGGTGAGTAGGGGGGCAGAGCCACAATTGCACTTGAGCAGCTGCAGCGAAGTTGACGTCGACGCCAACGCATGTGCACCACCCAGAACCGCCCAACCACCGCCCCTTAACCCACCTGACCCGCACTCTTACTACCCTCCTACCCCCAACCCCCAAACAGTCAAAGCCTTTCACAATCAACTATTGTTGATTTCTCCTACGAATGCCAGCAGCAGGCAGCTCCAACTTCTCGCGCATTGTTTTTGCCCACCCAAACCACCCAGCCACCCAATGCCACCTCCCCTTTTTGGGGCTTCGGGGGGTTGGGGGGTGGTGTTGTAGGCGAACGACGAAACGGTAATATCCTTGTGTTTGGTGGAAGGAAAAAGGAAGTGGATAATACATCCGTCCTTGTTGCTTCGTGTCACCCACTAAAAAGGCGATGCCACTTCTGGAAGCTCTGCCGCAGGAGCAGCAGCGCACGAGCGGCGGCAGCAGCGGCTGCATTGAGTGGCCCGCGAGAGAGACAGCACTAGTGTGCGCTGTGGGGAAAAGGGACGGAGTGTCCTTAGTCAAGTGGAAATGGTAACCTCCTACTGGGAGAGAGAAAAAGCTCGCGACTTGGAATCCAGAACTCGAAACCATAGAGATCATTTGCAATGGGTTTTGAAATATGAAACTCTAGGTATTCTCTTGCCTCGGCTCCTCAGCCATTTGCAAAAAGCTTTTACAGAGCAAAGTGCAAAGCTTTCGCTAGGCCACACCTCCACTCACCGCTCATTGGTGGACGCCAGTCGGCCAGTCGAGGGGGTGGCTGTGGATTAAAACCCTAAGTATATCCTGCAACGCAGGCAGCAGCGGCAGCGACAGAGGCAGCAACATATCAAGCCAGCCAGCAGCAGACCAACCCAGACAGACAGATAGATACACACCCGGGCAGCGAACCACCCACCCACCCACCAGCCACCACACACCACCCACCGAACGACCAACCAACCATCCAACCAACCAACCAGCCAGCCACCCCCAACGGCCGCAAAAACCAAAGCTAAGGGTTGGAGGCAGGACGTTGGCAGGACGAAGGCAGGATATGCGCGATTTGACGACGGAATGAAATCAATTGTTACGCTACCGTGCCACAGATCGGACGCAATCCGGTGTCAGTGCTCAAGCCCGATAGTCCATAGCCACAGCCAGGAGCATCCTTTCTTAGTCCCTCTTGGTGATTTACGCGATTTAACTCGATTTTACTCGATTCGCGCTCGGCCTATCTACCCACACAAATACGAACAAAAACCACAAGGACTTAAAAAATATCACGTATACGTTCGGGGGACATTGACACATATAAATCAGTTGGACACGCGAACGGCAGGCAGGTCGCCAAAGTGCATTGGAAAGTTCGGGCGGAAGTCGAGGTGTCCGGTAAACGGTAACCGGTTCCGATCGTCACTTTTCCCGTTCCCGTTCCTTTTCCTGTTCCGCTGCGCGTCGCTGCCCGTTTGCCTTTTTTAAACAAATTCAATTGCGGACACCACTTGGCGACGTCTCCGTCTCCGTGTTATTAGTTTCCGGCCTCCGGCGACCAATTTACCGCTTGCCAAAAAAAGCAACAAATAAAAAAAAGGAGAGAGTGCGAAAAGGACAGAGACCCAATAGCAATTTGAATTTGAATTTGAATTTCCAAACTAATTGTTGTGTGTGGGGAGTGGAAGGAAACGAAAGCCCAACCGAATCACCAAAAACCAAAAAACCAAAAGCCCAAACCCAACCGACGGCGACCACAATGCTGGACATCAAGTCCTCCGCCGATTACTTGTCACGCTCCACGGGCAGCTTCAGCAACTTCTCAATGCTCTTCGCAGGTGAGTGGGCGGTGTGTGAGCCAGCCCGACCGTCGGCCGCCTGGAATCCAAGTAATTAGACCAAGACTAAGACTAAGACTAGCCTAGCCCCCTAAGAAACTGCCGTCGGTTGACTGATACTGATAGATCGCACTTCTTGTGACTTTTCAGCAGAGTTCTTGAACTTTACTAAACCAATTGATTCTCTTCTATTGCAGATTCCTCGTACAAATCGTCGTGGGGCTCCCACAGTTCGACACAATCGCAAGGTGAGTTATGATCAAGTGATTAATTTAAAAGGCGAATTAGGGACTACAAAATTCGGGTCTAAAAGATTAAATTGAAATAATAAAATATCTGAAAACACGGTCAACCTTATGCAATAAATTTACAATTGTCTATAAAAAATAAAATGGCATGTTGGCAGCTAAAATATCTTTTTAACCAAACTAAAGATACAAAACACTTCACTACACAAAAAACGAAACGAAACGATTAGAAATAGATATAGTTATAGTTATAGCTAATTAATGATAATAGTTTTATTAAAATTTGTACGTGTGGAATAGATAGATAGATCAGCCCATTATCCATTACTATATCAAATAAAAACACCTCTTAACGAGGTAAAAAACTAGTGACGATCGCACCTTCAACATACAAAAGTTCTGATATCAACATTTGTGACGAAAAATTATTACACTCGTCATTAAATAGACTTTCTAATATTTTCTCATTCGGCCCGCCCTAGCAGACTATTCCAGCCTTTTTCCCTTCACAGGCATTTTCTATTGCAGCGTGCCGAATGAAAAAATATTAGAAAGTCTATTTAATGACGAGTGTAATAATTTTTCGTCACAAATGTTGATATCAGAACTTTTGTATGTTGAAGGTGCGATCGTCACTAGTTTTTTACCTCGTTAAGAGGTGTTTTTATTTGATATCAGAAGTTTTTGTTTGTTTACATTTGTTCTCATAGGAGCTAATATATACATTTAAATTTAAATTGGTCAATCATAATTTGTAAGCCATTGTATTTAAACAAATTAAGTTAAAAAGGCGTTTAAGTATTTCAAAATACCTTTTAAACGAGGTATGGCACATGTCTGTACCTTTAGTAGTGTAGAACTTACAAACTAACGAAATTTAGCCATTTTTAGCTTTTTTCCCGCTAAAGTAGCGGCTTTTTCCAAAAGTCGTAGAACAAAAGATTCCTATATGGAACTCTTAAGTGCAAATTTACTGATTCCATGACCCTAAAATACAGTTCGGATACCCACACACAAAATTCAATACTCAGGAAGCTTTAGTTGTTCGAGCTGGCAAAAGTGGATATTTTCGTATAAAAATAACTTTTAAACGTAACTTTTTACAGTAATGTGTTATATACCAAAATTTAAGGAATCTCAAGGGCTATACAGTTTTAAGTTTTCAAGAAAATCGTTAGAGCCGTTTTTGAGAAAAATAAAAAAAAGCTAAAAATAAAGTTTTAAAAAATTGTCTTTTGTTCATATCTTTTTAATTATTACATTTACACAAATTGCATGTAGAAGGCGTTTATAGCATTTAAAAATACCTTTCAAACAAGATGCAGCACAAGTCTGTAGCTTTAGTAGTATAGAAGTTACGGTTTTCCGAATTTTAGCTATTTATAGCTGTTTTCCCGCTAAACTAGCGAGTTTTTCCAAAAGTGGTAGAACAAAAGTTTTTTATATCGATGTGATGAACGTCATATTAAATTTTCAAAACTTAAGAAACATGTTTTGGACAAACTGACAAACTGACAAACTGACAAACTGACAAACTGACAAACTGACAAACTGACAAACAGAATTAAATTTTCATTTTGGGAAGAAGAAGGAAATCTTATTTTGGCTATAACTTTTGAACGGAGCGTCGGACAAATGACCCCTCATTCGACGGGTATTTTCAAAAGGAATACAACTAAAACATTGCGAGGGGGCATTTATCCCCACCGGCCCCAACAGCTCCAAATTTCGTAATTTTCACTTTTTCACTTTCACCGCTCTCTCTCCCAAGCCAATTGATTTTCTTAAAGTTTTGGTATGCAATCCTTTAAGTTTTTGCAATACCTTTCGATTGGTGTATTACTCATTACGATCGGACTATCACAGCAGATTTTCAATTTTGCGGCTATATAATAGTAGTCGCCTTCGCACACTCTCCTGGTGCGCTTCGTCACTACATGGACTGCCGTCCATAGTGATCTGTCTTTGCATTTGCAATAGCATCTTCCCTGGTTCAAAACCATCTCCATTTGTTGGCCATAAATCCCCAAAGAAACATGACTAATTTGCAAAGTTTCAATGATCACAAATTGCAATAAAATATACTCAGAAAGTTTTGCTACAAGCCTGAAATTACAGCAAATTATCTACCACAACTCAGAGGCACTCAAGGAAGCCGAAAATAAACATTAAATATGCAAAACACACACATGACATCGAGTACGAAACCAAAAGTGATGAAAATTCACACGAACCGAAGCCCGGAGCCAGTGAAGCATGCAAAATGTGCGCCTGATAGACGTGTATTCAAGCAAATCAACGAGCCATCAATGGAATATTAACAGGCATTTCGGTTATGGGGGGACAACAGTATAGATAAAGGCCTGAAAAAGGTGTGGACTACACGTGTTCTCGGGGTTGCTGAATGGTTAGTGAAGCGATCAGAGGGGTTAAGGGCTATTAGGCTAGTTATGGCTCACACTAATTGAAATTATATTGTCCTTACGACACCCGCACTCCACAAAAGAACCGTCGCCTCGAGCGGTTTTAAATCTGAGAGATTCAAAAATACTTTTCACACTCCGAGGACGACAGGAACAGAGACAGAATTTCAGCTTGGCTGAGCGCATTTAGCTGCTGGCCATTGATGACATCAAAATTGTGCACAGCCCAGGATTTGTGCTCAGCTCTAGTTGAGGCTGGAATCTGCACCATCGAGCCACCAAAGCCACCGCACCACCCACCTCCACCCATCTGCACCACAAAAAGCCAGCCCAACCACCTCCCGCTGCTGCTGCAATCGGTCGCCTTTTGTGCTCTTCGCAGTTGAGTGGCCACGCAAAGCGCAAAACCAAAAATGTCATATGAAAAGTTGTCGTTGTTGCTGCTTTTATTTTTTTAGCACAATAAGTGACAACGAAAACAACAGCGGGCGGTGCATGAACCACCCAGAAGATGTAGTGGCCTCTACAGAGCGGAAAAAATAACGATTGGGATTTAGCAGAGATTAAATCGAACGAAATTGGATTAAACATACAAATGTTAGGATCAAACAAAATCGAAAAGTGCTAAAAATAATAATTTCGTTTTTAAAGTTCTTTAAAATTCTCAGGAAAATTAAAGGACCTTAAAAGATGGTTTTAAGTTTCAAGATAATTCGAAAATAATTTTTAGGACATTAAAAAATGTTTTAAGTTTCTAATAAATTAGACAAAAGGTTTTTTCTTTTGAAAAATTCTAGTACACCATTAAAAGTATTTTACCAAAGCACTATTCATATCAGAGACACTATTTTTTTCCAGTGTAATTCCCATAGTCCTTGGTGTTTCAATGCGCCTGCGGCTTTAATTTTATTCGAGTTTGAAGCGTGAAGTTTGCCACACAACTTGAACGCGCCGAGATTGTAAATTGAATTGCCAGCGGCATTGTTTTCGCTCTTTGCAATCATATTCCATTACGGGCAGGCCGAGAGATCCTGCGATGCGATGCTCATGTCACAGTTGTCCTGTGTCCTGAGTCCTGCCTTCGGGCAACATTACCATTGCGCTCCATTCAGCCGGGCTCTTTGATGCCAGCCCAGAGATAATGTTTGTGTTGCGGTTGAGTTGACGATTGCCTTTGATTGTTCGCCTGAGAGTGTTAACTGACAGGGCCGACAGGTTTTTAATTTAACAATTTGAATATACTTAAACGCGTTTTCCCAATGCTCTCGCTTGCAGGTTACAGCTCGAACGCCTTGGGCATCAAACATGATCCGCACTCACAACTACGGCAACCTGGTAAGTATTCTGAAAATCTGGTTATAGCTTATAAAGTGTATAGAAATACAAAAGGCAATTTTTAAATAATATTTTTCTATTCAATAATTTGATTCTGAGTACCAAATGTTTTTAAAATGATATATAAATCTAGCAATATCTAAAAAATATTTTTAATTTATATTAATATTGTTAGAACCACGTACAATTTCATGTAAACTTTTTTACACAATTAAATGTTAGAAACTCTAATAAATTTATATCGAAATTCAGTAATTTTCAATCTGTCATTATCAAGTATATGTTTTTTTCCGTTAAATCTCAAACAAACTTAAAGTTATGAAGTGCAGATGCTTCAGCCCACGTGCCGCTTTGTTCAGCCTAAAAACCAACATAAATACGAAACGAATACTGTTGGCCAACACTAATAAAGTTTGGGCATTGTGTGTATCGAACGCACGCTGCAAGTGCCACTCGAGTCCTGTGGGCTGTGAGTCCTTTTTATTCCATCCAACCCGTGCTACCCTCCAGCTTTAAAATTCATTTCGAATTTCACTTCGAGAGCGAAACAGAAACCGAAACCGAAACAGAAATCGAGCAAATACTGTCGCAGAATCAAAACCTTAAATACGCCACTTGAGCAATGGAAATGGTAATGGAAACAAAAGTGCCGAGCGGTGGAATTGAAGCGTAATGGAAACAATTGAAGCTGCCATAAAGGATTCTCAATTAGAGGGTGATGAGGGGCAGGGCGGAGGGACGGAGGACGAGGGATCTGCAGACCCAGACGCACTTGGCTTGGCTTTTGTTGCTGTCAAATTTGACGGCCGTGGTTGAATAAGACGCGTGCCAGTCGGGGGGCAGTTTTTTCGCTTGTTTCGCTTTTTTCGGGGCATTAAAGCTGTTGAGTGAACAAAGCTGGAGCCGAAGAAACTGTTGGCAAAACAATGGCCAGGACACAGGACTCACAAGTACATATATGTATACAACAAGCCAAGGAGCGGCGGAGGACTCTGGCTAGATGATGCGAATTAAGGACAATTGTGCGATATGTCTGGTGTCGGTCTCGCTGCAATCAGAGTAACCTTTCTTTTCCCCGACAAAAAACACACGGAAAAAATATTTTTAAAATGAACTATATCCCTAAGATTTAAAAAGTTAAATAAGTAAAATAGAATATTTAAATAAATATTAACAGCTTTCAAAAATTAGAAAAATAATTCAGGATAAAATAAAAAAAAAAGGAAGAAACATTTTTCATGAGTTCAGAAGTTTTATTTTAAGCTTTTCCTATAAACATTTATTTTTATTCTGATTAGTCTTTGCTTTTAAATCATTTTTCTGATATAGAAATATTTTCATGACTTCAAAAATTTTATTTTAAGCTCTAGCTAGAAACATTTATTTTTATACCCTTGCAGAGGGTATTATGATTTCAGTCAGAAGTTTGCAACGCAGTGAAGGAGACGTCTCCGACCCCATAAAGTATATATATTCTTGATCAGCATCACAAGACGAGTCGATCTAGCCATGTCCGTCTGTCCGTCTGTCCGTCCGTCTGTCCGTCTGTCCGTCTGTCTGTCTGTCCGTCTGTCCGTCTGTCCGTCTGTCTGTTTCTACGCAAACTAGTCTCTCAGTTTTTGAGCTATCGGGACGAAACTTTCGCAAAAGTCTTCTTTCTATTGCAGGTAGTATATATGTCGGAGCCGACCGGATCGGACAACTATATCTTATAGCTCCCATAGGAAGGATCGGAAGAAAAAAGCTTTAAAAAATTCTAGCTTCGGTGTTTTTTGAAATATTACCTTCTACTTTTGGGGATGTTATTTTTTAAATATTTCTGAATTTCGAATTAATTATTTAAAAAATCGGACTACTATATCATATAGCTGCCATAGGAACGATCGGAAAATTAATGGAAAAGTAATAGGAAACAAATTCTAGCTTCTTTGGTTTTTATTGTATTATCTTCTACTCTAGGATATAACTCTTTTTAAATATTTCCGAATTTCAATTTTAATTTGATCAAAATCGAACGACTATATCATATAGCTGCCATAGGAACGATCGGAAAATTAATGAGAAATATTAGAAAATTGAACATTTTTGCGATTTGTTAATTAATAGGAATGATCTGCAAGGGTATATAAGTTTCGGCTGGCCGAAGCTAGCTTCCTTTCTTGTTATTATGGTATTTTAGTTTCCCTTTCTTTTTTAAACCTTTTTCTGATATTGTGTAGTTTCTTATTTTGAGTGTAGCCACTTTAACACACAAACGAACACTCACACAGCTAAGCTTTGGCAACGAGCAGGAAACTCGCGCCGGATAATACCCAGCGGCGAAAATTGCCATTACAAAATGGATTACGAATGCATTACTTCTCCTCTCGTAATAGAGAAACAATGGATTACAACATGGATTACTTTGCCATAGGCATGGCCGCCTTGTAATGTGGTCGGGAGAAAATTTGCATTACTAGTAATGGGAAAAGTATGCTAGGGCCGAATCACCTTCGGGTCTCCATTACGAATTCAATATACTTTTCCGAAATTGTAATGCAAAATGTAGACGGACTAGAGAAAATTCAACATACAATTTGAAAAACGTATGCTGAGTTGTAATGCATGTTCATTTATGAAAACAAAAAATATTCTTTCCTCATGTAGGAATTGAACATGGGTATTATTGTATAATGGATGGAAAGGCTAACCGCTCGGCCATTGTCTGTGCTTTTTTTAGTTCGTCAAACTATATTTAGAATGCATGCTGTTATTATTAAAGTTCCGAAGCTCAAACGTGAGGGAGGGGAAACGAAAAACGAACACATAGACAATAATTTTTTTGTGTGTTTGTGTTTTTTGACGAAGGGAAATCGTTAGCGAACGAAAAAACGAAGTCATAGGAGCCCTGATTACAACTTCTCTAACGAAAAGCAGCGATAGTAATCGGTTACATTTTCTTTACATGTAATGCATTTTTTCTCCAGACCCCATTCGCCTGTTCGCCGCTGGGTAAGTGAAATGGATATTTCGAGTGTGAGTGTGTGGGCAAGTGCACTCGACAAATGCGCGCAAATGAAGCATCTGAATGCACACATAAACAAAATATATCTAAGTATATATACAGTATATGCAGTATATAGTAAAGGCCTTTCACAGCTTTCTGGTAATGCATTTCATTTCGTCAACGGAAACTAAAACTTGCCTTTTGTATTTGCCACAAGAATAAGTCGGCGGGCACCCTTCATTAAGATATTTGCATAAAGAACCGGTACTAATGCCACGCTTTCCATTTCCATTTTTCCACCCTCTCCGCAGATCCATATCAAATGTTCGGACCCACCAGCAGCAGACTGGCCAGCTCAGGTGAGTGGAAATCACAAAAGCATAAAGATGCAGGTGCCGCGATTAGTTTCCCCCGATTTCCCGCTGGCCGATTGCCACGTGACTAAGCTCCAACCCCTCGGCCACTCGTATAGTTCATTATCATATCAATTTCTGGCCGAGATTCGACTTAGTCATTGCCCAGACGGCGACCCTAACAAATTAACCCATTGCATGCGAGTTTAACCCTTTTTGGCGGCCTCCCTCCGCCTTTTCGGGGTGCAGTTTTCTAATTTATGCGAAAGGTGTTTTCCTAAATTTATTGCATCGCTTTATGTGCTAGTGTGTGTGTGTGGGGCGTGTCCTGGCAATTGTTTTTTGCAGCTCCGACTTTTCGTTTCATTCATTGCTTGGGAATTGTCTGTTTTCTGGGCACGCGCCCTTCCCGAAATCCGGCAAAAATCCATTAAAAAGAGTTGCGAACGCAGAGAAAGGCTCCGTCAAAGGGTTTCGCCGGTGGGCGTTTCCCTTATGGATTTGATAAATTGGTCAATGGATGTGTTCTTTTTTTCTCACAAAGCCAAAAGGCATATTTGGGCATGAGATAAAATTATAGGACTCGTTAAAACTATAGCTAAGATAGGTTTTTTTACCACCTAAATTATCAATCTCGATTTTCACAGGCTGGAAAAAAAAGAAGCCAAGGCGGTCAGAAGCCTATATACTTAAATATACAATTGAAATATAAATATAGAAAAGGTACTTATTATATAAAACATCTTTTAAATATTTTGTTAGTTTTAAATTTTGTGGAAGTTAAAGTAAATTCCTCTTTTTATTATTATAAATTAATTTTTAAAGGAGTTTATAAATTTAAAAGACATTTAAATCCTTTAAACAATTTAACAGAAAGTTTAATAAAATTTAGGGCAAAAGCAAATTAAAATTCAATGTTAGTGCAAACAATAGCAACTTCCTTTAACTCTTTTGTGCCTTTTTTTGCTAAATTTTTCCTGAAACGAAAGTCACTTTCAAAATGGTGTTCAATGCCTCTGACCAGTTGCCAGGCAAAATCAATAATTCCTATTGATCCTGCGCTGGGGCAAGCTTTTGACGCCGCCATTATGGTGGCTTTGGGCTTTGGCCTGGGCTCCACCCACCATTGCTATTGCCATTGCCCCAAGTGGGTTGGCATTGCCTCCACCCCAACCCCCTTTTGCACCATCGAAACATGGCGCTCGAACGGAATTAGCATAAAAACCCAGACGCCCAACATTTTCCGGCGCGACATTTACACGAATCCAGCCTTCTCTCTCTCTATCTACCCGTCTCTTTCCATTGTTTGTTGTGTGGTTTAGGTTTAGGCCGTTGCCAAGAGTTGGCTATAAACTTCAACTTGAAGTTGGACGCAAAAGCTCACTGAGAAAAACCCACACACACCAGCATTTCGTATGGTACACAGTGCGCTTTCGCTTTTTGGGTGGCAAAAATGCTGTTTTTGATTAATTATGGCTTCCTCTCGACACGGAACCGCTTTGTTAGCCAGGTCCGGCCAGCTGGCCAACACTTGACATGCCACACTCATTTGCATATGAGCTGCATACATGTATGCAGGCCGCCAAGAGTGATAAAAAAGGAAAACATGAGATTGCCTTAGTTAGTTGCTGCATAAATAAATAAGTACCAGGACCAAAGGCCGAAGTTCTCTTAATTATGGAAACGACGAAGGAAAAATGTGCCGAGATCAAAGGACTGCTGGGGCTAATTGCTTCCGGTTTTATAACATTTTTCTTGTTCATTCCTTATTAAATTAACATTTTTTTGGATCAAAAACTTTAACGCCTCGCTGCCACTCCTTAGTGGGCAATTAAAATACTTTAGTTTCCCCTTCTTTAGTTAGCTTTTGTGGCTAGTTAATAGCGTGTCAATTGCCCAAGATTCCACGCCCAGTTTTCCATTGACTTGGTGTCTTCCCTGTCCGTCCCACAATTATCATTCATCATCGTCAGTCGACGGAGAAGCGTCGTGTTGGCACTTAACACATTCACTTGGCCATGATTTGCAATTAACGCAATATTCATGACGTTCTCACACATGAGCAGCGCTAAGCCACCACCACCCGAAAAAGTCCTTTTCGCTTTTTCTCGACTCAAGGTTTTCCCTTCCAACCACCCCGTAGAGTGTCCTTTTTTTTGGCTGTATTTTTTGCCTGACAGCAAACAGAGAAAAAGGAGCGATTGTATTCCCTTATTCGGGCTTTCGCTTCCACGGCCTAATTGCCAAATGATTAAGCGATTTATGATGTCTGCGTCGAATGCGTAGCAAATTCAGCGCACAATATACAATCATAATTCTGTAAATGTTTTAGCACGCACAATAGGAAAAAGTTGAAAGCTGAGGGAGTGGAGTTGAGACAGAAAGTCAAAGTTCAAATGGGAAACTACCATGATGTGGGTGAATACATATTGCTGGAATCACATTTCATAGAGCCAATTACAAAGAAAGGTCGAAGAATATTTTATTTTTAAACAAAGTAGGTAATAAAATCATATGAATCAAGGCGTAACATTATTTAAATTATGTATAAATAAATCATGCATTCATGCAAATCATGTAAAAATAATTTTAAGCTAAATTCTAATAAAGACTGTATGAAGTGATGTTTATATTATTAACTTTTATCCTTCATAAAGTAAACTTTATAATTTTCTTACGCCAAAATACGAAATCTTTCCCATGTTTTCATAAGTTGTTTCTAGACCATTTCCCAGAAATATACCCCATTTTGAACTAATTTAAACTCCCAGCAGGGAGTCTTAAGTGAAAGTGCAGGTCATAATATCTCTTTGGCTTCCCGGAGGAGCTGCTCTATGCCACTACCACTACCATTACTCTTACATGCAATGCCATTTCCGTTGCGCTACACTTCTCTTACAATAATTTGAGGCAAGCGTCATAGATTGCCCCCGTGGTCTCAGTTATTTATTGAGATCGAGAGGGGGGGATACCCACTTTAGGGGGTTCTCGGATTGCGTTTCGATTCCCTGGCCAGAGGACCAAGGCAGGAAATGCTTTATGGGGCCTTTGCATGCCACAAAATGCTTACATTTTGGCCACAGCCCCGCAGCTGTAGTTAATTTAAGCCCCAAACGCCAAAAGGATATGCTCTTTTGATGGACATTTAGGCAGGCCAAAAATACCCACATTAAATGTCTCAATACGTAGGAATCAGAGAGCCCATTTCTCATATCGCCCCTTTCCCGTTCCAGGCTCTGGCCAGATCCAACTGTGGCAGTTTCTGCTCGAGCTGCTCTCGGACTCCAACAACGCCAGCTGCATCACCTGGGAGGGCACCAACGGCGAGTTCAAGCTCACCGATCCCGACGAGGTCGCCCGCCGCTGGGGAGAGCGCAAGTCCAAGCCGAATATGAACTACGACAAGCTCAGTCGGGCCTTGAGGTGAGTAAAAGACTTTTGAAATACAGAATATAGAATGTGCCATACTAAGAACTATCAGATTTACATAAATATTTGCCCTTTGTCGGTTATTATTTTTTTGAAGACTTTTAAAATACAGAATATATGAATATATATTCGTAACACTAACACTATTTCTCTAACATTATTTTGATTTACATTATTAATTTTATTAAAGCTTAAATAGTTAAATTTAATTAATATATTTAAAACCGTAGCTCAGATACGTCAATTTAATATTTAACCATTCTGTTCATTTTGTATTCATTACATTTTATTCTTTGGATTTTTCAAAGTTTAATATATATAGCCAGGACGTTAACAAAGTTTGGTATTTGAATAATAGAATTATTTATTTAGCAGAGTAAACTGCTTTGGAAATATTTGGACTGGTTACTATTTTTATAAATTCCTTTCCAAGTAAAAGCATATACTTGACCATGTTTTATCACACAAATTAATCCACATTCAAAAAAATAGTTCGATTTCGGATTATATCCTAACCACAGGGGGTTGTTTTTCCTTGTGCACTGAAGTATTCCCTAATTAGCCGATATCTGTGCCGACCTAGAAATTCGAGCATGTGTGCAATTTGCTATTTGGCTCATCAGTAAATGATTTGCCCCTGCACTGATTAGCCGCTTTGATGGCTAAAGAGCCAGAAAATCACCCAAAAAAACGAGTAACGAAAACAACTAGCTAATCCACTTGCTGGCCAAGATTTTGGTCCACTCGATTGTGTGGGCGTTTCGGGTTCGTTGCAGAAATTCAATCATAAATTGTTCCCTCGAACCGAACGAACGAGAATGTAATCAACAAGAGAGAACGCTATAGTCGGGTTCGTGTCCCGACTATCTAATACCCGTCACTCAGCTAAAGGGAGTGCGAACGCTGTGTCGGGTTGGTGTCCCGACTAATAATCGTAACTCAGCTAAAGGGAGTGCGAGGGAGATAGATATATGTTGACAATTTATAAAGCGTATAACTTTTTAATGAATGGTCCGATTTGAAAAATGTCTTCTACATTTCGATAGGTATAAATATACACAACAAAATTGCATTTATACTTCTCGGAAATCTTTAAAGATGTGGGCGCAGGACCCATTTTAAAATCGTTAGTGGGCGATTGTGGGCGTTAGAGGGGGCGTGGCGCTCGGCTAAAATAAACTTGCGCTGCGTAGGAAGCCAAAGAATATGTGTGGGAAATCTCAACCTTCTAGCTTTTGTAGTTTCTGAGATCTCAGCGTTCATACAGACAGACAGACGGACAGACGGACAGACGGACAGACGGACAGACGGACAGACGGACATGGCTAGATCGACTCGGCTAGTGACCCTGATCAAGAATATATATACTTTATGGGGTCGGAAACGCTTCCTTCTAGCTGTTACATACTTTTGCACGAATCTAGTATACCCTTTTACTCTACGAGTAACGGGTATAAAAATCCAATAAGTTGGAAATCTAATTGCAGAGAAACGTAATTCGATTTCGAAATCTGGAGCTCCAATATTTGACCGAGAAGCGAAACATATGCACAGAAACTATTTGTGCAACGGTCAATTTGCTGAACAAACATGACCAGGACAGAGTTGGCCTAATCCAAACGGCGAACCCTTTTAGCAGTGGGCTCCTTGAAACTGTCAGTCGCAATCAAACGAGTGCCAATGATGCGAATTCAAGTGGAAAAGTCCTGACAGCCAATTTGCAACATGCTCCTCGGCTCACACATGTAAATAAAATGTAAAAAGTGTAGAAAAATCAAAGCAACAACAATGAGGAAGGGGGAAATCCTTTTTGATGTGCAGGAAGCCTCAACATGTCTGTTCTTTTTGCGCATTTCAACTCAATTGAACACAAGAGACATCATCGCCGTTGGCTTTCATGTTTGCTCAGAAAGGCGAGTGTGTGGGTGTGTAAATTAACACTCAGCCCGGGTATCCCACCGGGAAAATTCCTCTGGAAAATAACATATTTTCAAGAGGTTTCTCCATAGAAGCGGAAGGGACTAAACCTCATTCACCCCTTACATTTCTTCCATCTCTGGTTTCAAAATACACGGGGGTGACACAAAAAGTAAGGGGGAAATGAGGTTTCTATCTGGATCTCTGGCAGAAGAATGCAGGACAAAATCCACTGGTTTTTCGACTTCCCGCATTATAGATTTTCCACACGTACCCAGTTATGGTTTTCCTCCACTTGCAATATCTGCTTTTCTACACCCTCCCAGTTTTGGTTTTTCCAGACCCTCGCAGTTTTGGTTTTGCACTGCTTTGCAGTATCTGATTTTCCACAATAAAAATCATGTTTTTTTGTAATATTTGTTTGTGTATTTATTATCGAAGCATTGGAACTACAAATTTTTAATGAAGCATTCCCGGGTTTTGCTTGGCCGAATGCAGTACTTAGATATCCATTTCTTGTCTGTCTTCTGAAAATATCAAACATAATTTAGATATGAATGTAAGACCAGGAATAATAATAAGAGTAATTACCATTATTAGGTCTCCGCACAAAATTAAAGGATCTCTCCAGAAATTATGCCTGGTTTGCCATGGCCGATCATTTACCCTCTGTTCAGTTGTTTTATGTCGGGTATCTATATCAAAAACTATGAGAAGAAAAAATAAAATATGACAAACGCAGGCGCAACACTTCTGGTCCCAAGAAGTCTCAGTCGGCCTGGCTGAAATAAATGTAATATTTTGATTAAGTTAAACAACTAAGTTAGTACTGAAGTACTATTTATACAACCATTTAATGAACACCTCACACCATTTACCACTGGTAAAGATTAAAAACATTTCAAGTGTCACTGAAATGCAGAATTTGTGTTGAAGATAGCATCCGGAGGCGTATATTTATTAATGGGGAAAATATCTGTGATACTAACCTTTGTAACGCTGAAATAAAGGTTATAAAAAGACAAAATTCATTTTATCACTCACCTTTTTATTGTTTTTTAGATTAAAATTAACTATTTTCACTTTTTTTTCACTTTTTCCAACAAATTTAAAAATGATGTGACCCTGCATCATATACTTGATAATACTAAATGCAGATTTGATATAAATTTCGTTGTAAAGTCCGGTCACACTTTGGCGCCAAATAAGTATTTCGTTTAAAAAATACTTTTCAGGGACCGTAATCATTAAAGGTTACGTATATTATAGGTATATTAGGCATTTTTCGTGTTATCAATACCACCAACACGAATTTTTATATTTTAACAACACTTAAAAATGGCTTAGGCCACGATCTGACGATCAAATTATTTTATTTCACAAAAAATGTTTAAAAATGTAAAAAACAATAATAATTTTCTTTGTAATTTAATGTAATTCCTTGATAAATGTGATCAAATATTTTAATCGTCTTACCGTGGCTTTTCTCTATAATTTTGTTGAATCCCACATTCATTCTTATTATTATTTGAAAAATGTTGAGTAAAATAAATTAATATAATCATTATAGACATTACGATAATAGTTATATAGTTTAATTTTTTGATTAACAATTATTCATATATTTTCTACGAATTTTAAAATTACTAAAAATTAAAAATAAATGTGAGAACAAGTCTCTTGGTTTTGGTGCAAATCATAGAATTTTTGAATTTTATAAGTTGGTGATTTTTTTGTTCAAAAATATTATAATCGTGGTGCCACAGAAATCACACAGCGCATAAGTGGCCTGATATTGATGCTACTCAGAAACCCACCCCCATTTAACGCTCAGAAATTATCTAACCCCACACCGCCGCCTGCAAAAAGGAACAGGATTTCAAGAACACAAAAACCAACTTCTCACATTCCCGATGGGTTCCCGATGGGATATCCTTCACTCACACACACGGACATCCAAGACACCCAATCACCCACACACATAGACTCAGCAAGGACAAGTGCTTTAATGCTTCATTTGACATGTTTATTCACAGCCAGCTGGCCTTTTGTTGGTCCTCGTTGTCCTGGCCAATCCTTGAAATGGGTTTACTTTAATCCTTTTGCTCTCTCCGTGCAGTTATCCCTGCTCCCTGATTGTGCTCCTTTGTCCTTGCGCTCATCAGTCATTGATTGGCTTTGATTGTCTGTGCAAAGAGCGCCTGCATTCGGGGCACTTTTCTTCTTTTACTCTTTGCCATTTCCCCATCAGGCTTTTGTTTTTACTGCTTTTAATTTATGGCCGTAATTGGCATAATTTATGGACGGTGCAAAAAAAATGAGAGAGAGAAATAAAGAACTCAACTGCACGCATTATGCCAATTTGCATTGATGCATTGAAATGTTTGCTCTGCCTGCAACGCTTTGTAATTTATTTGCAAATTCTTTTTTTTATTTCACTTGTCTGGCGGAAGTTGTGGACATTTTAAAGCGTAACAATAAACGAACAATATGCAGGAGGAAAGGGATATTTAAATTGCCGTTTGAAAGCGCTTTAAAGAGTGCGAAATCAGAGTGCTGACGTTTGGCAAATATCTAGTCAAAATTAATGAAAAGAAATCGCCTGCTAACCCTCGAATGTAAACAAATTTCGCTCGGATTTCTTGGCCGTCTGCCCGCCCACACAATTTCGCCCCTCGCTAAAATTTCTATTTGCGTTCGGGCACAAGGCGTTGCCATTTAATTGCTGAAACAGAACAGAAAAGGGAGCTGCGCCTGGGGAGCGGCACTAAAATCGCTTAATGTCAGCAAATTAACTTAAAACGCATAAAGCGAGCATTATTCTGTAATTATTTATTGTCCATCTGGGGGAGTCCGGAGTTCGTACCTCTGCTCATCTCAGCTTTTGTTTGACTTTCCCACATTGAGATCATAGAAATGGGCAGCCGAAGGAGTAGCCTTGCCATTTGAGGGTTGATTGCTTAGGTCCAAAGTCAATTTTATGGTTTAGGTGGTAATAGTGTTAAATAATAATGAACATTCCATGAAATTAATTTCAAAATCCCATGTATCGTCCTATATTATTGACATTATATTTTTTGGTAGTGACAATAATTCTATAAGCTTATTACTTCAAGCTTCAGCTTATTTAATCGCTACCATAAATCTAGTTCAGAATACTTTTTTATCTTTTAAAAATATGAAAATATAAATATTTAATAAATTTTTCTATTACTTTCTCTCCATTTCTTTTACAGATATTACTACGACAAGAACATAATGACCAAGGTGCACGGCAAGCGGTATGCGTACAAATTCGATTTCCAAGGCCTGGCAGCTGCCACTCAGCCGGCGGCCAGCGATCCCACCTACAAGTACCAGAGCGACTTGTTCATGACACCATATCACCACAGCGCCAAGCTCAGCTCGTTCATGAGTCCGCACCACGGCATGACCTCATCATCAGGTAAGCATACGTTTGGGAAATCCATTTAGGGAACTTTCTATAACTCATTATAATAGCTTCTAAATGTGAAGCCGTTTTTCATTATTTATGTGATATCAAAAATGTTCGCATTCTTAATTAACTGAAATAATAATACCACATATATACAAAGAAATAAATTAGGCGATGATTCTTTAAGCGACTAACTTGAAATAATTTAAGTCCATAAACGCGGTTCAATAACTTTAAATAATGGCTATTGATGTTTGTTAAACCGTTTAAAGGAAAAAAGCTTGGATCACAAAATAAAGATTTAATTTAAAATGACTAAAAAAGTCACAAACAGAATTATTGTTAACATAAACATCAAAAACATAAACGAGAAAATGTAAATAACTTTGGGACATTCAAAGCGTATAACATTTTTTGAATCAGAAAACTTAGATCATTTGAAGCTTCCAGGAAATTTTCATAATTCTAATAACCTTTATAAACTTAACCTAAATGAAATCCTATTTCCTATTTCTTCCAGCTTCGATCTTCCCGTCGGCCGCCTCGTGGGGCAACTGGGGCAGTCCGGCCACGAACCTCTACCAGCCGCACTCGATGAGCCACGTGACCCCCTCCCACGTGGCGCCCCACCTGAGCAGCTATCCCCACTACGCATGACCATCATCGTCGGGTGGCGCCTTCTAATATGAGAGCAACGCCATCGCCAGTGCCTCGGGCATTGGCGGCGGCACAGCCTCGACGGGCGTAGGTATCGGCGGAGTGGGCAACGGAGTGGGTGTCACCGGGGTGACCACTGGCGTCGGCTCCACCTCGAGCAGCACCACCAGCAGTGGAGGAGCAGGTGGTGGCGGAGGAGGAGGCGGCGGCGGCGGAGGAGGTGGCGGAGGAGGTGGTGGAACTGTCATGAGCGGCTTTGGCAGCAATGGCAACCTGAACGGATCCCATGTGTCCAGCAGCGGCGGGTCGTCCAGTGTGAGCAACAACCTCAACATAGCCACGGCCACCTTGACGGCGACTCCGGCCCATGCCAGCGCCGCCGGATTCGGGACAATTGGCGGACTCAGTGTGGCCGGGATGGGCGTGGGCGTCGGAGTGGGTGGCGGCAACTCGACGCTCAATTCGCTGGTCGTGGGCAACCGCCTGATGAACAGCAGCCTGCCCACGCTGCTCAAATGATGCCACTTGGAGAAGTTCGGGCTGACGATGGGCGCAGGTCCTTCGCCGCCGGCAGCCACGCCGGCTGGTGAAAATATACCGCCGTACCACCATCACGGCCATCCCGCCCACTCCGGACTTCCAGGACATGCCGCCAACTACGGGGCCAACGAGCGGGCCCTGTACGATTATCTGGACATGAAGAGCGGCGAACAGGCCACGTTTTTACTGTAAACTTGTAACCAGAACCACCAGAAAAGATCCAAACAAACAAAAACACAAAAATCGTAAAGAAACGCGGGCAGCAATAATATTTGCAGCTGATTTTATTCATAGGTACTTAGCAAAAGACACCCTTTAACCCTAACCCGAAGGTAAAACAACCCCCAGCTAAATATTTTACGTGTGTGTGCGAGTGAGTGAGTGAATGAATCGTTGTTGCTCTAGGATTAAGGAACTAACTTTCCACTAATATACGACTATGAACCGGAACCGATATAGTTGGCATTCGAAGCTAAACAAAACTCTAAGTGTTTTTAGTATATCAAGCAAGGACTAACTCTTTCCTTAAATTCAAAGCGGAACTTTTCCAGGCTAAGACTTCGAAATAGTTCTAGAATTCTCCAATTGTTGTTAGCATTTTGTGTGTGAAGCATTTGTAAATAGCAAAATAACAATATCATCCTCCAAATAACGTTCGGCACAACAAAAGTGAATGTCTAGGCGTAAAAGTTTGCCACATTCTCACTTCAATTTACGATTTGTAAATAAATATTTGCCTAAGTGTAAAAATGTTTAGAACGTAAAGTAGTTTATTTGTGTTTTCTGAATGATTTGGGCATTGAATTACCTTTTATGTTCCGAAATTTTCGTTTTGAGATGGTTGACTGTGATAGTTGATTGTACAGTTAAAACTCTTACATATTTTTTAAATACCAAATTACAAACGAATAAATATTGAAATAAATTACGAGTACATATTAATCCCAAGTCTAGACATACTATATATTTGTGTGTAAAAAAAGAAAACTTTCTAAATTCTAAGTCAAAGTTTAACTATAATAATTCGAGGCGAATATATATAAATATATATATATATATAAATTTAAATGTGTGTAACTATGTGTATTTACCAAATCGAAATACGACAAAAAGCGAACTAATCGTTAACGATCTAAGTGTATACAATTTTAAATTCTGAATGTAAGCTCTACGAAGCGAAAACCAATATAAAAACAAAACATCAGCGATGCCCACACACCGAAAACCGAAACCCTCTAAGAATTTAGTTAATTTAAGGCAAAAACTTTCAACAAAAATAAAACCCAATTCAAAAAAGAATCCATTCCTATCTGTTAAACGTGGTATTTATTCGAAAATTAACAAAATTTGTTATGTACAGCAAGTGGGAGGGGGAAAGAGGTGGCTGGCTACTCTAAACATGGACTAATCCGCTTCAGAATCACCTGGTTACTGCGCCTGGTTGAACCACTTGAACTCGTAGTGCTTCAGCGAATTCTCCTCGGGCAGTGCCTCCTTGGCGTCCAATTTCCGCCAGCTAACGTGCGGCTGGAATCCAAACTCGTTCGCAATGTACTCGATGGTCCGCTGCACTGCATCCTCGCCGATGGCGAAGTAGCTGCCCTGCTTGTCGCCATTGCGACCGCCGGTCTCCTCGTGTCCATTGTAGTCCAGCACGTACTTGAATTTGTACAGATCTCCGGTGGCGCCAGCGGCAGTTCCGCTTCCTGAGCCAATTCCGCCGCCAAATCCTGAGGCTTTGCTTCCAGCACCGACTCCTCCGAATCCAGAGGCTTTGCTTCCTGCACCGACTCCTCCAAGTCCAGAGGCTTTGCTTCCAGCACCGACTCCTCCGAGTCCAGAGGCTTTGCTTCCACCGCCGACTCCTCCGAATCCAGATCCTGACGCGATTCCGCCAGCGGAACGTCCAGATGCCTTGCTTCCTCCGGAAGCTCCTACGCCTGAAACACCTGATTTACCACCAATGCTTCCACCAGGCGCTCTTCCTGCGGGGAAGCTTCCACTGTTGGCTAAATCATTATAATTATATTAATTTTAATGTTCATATTTAATTTCCGTTCAAAAGGACTTACAGGGTGCACTTCCGGTTGGTGAACTTGCTGACACTCCAGGAATTCCCGCAGTGGTTGCTGAATCTGATGAAAAACCCAAGGGAAATTTAGTAATGACTCAAACCAGAATGTAAAAACAGTGTAAAAACCGTGTAAAATATCTTAGTGCAGGGTATTACCACTAGGTGGCTTTAACATATAGTATTGTTTTGCAGCAAGTAATTAATCAAAATAATTTACCAAAGAAAAACGTTATTTATGAATATTAAAAAATTGTTAAATAATTGAAATATTTTAAAATGTCTTTCCCCCCAATTTGGCTTACTCAAAAGAGGTGTTTTGTGTGGGTTCTGTGTGAGTGTTTTCGCAGAGGCAACTCCCGAACGCAGAATGTTTCTAATGTCCGCACTTGGATGGCGTGCCACGGTTTGAATATTACTGGCGAGCGGAACATTGGCATGGCCATCGACAGCGAAGATCTTCACTTGACTGGCGGGCACCGAGGCGGGGGCGACCAGAGGCTGATTGGCAAGGGCCAAGGGACCTGCACCTGCTATCCTGCCGGCATATGTGATGGCTTCCCTGACGGCGGCCTCGTCCAATTTCACGTTCAACGGGGGATAGACCGGCGGTCCCACATTGAAGTCGATCTTTGTGCTGCCACTCGGCGATTGCGAGCTAGAGTGCTGAGTGCTCACATGTCCGGTCACAACGCCCTTGGTGGTGGAGTATGTGTTCAAGGCTAAGTTGAGACCAAGTTCGATGTGTTTAGTGTTTGGTGCATTCGTGTAAGTGTTGGTGTTGGTGCTTTGCTGTGCATCTTGGGCCAAGCCAAGACGCCTGGCCACAGTCTGGGCAATGGACTCCCGGAAGGGCAACTGGACATTCAGTCCGTAGTCCGGAGTGTCCTCGGGCTTACCTGCTTCAACCGGCGCCAATGGCTGCGAAAGAGTGCGAATCTCTGTCTTGGGCGGGGACTTCTTCAGGAAACAGCCGGCACATCCCTCCGTGTTGAAGGTGTTCTTGGGCAGCGGCAGTGGCAGGGCCCTCGGAGTCGTTGTCACGGCCAGTGTTTCTGGGGAGTTGAAAAATATATAGGGTGCATGCATACTAGATCTAAAATAGCCATTGACATTAGTTATTAGACGTCGGATTTAGTGTGAAATAAATTTTCTTTTTAAAGCGAAATTTTAATTATTAACCAGAACATACACATTAAAAAAACGATTTAAATCTAATTTTGACTTAAAAAACATTTTTAACCAATCAATTGTGGCTAAAAATCGTATTTAAAAACAGTATTTCACATCAAATTCGACGTATATTTTAGTCAGAATCAGTGGCGGATCTAGGACTTTGTTGTGGGGGTGGGACAAACATTTGTTTTTTATACATCATGATTTTGTGCGAAAAATGACCAAAAATTAAAAAGTCCTGGTTTAAATGCCATTCGATTGGAAATTTAATAACGAGTTCAGAAAGGTATGACAATCCACATTTGGATCTATATTTTCATATTGTTTCGGCCAAAGAACGAATTATTTTTTCATGGAAAGGTCGGGATCTGGTTTTTTGTTAAAAATAGGAGATTTTCCTCATTGTTTTTTTTCTGTAACTTTCATCAGCGGCAGATCTAGGACTTTGTTGTGGGGCCGATGTCAGTACATCTTTTTTGAATAGCAAAATTCCTTTCTATTTTTACCTGTGTCACCCATATCACCCCCCGTGCATCCGCGCATGGTCAGAATCATAATTTTCTGTTTATATTTAGTTATAGTTATAATAATTTTAACCATGATTAAGATTCTGTTTCCTTAAATTCCTAAATATTCGCAATACTTGATAATTGATTGCGATATGAATTGGTTAAATTTGAATACAAATACTATTTCTTAATGTTCTGCTAATTCTTATCAAACCATTAACGGATAGTTATATTTAGATCACTGCGTAGCTGAAAAACCTGTCCGCTTTGCAAAGGAAATAATCAAATCGGAATTCTGATGCAAATCGACCTTTTGATTTGAATTAATAAATAATCATTTTTAGCAATAAAAACATACATTTTAATAGGTTGATAGGATGCATTTTGACTTCAAAAATGTTCAATATTATTTATACTCACTTTGACCGACGGGACCGTTGTAGGGATAGCTCTTCATGGAGATAATACGGAACTTGCCCTCCTCATCGGTAGCATAGACCGTCACATGGTATATGCCATCGGCGGTGATGAACCCAAACTCGCCCATGACAATGCCGCGTTCATCTGTGAATCGGGAAACAAGATGTGAGATTTGGGCAAACAGATTTTGTGTTCATTTTGAATATGAATGCGAATTTTACGCCGATTTGTGATTTTTAATTCGTTTGATAACCTGCCCGGCCAGGCCCATAAAGATTAAGATCTAATAAACTGTATCGATAATGGCGATCATAACTTGTGAGCTGGTTTCTTAAAGCCCCCGGACACCCGCACAAAACCCCCGCCGCCTTGAGAAGGCAGGTGCCTACGCAAGAAACATTCCTATGCTGAGAAGAATTTATTAATTTAGATGACACTCTGGATGTGGATGTGGATGGTCTTAAAGAGATGCGACTCTCACCCGGGGCATCCTGTCCAGCCACCCACCCGAAATTCTCATTCGAAATTCTGGCTTGTGGCCTTTGTCTCTTTAAACAGGTTTCCACGCAACTGGGCAACAAGTTTTAACGGCTTGCATCAATTGGCTTTCGCTTGTTTGTTTTATGCTTAATTCGAATATGGCTTCGTGTCACTTTCCCATTAGTCTCGATCGCTTTCGACGGCATTAGAAAATAATTCTTTATTGAAATTTATTCTTTTGTCGTGATCAATTCGATATTGAATTGCTCATTGAGCTGGGCTAAGTAATTAAAACTATTAAACTCGTATCAATATAAATTAACCAAATCTTTTTCTGGTTATAAAATGAAAAACAATAAAAAGAAAACAATAATTTTAGCAATAAATTAAATGGGATGCAAAAACAGGAACTGATTTTTCTAATTTATTTTGAATTTATTTCATTATTACCTATAGGTGTATTGTAACATTGTTAATAATTCTGAACTCCACCATAAATGTTATAAAAATGGTCTGATTTTTACTGCATGTCATAAATTATAGACCAATAAAAAATCAATAAAATTGACAAACCAAATTTAGTGGGGTCATAAAAATAAGCAGTTGAACCATACAAATATATTGAGTTAAAATTCATATTTTAAAGGATCTTGTTTTATATTAAAAAATTATTATTTGCAACAGAAGAAATAACATTAGTCCACTATTGTTTCTGCAGTGTGTAAAATAAAGTCAAATGAAAATAAACAATAAATGTATTCAGTGGCTCACTTTCAAGTTGAAACTAACATTCTGCTCGATTTGATGATGTAATGCCCCGCAAACTAGACTCTAAAATGTGATCTAGATCAATAGATCTTGAAAATGGCCAATCGTTTCAATATAAATGAATCAAACAAGCCGAAATCGATTAAAGAGCTTTGTTAGGATACCTTTTATTCTCTTTTATAGTGTTATACAACAAACAAACAGCACTTTGTATGCACAACGAGTTCCTGAATTTGTTTAAAAATATGAACGTAATCCAATATTTCGGCCTCAACTCTGGCATTTCATATGCCAGAATTATACTTATAAATATTGAAATGTGGCTGTTCTTTTTCGGAATTAGCATTAGCTGAAGAAAGAAAAACCATAAATAAGGCAAACATTTGTGTATTCGGACGCGTCTACATGTTATGCTAATCGGGAACGTTTCGTTTTCGTTTTTCTGAAAACTTTATCACCGCGATACAGCATGGAAATAAAAATCATAACGACCATGTATGCCATTTGGACAATGGACGACGGACCCCCAGCCAGATAGCCAGTTGTGTGTCTGTGAAGATTCCGCTAATTGCCATTGGTGGCGGATTGCTGGTATTTCAATTGCTGGTGACCTGTCGCTCAGGTGCACCGTGCACCCATCAAACGTGTATTGTGTGAGGCATTGCACAAGCTCAAAAGTCAAAAGTTATGGCTTTTTTTGGCTATTACTGCCGATGCTGCCACTGCAGTCGTGCATCTGCTCCTAACGACATTCGTGATGACGCATCATCTATTTACATATTTCGGTTTTGGTGTCAATAAATCGACGCACAGTAGTCAGTAGATATGCTAATGGTTTAATTAGCGTCATTAGCTTAACAGCCTCACCTCTTTTCTCGGCCCGATGTTGCTGCTCGTCGATGGTGAAGCCGAACTTGTAGGGACGCACTGTTGTGGCTGCCGAAAGGACATGGGTCAGGGTGCACAGGAGCAGCAGCTTAAAAAGAAAGTCCATAAATGCCGGGATCGACGAGCAGGGGTCAAAGCACTTACAGCACTAACGATCGCCACCATTTTAAGGCTCATTTTTCAGGCCTATTATTTTATTTAAATCGCTCACAAATTTATTTAATCTTCACGCCCTATTATCAACTGTCAGCGGTCTCACAAAATACGCATAAATAAGCGGGCGTTTATATTTTAATACAAATATACGATTATAAATATTTGAATTTCAAGCGGACGGAACGGAACGTAACGGACGACGACGCGTTTCTCACGGCGAGATTATCGGTTCGGAGCAAGCGCCTTAGAATGAAACACACCCCACGATGTTCGGCAGCGAATTGACAATGTTAATAATATTAGGTAAACATTATAAAACATTAGAAGCAGACGCGGACCTGCCGCTGCCCGTTGGCCGAGTGTGCGTGCGTATCTGTGTGCCCCTCTAAGGTGTATCTGTATCTGTGCGGGCCAAGTTGAATCGCTGGTGGAGCTGGTAGCATTGGCCAGATCGCAGCATCACACCTCTTGAGCGGCAGCCAAGCCTGTACTCATAATTTAAATTTCATGCACTCTGCACAGTTATTTATTTGATTATTTAAACTGCTTGTCAGCCAGTTCAAGAATATTTCGCCAATTTGCATTCTCGATATGTTTAAACAAAAGCTAAATTAGTCTTCGGCTTTGTTATTTCACATTTTTGGCTTCTATTTCCAGACTTCCTGAGTATTTTCGATCCGCTTTTTTCGTATTCGTAACTTGAATTCGATTGGAGTGCATTCAAAAGTCGTATTGCGAAACTCACTTTCAATAGAACGCTGTTATATCAATGAAAATATTCTTTTTTCAATTCAAACATGGAACTTAACAGTAAATTAAAAACGTATAAAGGTTGGGAGAACTATAGATACAATTGTTAAAAAAAAGACTTTAATACGACAACACTTTTTTTTAAAATGATTAATTCGGAATGTGTATTTAAATGTTATCTAAGACTTAAATTGTATCTAAGTGATCTCTTGGTTTAGTTATAAATTAATTGCATTAAATAAATTATAATTAATTTGACAACCTTTTTGGAAGTTTAAAGAACCCGTTAATAAATACAAACAAAACAAAGCTTAAATTTTGGCTGTACGAATAAAATTAATACGAGTATTTTTCATTAATTTATTCATTCAATTTATTCTATACATTTAGTGACATTACCTAAAACTGCTCTTCATAACCCTTGAATGTGGTGGAGGGTAATAATGTCATTGGATATTTGTTAGTAATTAACGGTCTACAATGTATCTGTCATCCAACTTGTTGAGTCTAATTAGTGGCCAGGCATTTGACCTGCTTGATGAGCAAATCAGAATGCAATGAGGAAGATGTTTGCACTTCGCTATTCTCATTATCGATCGGCAATCAGCAGTCAGCGTGTCTTCTGCCGGATGCTGGCAGCCAATTGTAATTGAAATATTGCTGTCAAGTTCGGCGATGACTGATGTTGTATGCTAAAATTTGCATATTAATTGCAATAACAGTTGCCTTTCAGTATGAGCATAAATGATGCGAATCTAACCGCACGCGTCACGAAGTTATGGATAACAAGTAGGAATCAGTAGGCATCGGATTTTGGGTGATATCTCTTTTTAAGTCTGATTTTAAGTCGCATTTATTGGTTACACATTTTTTTAATTAATTATAATTAGATTTAGGCTTAACTAAATTCGGTAGTTTTTTTGTATCAAATTTGTAGCCAACAAAATGTGGATTTTCCCCAAAAGTATGCAGAGGAAACGCTCAAGTTTGTTGCCTAAGTCATTCGTTTTATTTCCAGTTTTTATTAAGAAGCCTTAAAGTGAGCTAAGTTGTTCACTCTGATTTAAGAATTTCTTTTTGGCCTAAAAAGGCTACAATATGCATTAATGCATTAATTTAAACCAAACATAAATGGACATAAATCGTTGGCCTAAAAGAAAAAGGGTAATGTTGAAACTTGAAAAGTGTGTATGTAAAACATGCGCGGATCCACGGGGGGTGATATGGGTGATATATCACCCCCCACTCGGGTGAAAAATTAAAGGAATTTTGGTATTCAAAAAGTATGCAACAAAAAATTTGTTCTGATATCACCCCCCACAACAAAATCCTGGATCAGCCACTGATGTAAAAGGTAACAGGACAAGTTTCCGATCCCAGAAAGTGTATACATTCTTGATCAGCGTCAGCCGAGTCAATGGATAGGCGTCTAATCGTTTGTCTAGCTGCCTGTCCGTATGAATGCTTAAAGTTGGGATTAGGCATTAGGGAGTATAGGGTAAAGATACGAAATGTTATACCTCGTTAAGCTCGTAATTTAATTCACAATATATTGTCATTTAAGTCATAACTTTAAAATTTGTAAGAAAAAACATTTATACATTGTATTGTTAAATTTCCCGGTTTAAGGGCTTGAGGTAAGGTATTAGAGTAGAGTAAATAGGCAGGTTAAGTTTGTTTTAGAAAAAGTTCACAAACAGTTGGTTTAATGTTTTAATTGTAAATTGTATTTTGTTTGAACTATCAACTTTGATTTCCTTTTTTATTTTTAATGATTTTAAATGAAATCATTTCCATTACGAATTTTCGAATCGAAGACTTGCAAATGAGTCTCTCAATCTCATAATTCCCATTTTTATGAGTAGTAAAAATGTTTTTATAATAACAATTCCATTATTGCATTGCCATACTATTTAAACTATTAAAATAAAACAAATTCAAATAAATTCTTCATTTTTTAATATTCAACAAATTGCGTTCTGTGCTTTAGGAATTTTTTCCCTTAAAAAGAAAGGGAAACCGGAAGTGGGAAAGTTTTGGGGGAAATAACAAGGAATTGGGTAGAATTGGTTGGCTCTAAAGCTGCTCGGGATGAAAGCAACTCAACTTAGGCCTCGGGGGCAACGGGCAAATGGGCACCCTGGGGCTGGAAACCGTTCTCGTCGGCGATGTAGGTGACCTCGTAGGTGACACCATCATCAGCAACGAAACGGTAGGATCCAGTGACGGAGATGGCCTCGTTCTCGGAGCCAATGTTCTTCAGCTGACCGGCGGCCTGAGCAGCCTGACCATCGCTAGTCTCCCAGCTGAGAAGGAAGTCGGAGGAGTAAGTTAGTTATCCTTGTAAGGCAGCTTTCAATCAACTTACTCGTATTTGAAGCTCTCGGGTCCAACATCGGATTCCGATCGCAGGATTTGAGCCTCAGGAGCGGCAGGTGCGGCCAGAGCCACGGCGAAAAGGGCAACGAAGACAATCAGGAACTTCATGGTGATTTTTGGTTGGTGTTTTGATCTGCGGTTCTCGAACAGCTGAAGACGAATGGTAACTATGGATGCCCGAGTAAACCCTTTTATAGTTGGCAAACTATGCGCGATTATTTAAAGCGTGGCCGAACTAGTCAAACGTGTAGAAGACATAATCAGCAAAGTCAATGCTAATGTGTATAGTCTGGTTTGGGTTTCATTTTCGTTTGGAGTTGGAGCATTAAAAGGCCTAATACGAAATTTAAATAACACGATAGGCTGAAAAGAATTGCGGCCATAAATATTTAATTATTCAAATTTTGTACCGATTCATTGTGCTAGTATTGTGTTCCTATAAATCCGCCCAAAAATCAATGACGTCAATAAAGATCTAGAGCTTACTTAAGATTTTTTTTAAATTGTGCCTATTTTATTCTCTTCTATCTTGGAAACTTTTAAAATATGGTCAATAATTAAATATTGGGAATATTCAGCGCATTTCGAATTTCAGACATCTCCTAGGCCACCAGCCTGAACTTGGGATGGTAGCCGGTCTCGTCGGCCGTGAAGCTAATCTCGTACTTTTTGCCATCTGGAGCTGACCAGCTGGTGGATCCCTGGACAGAAAGTGAGCCGTCGTCGTCGCCTGCACCTGGCTTCACCTCGCCCGTCTCAGTGCGCGAGATTCCATTGCTCGTTTCATAGCTGTGATCGAAAATTAAATCATATGGGTAAGTAATTAATTAATAAGTCACTGATAAAAGTGGCGTGTCGAATCGAAATTAAAAAAAAATTATTTACATTCCCCCATAGGCTCACTATTCTTATGAACACTGAATATTGGCTTTGAGAAATCTTTTGAGTAGGACAAATGTATTATACAGTTGTAATAAAAGCAATCTGAAGTATTTAACTGTTTAGTTTTGATTAGATTTTTAAAGAATTTTGTATATTTTATCCGTTATTAGCTCTGGAAAAATTCCGAGTAGAAGGCACTATTTTTTCAAACTTTTAAATCCTGCCAGTTAAGTACGCACGCAAAGGAATATTTGTCGCCAGTATTCTCGCTCTCCAGTTTGATGGTCTCCGCCTTGGCATCGTCCTCAGCGGGCAGAGCCAGACAAACCCCGATTGCCATGACGGCAACTAGCCACTTAAAATTCGAATGCATCGCGGTAGCACTTAGTTTTCACAGTCTCCGTCACACTTAGCTGCACTTTACTGAGCTGCGATGCGATCGAATGACGGCCTTTTATACAAAGTCTCTGGATAGTGTCCTCATCGGCGAAAAATGCAAAATAATAAAACAAATGAAAAATAAAGAAATCAGCTATAATGGAAACATTCAATAAAACACATTTTAATTACAGATTAACACTCTAAATACCCTGCACTAATCGTGCATGCAGGTATACTCAGCGGGAGGTAATTTAAACAATTACCTTGTCGACATGAAATGGCTGATGGACAGAATGAAGCCCCACCTTGCCATTAGTCTAAACTATTCAAACTTATTGCTTATACTCAAAGATCGTTCTGTGGGGAATAAAAAAAACGAATCATGAATATTTTTTAGCTATTAGATTGATTTTCCTCTTTGAGTGCCAATAACAACTGGTATACAAAGTATAAAACACCACCTCAAGCTTATTAGAAGATGTCTTCTAGTCGGCAGGCTTAGCTCTGGGCTCTAAGTTTTTGCTATTGTGCATTGTAATTTTGCCATTGTCATTTCTCATATTATCATTAAATGTATGAATAAGTAGAGGCCCATGCATATGTATATATGTGAACACTTCTGTTGCAATAAAAATCAATTATTAATAGAAAATATCAATCGATCACATAACGTTCTCAGTCCAATTTATAAATAACAGAGTTAACCATAAAACAAATGTTAAACTTATGATATTTGTTTGTTATTAGTAACCTGTTTTAAATCGTTAAATATGTTTAACAGGTAGCTTCCAAAGTAAATAATTGACTTTTGCCAAAGTTGACCTTTGATGGAGTCTGACTGAAAAATAATAAAAAGGGAAAATAATAAAACACAAATAGTTTCTGGTAATCATTTTTTCTTTTAATATTTAACAAGTTGAGTGGGTTGACTTAGTTCCCATCCTTTGAAAACAAGGACAAGATCGGTTTGGTAAGGTTCGGAGTTATTAACAAGGAGTTGGGTAGGATTGGGTTGGCTTTAAAGCTGCTCGGGATGAAAGCAACTCAACTTAGGCCTCGGGGGCAACGGGCAAATGGGCACCCTGGGGCTGGAAACCGTTCTCGTCGGCGATGTAGGTAACCTCGTAGGTGACACCATCATCACCAACGAAACGGTAGGATCCAGTGACGGAGATGGCCTCGTTCTCGGAGCCAATGTTCTTCAGCTGACCGGCGGCCTGAGCAGCCTGGCCATCGCTAGTCTCCCAGCTGAGAAGGAAGTCGGAGGAGTAAGTTAGTTATCCTCGTAAGGCAGCTTTCAATCAACTTACTCGTATTTGAAGCTCTCGGGTCCAACATCGGATTCCGATCGCAGGATTTGAGCCTCAGGAGCGGCAGGAGCGGCCAGAGCCACGGCGAAAAGGGCAACGAAGACAATCAGGAACTTCATGGTTATTCTTGGTTGGTGTTTTGATCTGCGGTTATCGAACAGTTCGCGACGAATGATGCTGGCTGATGGCCGGGGCTCTCCTTATATAGATAGAGGGCCAAAGCCAAATTTTGACGACCGGGCCCAACGCAGACAAACTAGTCAAACGTGTAGTGTATAAAGCATAATGTGATAAATGTGTGAAATTAATTTCGGCCTAAAGCCGAATCGTTAAAAGGCCAATACGATATGTAAATTGAGCATCTTCTTCTGTATATTTTGTCGGATTCTCTTTACAGCTGTCTTCTTTGGGTTGCTGTAAAACTGGAGCTCTAATTTATAAGCAAATTCATTATGATTAGAGCTCGCAGACTAAATTCCCTGTTCTTAGTTTTATAAATAGCGATTGCTACAAAGTTCTGAAAATTAATTAATTCAACTAATTTTATTTTTTTAAGAAAATATAATTTATTGCCTTATATACAGACATATATTTAAAATATGATTCAAATTTTTGTTGCTTTTAATTTATCAGTGATAAAGTAAATAAATTGTGCTAAAATTATAGGTTTTCCAGATGTAAATCAATTTATTTAGTTTTAATAATAAACCTTTGTTGTGTCATTCTTAATTATATGTCACTAACGTGTTTTAATACTAACGACCTAGCCCACATTAATCACCAGTTAAGCAGAAGGTATCGTTTTCGGAACGACTCTATATTACAATAATTAATTTTAATATTAATTTAACAAGTTTGCTTAATTCAAATAATAACTTTACTATCCTATTTTTACTTACGGTTATTGCAAAACTTTTATCTTAGAAATTTGATGGCAAAGTAAACAAAAATTATAAATTGATGTTGTAAAGCAAAACAAAATACAAATTTTTATACACTAATCAACTTGTAAAACTCTTAAATAAATACTCGTATGCTTCTGCAATAGTTGTGCAACCCCAAGTGAACATACAAATATTTTAAAGACACATAAGGTGTTTTAGACTTTCAACTATCTTACGTAATTCTTAAACCAATATTTTCATGTATTAATTTATTCTCCAATATAAATTTAGGTTTTTTGATTTACTCATGGTAAAATAACCATAATTGATGAAACCTATGTTTAATTTAGAATAATGCTAAGTACCGGAGCATAAAGAAGTTTTTTTTAACTTAATTTAAAACTCATTAAAATCTGAATATTCCAAATACTATCATACCCAAATTATTATAATTGTTTCTTTGTTACACAAGTATCAACTTTGCATCCAATTTAAAAACAAAATTTTCAATGTACTAATTTTTTTTATTATTTATAACAATTCCGGCTTTTTGACTTAGATCCTTCCTTCCTCAAAATAAAGGTCGACAAGGGGTTTGTTTCAGTTAAACGGTATTAACAAGGAACTATGTAATCCATTTTAGATGACTTAGGCCAGGGGGGCGACAGGCAGATGGGCACCCTGGGGCTGGAATCCGTTCTCATCGGCGATGTATTGGACTTCGTAGGTGACACCATCATCAGCAACGAAACGGTAGGATCCAGTGACGGAGATGGCCTCGTTCTCGGAGCCAATGTTCTTCAGCTGACCGGCGGCCTGAGCAGCCTGACCATCGCTAGTCTCCCAGCTGAGAAGGAAGTCGGAGGAGTAAGTTAGTTATCCTTGTAAGGCAGCTTTCAATCAACTTACTCGTATTTGAAGCTCTCGGGTCCAACATCGGATTCCGATCGCAGGATTTGAGCCTCAGGAGCGGCAGGAGCGGCCAGAGCCACGGCGAAGAGGGCAACGAAGACAATCAGGAACTTCATGGTGATTTTTGGTTGGTGTTTTGATCTGCGGTTATCGAACAGTTCGTGACGAATGATGCCCTCTGTTCGCTAGGTCACCTCTTAAATAGCTGGACAGCCGGTTCGATTATGTTAAACGCATCCGAATTAGTCAAAGCGAAATGTGATAAATGTATGGTATTGAGTTCAGGTTAAAGCTGAATAGTTAAAATCCAAATACGAAATGCAAATCGCCCAAGTCGACCAAGTTGGTCGCATTCGCTTTACATATTAGTTTTCTGCGAAAAAGAAGCTTTTAAAAATGTGCAGATAAACACCGTGGAAATTAGACTAATCGATCACCATATGCTCAATAAAAAAAGAAAATCTACCTCTGTTAAATGAAGTGAACTTTTTTGAAACTTAATTCCTTAAATTTCCATATGACATATAAATTACAAATTTAAAGAAAATCTTTTAATTTGAAACTGAAATTAAAAATATATCAAATTTACAAATACTATAAATTAACTTAAAGACGCCTTTTGCTGAGTTGGAATGCTTTAATTATTTATGAACTCTTTCAGGATACGAAAACAATAAACCTTTCTTGTATGAGTTGTAGCATTTAGATAATTTCTACCTTGTCGACGTGAATTTTTACTAACCCCCGTATTTGAATGAATTGATCATTTGTAGGCAGGTTTTATTTTTAGAACCAGAATTAGTTACCAAATGAAACCTTTCGTCCAATTGGTTTTCATTACGTTTATTCCATAATAGTAATATAAATTTATATTTATTTTTCAAAGTTTCTCAAGATGTCGCATTTAACCCCGCTGTCCTTTTCCTTTGGTCAACTGTGTAGTGTTAAGCCAAGAATACGTGTTACGTACTTTTAGGATGAGAAAACGGGCTTTAATTGAGTAGTTGAAAAATAAAGAACTAATCCTAATTTGATTTATTAAAAGTATACATCGACAAAATAATAGAACAATAGGAATTTTAATTTTAAAAACCTCATAATAGGAATATTTTACACTAGTAAAGGAGAAATACTAAATAATAAAAAACTTAGATTTTTCTGTATAATGGATTACAGTTTAATAATTATATTATATGAAACATGGATATCAAAAGAGGATTACCTTTAGAATTGAAACAATATTTTTCATTTTTCTTAAATATTTATTGGATTCGGTTTTTTTGACTTAGATATTTTTGTTTTATAGTATAGAAAACAATAAACAATATTAACAAATAACTGTTAACAGCTTATGCCACAGGAGCAACGGGCAGATGGGAAGCCTGGGGCTGGAATCCGTTCTCATCGGCGATGTAGTTAACCTTATAGGTCAGGCCATCATCGCCCACGAAGGAGAAGAATCCCTTGACGGCGATGGCCTGCTCCTTTCCAATGTTCTTCAGCTGACCTGCGGCCTGAGCAGCCTGGCCATCGCTAGTCTCCCAGCTGTAAGGAAGTAAAATAAAGTAAATAGCTTTCTTTCTACACCTTATTTTTTAACCTACTTATAGTTGAAGCCCGATTCACTGACATCGGATGCCTGCTTAAGGATTTGGACTTCACTAGACGGAGAACGTAGAAGACCGGCGGCGGCCACGGCGAAGAGGGCGGCGAAGACAATCAGGAACTTCATGATGATTTTTAACTTGGTTTGCTGATCTCTAAGAGTTCGATGCGAATGATATCGATCGATTGCAGATTAAACTCTTTTATACATAAATGGCTAACCAATCCAAGGTGCGGTCGAGCTAATCAAATTCGCATGGCGAATATGAAATGTGTGATAATGGGATCAGTTTCGCGCTAAAACTCAACGTTAAACGCATTTGGGCGTATTGCTTAAATGCGATGCTCACTCAGGTTTTCGTATTTGATTCAATTTTAATAATTTTGAATTAGATTAACTTAAAGCTTTTATATATAGCCATAATGCAAGCTTTTTTGATTGATTTAAGTAGTTCATCTCTACGAAATCATAATAACAAATGAGGATAAGATTAAACCAGATGTATACATATAAGGTAAATGCAAGAATGCTAAGCTATTTGGGGGCTATTTGTGGGCTTGCAAGTACCCCTAATTTATGCATGGGTATGCATTTGCAATACAAACTCATTGAGACTTTAGTATATAGTCAAATGACAGTAACACAAAAAGAACTTGAACTTACAATATATATTGAATATTACAATATCTTACAATATTTATTGACTCCTTTAAATATGGTTCAAAACGTTTAGAAATACACCCAAAACAGGGTCAAAAAATTCAGCGTTAGTTGTTCTTAACTGAAAGAAATGGAATTGTCTGTCGCCCAAAAACTTGTAAATGAAAGTATTATACCATGTGTATTAAACTTGTAAAGTAAAGAAATCTTAAGGGTTGACAATTTAAAATTCAAAATATTTGAGGTTTTTCATTTATCATTAATATTTATTCGTTTAGGTTTTTTTGACTTATATTCTTTTTTCTAAATAAACTGTTTAACAATACTAACAAAACACTTAGTATGGCTTATGTCACCGGTGCAACGGGCAGATGAGCAGCCTGGGGCTGGAATCCATTCTCATCGGCAATGTAGTTAACGGTGTAGGTCTGGCCATCATCGCCCACGAAGGAGAAGGATCCCTTGACGGCTAGGGCCTCTTGCTCGGTTCCAATGTTCTTCAGCTGACCTGCGGCCTGAGCAGCCTGGCCATCGCTAGTCTCCCAGCTGTAAAGAAGTAAAATAAAGTGAATAGGATTCTTCCCAAACCTTTTTTTTAACCTACTTATAGGCAAAGCTCGAAGGTTCGATATCGGAAGCCTGCTTCAGGATGACGGCTTCTTGAGGAGACTGGAGACGAGAAGTACCGGCGGCGGCAACGGCGAATAGGGCGGCGAAGACAATCAGGAACTTCATGTTGATTTTAGGCTCGTTTGCTGATCTCGAAGACTTCGATGCGAATGATGTCGTGGGATTGCAAAGTGAATTCTTTTATACATAAATGGTTAACCAATCCAAGGTGCGGTCAGGCTAATCAAATTCACATAACGAATTTGAAATGTGTGATATTGAGATCAGTTTCCCGTTGAACTCAACGGTAAACGTTTTTGGCGTTTGCGATGAGCTTTCAAGTTTACTCATTTGAAAAAACAAAAAGGGTCCAAACTAATATATTCCTACAGATTATTTCCTATTGTATTTTCCAATTTTTAAAAATAAATAAAGGCTTACGAATTTATAAAAAACACCTTTAACACCTTTATAAAATAGCATTTTCTTGGGATTAGTAGAAGTCCTAATATATTTATATTTAGACCTACCAATTATTTTTTAGATGCTTTAATCATTTCACTAGAATGCCAAAATGTAAAAAACATATTTCTGTATGTACTAATTTTTCTTTAATATATTTTGTTCAGGCTTTTGAATTAGATTTTCTTTCCCTCACAATAAAGGGCTTATGCAATGAAGCCATATTAACAAGGAACTGGATAATCCGTTTGGAACTTCTTAGGGAGCAACGGGCAGATGGGCACCCTGGGGCTGGAATCCGTTCTCATCGGCGATGTAGTTGACCTGGTAGGTGACACCATCATCACCAACGAAGCGGTAGGATCCCTGGACGGCGAGGGATTCATGATCGGATCCAGGGTTGTTCAGCACACCTTGGGCCTGAGCAGCCTGGCCATCGCTAGTCTCCCAGCTGAGAAGGAAGTAGGGATCAGTTAGGTATCCTTATGATGCGGCTTTCAATCAACTTACTCGTATTTGAAGTTCTCGGGTCCAACATCGGATTCCGATCGCAGGATATCAGCGGTAGGATTGGCCAGAGCCACGGCGAACAGGGCGACGAAGACAATCAGGAACTTCATGTTGTTTTTGGCTCGTTTGCTGATCTCGAAGAGTTCGATGCGAATGATATCGACTGACTGCAGGATGAACTCTTTTATACATCAGATGCAAACTATTCCAATGCGCAATCTAACTAACAAAAAAAAAACGTAAATTTATGTTATTGAGTTCAGTTTTGCGAATTTAAAGCAAAACGCATTTTGGCACATGCGAAATTTTGATGCGATGTTCAGTCAGGTTTTCTGATTTAATCTAGCTGCATATACTAAAGCTGAATAACTTGAAAAGCAAAGCCATTGAAAGATAGTTTTAGGAATGGGCTAGTTCATCAGTAGTGTGCAAAAAAATGGAATAACAATAAGAGCATCGCCAAAATGCGTTTCGCAAATGGGACTCACAAATTTCAACTCTATATCATAAATATTCGGTAATGTTATTCATAATTTTTATAGTTTTGGTTTAGTTTTCCACTTAGGTATAAAAGAGGTCCTCCTGCAGTCAGTCGATATCATTCGCATCGAACTCTTCGAGATCAGCAAACGACCCAAAAATCAATATGAAGTTCCTGATTGTATTCGTCGCCCTGTTCGCCGTGGCTCTGGCCAATCCTACCGCTGATATCCTGCGATCGGAATCCGATGTTGGACCCGAGAACTTCAAATACGAGTAAGTTGATTGAAAGCCGCATCATAAGGATACCTAACTGATCCCCACTTCCTTCTCAGCTGGGAGACTAGCGATGGCCAGGCTGCTAATGCCCAGGGTGTGCTGCACAACGCTGGATCCGATCACGAATCCCTCGCCGTCCAGGGGTCCTACCGCTTCGTTGGTGATGATGGTGTCACCTACCAGGTCAACTACATCGCCGATGAGAACGGATTCCAGCCCCAGGGTGCCCATCTGCCCGTTGCTCCTTAAGAAGTTCCAAGTGGATTATCCAGTTCCTTGTTAATACCGCCTAAAACTGCCTTAAGAACATCTTGGCCCTTTATTTTGATTGAGGAAAAGAGAACTTAAGTCCAAAACCTGAACTATTAAATATAAAAACAAAAATGAATACATAAACAAATTATAATTTTTTTTAAATTTAAGCATGCTCTCCAAGTATGCAGATTATTTAGTTATTTAGTTTTATCTTAAGGAAAACTGGTCATAAATTTGGGTTGTAGATGTACTTTTATCAAAGATGACTACCGGAAAATCAAATTCACCTTGCAAAATATATATTTAGAATTTCCTAAAGTTCAACCAAGAGCAGTAAAAAGTTCTGTCCCTCAGTAATAGATATGTAAATCATGAAGACACTGGCCAAAGTGTGTTCAACCCACAACTGGGCATGGCAACTGCGTCAGCAGCTGAGTCGGCTTAAAGAAGCTACAGAGCCGCAGTCAATGCGGTCGATCGGTTTATTCAAAAACTAGTTTGATCTTTGTCGCTTTTTATTTCATGCATATTAATATGGCTGTTTGCTCTATGTTGTTTTTTTTTTTTGGCAGGGCAGGAGGGATCTTCCAAATTTCATTAGCATCGCATGAAATTTAAATCAACGCCTGAAATTAACCTTCAAAACTTCGTTTTCATTCGCGGCCAGATCGCTCGCACATATTTCAATATGCGCCACTTTAATTATGTATTAATTACAAAGACAACAAAAACCCAAACAAGTTTTGGCCGTGCCAAAAATTTGCAAATTTCTGCCGCCCGAAGGCCATCCAGGCAGAAGTCGCCAGACGAGACGAGACTATACGATACGATATGATACGAGACACATCGCATTGCGACGTCCAACGGTGCGTATGGGAAATGTGAAGAGAACAGAGAGAGCCTGTTCTTCCACCTCTTGCGTCATACTTTTCTTTTCATTTCATTTCGCCTCGAACGCGTTATGTATATTCGCAGCCCTACTATAAATATCATATTTAGCATAGTGATCGTATTATGATCCGGGTTCAAGGGACGTTCTAACTTAATAAGTTTATGATTGGAAAAAACCTTAGGAGAGTTTTAGATAGGACAGGCAATTCCTTTCAAAATATTTAAATTTAAGGTTAAAAAATTTGGAATTATACATTTTTATGTTTTTTATTGGCTATATTTAAAATGAAATATTAACATTTCAAACCATTCCTTTTTTGCGTTTGAAAGTGATTTAAAATTTAAAAATGAGAGAACTTCGTTTTTCTTTACAACATGGAAAAATACTGATTAATACTGGGCTACACCAAGAGGTTACATTTAGTTGTGGGGCAGATGATCGCCCTGGGGCTGGAAACCGTTCTCATCGGCAATATAGTGCAGGGTGTAGGTCTGGCCATCGGGAGCCACCCAGCTGACGGAACCACGGACGCTGAGGGCCTCCTGCTCGGTACCGGCGTTCTTCAGCTCAGCCTGCTCCTGGCGGGTGATTCCATCACTGGTCTCGTAACTGAAACCGAAAAGGAGATTTCAAGAATTTTATGCCCTTTGGGTGCTTTACATTTTTCTAATATGCTACTTTATATTTATCATATTCTCGTTACTATAAAAAATATTTATCGATTTTAATTGGAATGTTTTAAACCTTTATTTTTTTTAAGGAAACATTATTTTATGTTTCGTTATTAGAAAAAAATATTTTTGCAAACTTTTCTTCAAAAATCAATTATGTTTTAGGTCTTGACTATATTTGGGTTGTGTAAGTTTCAGTCTCTAAGCATAAATAATAATTTAAAAATTCCCAAGCGAACTTCAGATGCCAATTTTTCTTGTAAGAGGATTTCTAAAGTTGTCACACAACGAGTTCCAGAAAACTTTCAAGGCATCATATTTTACACAGTTAATAATTATTATATTTAATCCTTTCGGAAATTTTTTCTAATCCCTTCCTCACTCACCCGAAGTTGTAGCCATCGGTGCCGATATTGTCGTTGTCGTATCGCAGGATGGTGGCATGTTGAGAGTCATCCAAAGGAGCGGCACTGATCGAGGAAGCCAGAATGAAGGCGCAAATAGCCAGGACACAGAAGCTAGAGGACTGCATGTTTGATTCGATTTTGTATTTGATACTTTTTAAAAGGTCCTGCGTTAGGTTTGTATTTTTAGTTTGCACTGCACGCTCCGGTAGTTAACGAGTAATGTGACGCCCTGTAATGAGTGTTGAGCTATTTATAACTGGCCAGGCCAAAAACTCCAAGTGCTACCAACACACACTAATGTGATCCGTGAAGTTCAGGTGGCCCATAACAAACACCTTAAATGCTAACACAATTATCTACCCATACGCAGATAATTGAAGGCAAATGTATGTGAGCGGCGTGAGTGGCCTAAGCTTTTAATTGAACAAGCCACAAAAATATAAAGACCATTAAGCGTTTGATGTGCGCTCGCATCTCAAATCTCATCTCAATTGCCTCGCCACGGGAGCTGAAAGTAAAATCAGAGCTCAAGATGATGGAGCAAGTGATAATGAAATGTTTGGGCCTCTTCAAAAAACAAATATTTGGCCAATGCGCGTGTTTGCCTACAAGTACACAGATACACACACATTTGGATCTATGGCAATAGGTCAATGGCTATGTTTGCACTTATCAACAAATGGTGATGAAAAAGACTATCCGAACCAGCAAAAACAAAAAATGGGTTGGAAATAAAATCTTCAAGAGAACTGACAAGTGAGCAGTGAGGAAGTGAAGACAAGTTAGGTAGTTATTAAAAAAAATGTTTAGGAAATTGAGCAAAGAACGGGAAGATGAAGTCTGGTGGAATTCCCATGAGCTTAAGTTTTAATAGCCCACTATATTCATACTTTATATCTGTTTTTTTTCCGCATGGCATTCCCTCTACAAAGTAATTCTTTAATTACCCATTTGCAGATCTGCAAATTGTTGGGTGATATCGAAGCATTTCCGCCCTGAGCTCCGGCAACTGCTGACACAATTTCCGATTAAGGCTGGGCGATTTAGCCTCCAAAAGCCTCGAATTAAAACGAATCGAAACGAAACAAAAACCTTAACCACCATTGCTTGTCAGCTGCATTTGCTGTTCAAGTGAAGATGCGGCACGAGAGATTCGAGATTCAAGATTACGCTGCTCATCATCATCTCCATCGTCAGCTCAGCCTGAGTGTTGGTTGATGACCTTAGTCAATAAAATAAAGACGATTTTTTACCAGCTAACCAGACAACAAAAGCCAATACACCAACCGACTCAGCCGACTGAGGCTGGGTTTACCCTACAATACATCGGGGCGTATGCGTAATGCCATTGCAGTTCATTTGCCGGCTTAATATATCATTCAGTAATCTGTGACTAGTGCACAGCAAGAAATATATTCCATTTTATAGTTAGCAAAAAGCTGTAAAGGGATTCAAACGTTCAAATATTTAAGACTAAAATGATTTACATTTTTTTAATAAATTAATTTTAACAAGGAACTCATTAGTTCTAAAATAATTAAAATATTTTAATCATTTTTATTAGCATGATAAATATTTTAAAATAAATTCCTGACAAAATAACAACTAAAGCTAAGCTTTTTCCTATTCTATCACATTTTAGATTTTTTTTCGTGACCCATAGTATAATTATTTCCCTCGGTGTAGACTGACATGTCTAGGCTGAGAAAGGACTGATTATTTTGCAGTTTACGATTGATAAATGAGAGGAGCTTGGGTTAATTGCCTTAAAATGCCCTTTTTTCCACGAAGTTCTCACTTTCGTTGGCAGCTTTGTGGCTTCTTTAATTGTTGTTTGCTTTTGTTTTTTTTGGCAACCTTTGTTGGGTGCTTTTTGGCGTTTATTGAACCGGTTTGGTCAGCAGCTCACGCAGATTGGATAGTGGAGATCGGAGATCGGGGGATCGAAGATCGCAGCTACTCGGTTACCGCATACAGCGTCCACACAGCCAAACGGGTTTGGAAGATACAAATGTATATGCTAATTCGCTGCCTAGAATACAATTCAATTTCGATGGGTGAAAATTTATGCCCCGCCATATATAGATATATACACATATATTTCTATCTATATTTTTATATTATGTATTTAATTTCTATTGTTTGGTCGCCGCCTCCTCCAGCTATTCGGTGGTTTTATGCTTTTATGTCTTATTTTAAACAAAGTCCAAAGCTATCACGTGATCAGTGCTCCACCTGCGGAAGATGTTCGCCCTGGGGCTGGAAACCGTTCTCATCGGCCAAATAGTTCAGCTTATAGTGGACGCCATCGGGTCCCACCCAATTGACGCTGCCCTGGACGGCGATCGCCTCCTCGGGGGTGCCGGGATTTTTCAGGGTGGCCCTCTCCTCACGCGAGATGCCATCGCTGGTTTCAAATCTACAGGTAAATATCTCTGAGTGAATTTATTCAAAGCTTTGACCTTGACCCCCCGGAGTCACCAACTTACGAGAAGGCATAGCCATCGCTCTCCAAGCTGGCGTCGTTCTCGTATCTCAGTATCTGGGCAGTAGTGTCGGCGGCATTTGAGGAGCACGCGCAGAAGCTGGCCAGGATTAGGCCGAGCAGCAGTGTTAATCTGATGGCCATCTGTCACCTATCACCTACCTGTCCTGAGCCAATCCCCGCATGCGACTAACTCGGATTGCGCAAAGGCCGTTCAATATATCCACATGCAATCCATACAAAGCCCAACGCAAACTCGGGCTAATTAACGGAGTGTGTAATAAAATGCGAATATCCAAATGACTCGAACGGCAGCCAAAAAGCAGGCAAATCAAGTCGAAATGAAATTGAAAGCAAACGATGTGCTGCGAAGACGCTCCAAAAAGTTCAAATGGTGTTGCCTTAACCCTCTAAATTCGCTCGAAGCGTTTTATATATGTTTTTTCTCGGCTTTTGTCCACTTGGCTGCGGGTATTAATAATAAAGGGTTCTGTGCAAGAAATTAAGAGTTTTTGAATATCATAAGTATGATTAATAAATATATTTTTCATACTCTACTTTTATAAAATATATTTTTTTAACAGTTTTCAATTGTACGCAACCAAACCCGTTTTGATGTACCTATTTGTATGAGTTTAATGTTCTGAAGCTATTTATTTCGAAATAACGAAAAGCGGATTCATAAAAAAAATAAAATTAACTTCAATCATTTAGTATTTAAACGTACCTAATAATATAGACGGGACCATTTAAAATGTAATTTATTTAAATACACACTTGTAGAAGATATTAATGATGCTTAGGACTTAAATAAGAATTTCGGGGATTTTTTGTACTAGCGATAATGTTATGTACCTATTTACGGCTGCTTCACAAACAAAAATGAATGAAAGGAGTTAAAAGTTGAATAGATCCAAAGTAAATCTATATTCGAATGACATTGAAATTGGAAATGGCAAAGACTTTTTATTAGGCCTCGCTTTCGCCTGCACTTGAGCCAAATTCGATGTGACCCAATTTCCCAGTTTATTGACTATTTCTAAGCCCAACAACTAACGCAACTCATTGCCTGGGCAGGGCGCACTTTGTAGTTAATTTGTTGAAGACAAATGAAATCTGTGTATCTTGTCGCTGGGCAATCAATCAATCGCAAAAGAGTGAGCCGGGCTGAAGCCAAAGGCAAAGCTAAAGCCAAAGCATCCAATCCAGCAACTGGTTAGGTAACGCAGTGTGGGTCAAAGGAAACAAAACGAGAAACTGGTTTCTCCCACTCTCACTCTTTTTAATTTTTTTTTTGGGTCTCGGCTTCTTTTGCTCCGGTAATTGCCATTTACACGCATTGCATTACATGGCCCAAGGAGTATAAATTGGCCACTCGTCGAGGGAATTGCAAGCATTGTCTGACTGCTCCTCGAACCCAGCACTTGAGCCAACTATTCCAACTAAATAACCAAGATGAAGTTCACCATTGCCATCGCCTTCTCCTGCCTCATTGCCTGCGTTCTGGCCGCTCCACCATCCACTCAGCAGGATGCTCAGGTGCTGCGATTCGACAGCGACGTCCAGCCCGAGGGCTATAAATTCGCGTAAGTAAATTTCAGATCCCCAGATTTCCAAGTGTGTCAAGGCCGTTTGCTAACTGGTTTCTCGCCTTTTCTTCTTTACAGCGTGGAGACGAGTGACGGCAAGTCGCACCAGGAGGAGGGCCAGCTGAAGGACGTGGGCACCGATCACGAGGCCATTGTGGTGCGCGGATCCTACGCCTATGTGGGTGACGATGGCCAGACCTACACCATTAACTATTTGGCCGATGAGAACGGTTTCCAGCCCGAGGGCGCCCATCTGCCCAGGGCCGTTCAGTAATTCCTGAACCCAGGTCCCCACGAGGAATCCGATTGAAAGTCATTCGCCAATCAAGTTCCAGTCCAGCATAAATGTGTTAACTATGTTTAAGTTCCGTGTGAAAACATCATAATATTAAAATAACATCCATTCACTTCAAGAATTACTCGCTTTTTATTTTTTTGATTTTATAAATAGGCAGTAAATAATACTTTGGGATATCTTAAAGATGTATTTTTTCTGTACAGAATAATAATAATAATAGAAATTATATAACAATAAAATTAAAAATTCTTCTCTGGCTATTTAAAAGTAAAATATTTTTATTTTTTTGGTTTTATGATAAAGCCAACTATTTACTTCAATCAAATATTCCGACTGCCATTTTTTATAGCATTTTCGATTCATTTCTTCTTTGACTTAATTGAGTTTTAGAGTTTTTAAATCTTTAAATTTAAAAACAACGGTAAAATATCATTCTAAATAAAATGAATACACATTTGTTTTTAAAACTATTTAAATTTTTTTTTAATTAGTCTAATTAATTAGTCATCATAATTGTTATGTTGTTTTACTATGAATAATAGAATTAACATGCATTACAGTTATCTGCTCTTTAGAAGATAAGATGGTCTAAATTATATTTGTACAACTTATTCAAATTTTTATTAACAACTTTTTAATAAACCTTTTGGCGATTGTTTACATCATTTATGGATATTATATTCTTAGGTTTTACATGAATTTTTCGCACCAAAAGTAAATGGTTTTTAATATTTTTAATATTGATAAATATTTTGGGACTTTCATCAGGTTGACCAATAATTTGTAGTGTTTTGAGATTTTCTGTTTATTTCGATTCTATTTATTTTTAAGGAAATGCACTTCTTGATATTTTAATTTTATTCACTGTCAACTTAGAATTTCAAGCCCGAAACAGGCTTCCAATTCGATACACCTGTGATTTCGGGGCTAGTTGCTTCTGTTGCTGCAGGGCAAGTTGTACGTCCCACTCTGCCACAAAATATGAATACCCATGGATTATCAAAAATGTTTGGCTTGTTGTCTTCGACTTGGAAGCGATTGGATTGATTGATTCACGAAAAATGCAAATGATGATGATGAGGTATTTCCTAAAAACGGCGTCGATTTGTTTGCCTTAGAAGTTTTTGTTTTACGTTATTATTTGCGTCGCGGTATGGTTGTTGTGCTTTTTTCATTTCATGATGTTTTTGTGCGTTTTTCAAGCCAATTTGTTGGCTTTGGTGCTCGGCGTGTAATTAGTCATTTTTATTTTCGACTGACTTTTCTTCGATTGGCGGCCTCCGATCCGACCATATATAAACGCCTGGACAGGGCCACAGACATCACAAATCAAGTAACGTTGACTAGCCGTTCGGTCGCAAGTTCCCATCGAATCCTCCTTAAAAACACAAAACAAAACCAATATGAAGTGCACAGTTGCCATCGTTTTCGCCGCCCTCTTCGCCGTCGTCCTGGCCGCCCCCGCTCCCGATGCGGATGCCCAGATCCTGCGCCTGGAGTCCGACGTCCAGCCCGAGGGCTACAACTTTGCGTAAGTCGTAGTAGCAGTACCAGGATTAAGCCAGGATTAAACCCCATTCACCCCCACAGTTTGGAGACCAGCGATGGCAAGAAGCACGAGGAGCAGGGTCAGCTGAAGGATGTGGGCACCGATCATGAGGCCATCGTCGTCCGTGGTTCCTACTCTTTCGTGGCCGATGACGGCCAGACCTACACCGTCAACTACATCGCCGACGAGAACGGTTTCCAGCCCGAGGGAGCCCATCTGCCCAATGTGCCAATTGGCAACTAAGCGAGTACGGATGCGCTAACCGAGAGCTGTTCTATGTATAATGGTTTCTAGTTGATTATTAAATAAACGCGGCAAGAAAATCGAACTCAATCCAGCCTGATTATTTGTCCTTACCCAACTAAAAATTATTCAAATTAACTAACTTTTACCAAACTAAAAAAATTGATTCTAAGCTTTTGAAAAATTCCCCATGAAATCAAAATCAATTTCTAAAATTCAGGCTAAATATTTCCCTATTTCTAGGGAAAATTTATTTACGCACTTATACATCCTTTCAAATTATTATACCATTTATGGTATAATAATATTTTCTTCTTTTGTCTTATATGCAAGTTAGAAAGTTATAATTTTATCAACCTCCCGAGTCGAATGACCTGTGCTACAACACAAGAAAATACAAGAGTCTTAAAAGTAAACAGACACCAACTGAGATTACTGCCAATAGTAAACTAAACCGCAGTGTGCGAAATACGAAACACCTAAAGCCGTTTCCATTATTAGCATGCATTCGTTATAGCAGTAAACAAACTCTTCTTCTGCGGAATTCGAATGATATAAGGTGTATGAAATAAAAGCTCTAAATTGCTCGAAAGATCAGCGACCGGTGGAACCCAGCCCCTTTCATCCCCGCAGCAAGCGCAGCCATCGAATGCAGCCGGTTGGGCGACAATAGTTTGACGTGACCAGTCCAGTTTGACCGGAAACAATGCTGAAATAACGATGCGCTCATTATCGCCACAGATCTACATAAATATTAGCAGAAGTCATTTGCAATCCGCCGAATTCATTGCCACCTTTGACTTTTGCATTTCGCGATTTTCGGCGTATAAAAGCCCCCACCCCATTGCAGTGGAGCATCAGACAGTCCCCAGCTTTCTATCCAGCAACAACATGAAGTTCCTCATCGTTTTCGTCGCCCTCTTCGCCATGGCTGTGGCCCGCCCCAACGAGGCCCAGATCGTCAGGCTGGATTCTGATGTGCAGCCCGATAAGTGGAGCTCCAACCTGGAGACCAGCGACGGCACCAGCATCGTCCAGGATGGTGTCCTCAAGGACGTTGGAACCGAGCACGAGGCCGCCGTTGTCCACGGATCCTTCTCGTGGGTGGATGAGAAGACCGGCGAGAAGTTCACCATCACCTACGTGGCCGATGAGAACGGATACCAGCCCCAGGGCGCCCATCTGCCCGTGGCCCCAGTTGCTTAAACTGTCCTCGATCACAAAACGAAATTTGTTCATTCAGAGACTAAATAAAATTGATTGTTAATTGCAAATAATATGAACGAGTTTTAATCGATTCTGGGATGGTTTACTAAAACCATGGCATAAACAGTGCAAGATGGATTCCAACTAAATCTTCAGCACGCTGCCTAATGATAGCTTATATTTTAAAGTCTAACCAAAATAAAATTTTAACGAGCAAATAATAAGACTTCTATAAGTGTTATTTGTTTTTAAAGTATAAAGGTAAAAGCTATATAAATAAATCAGTGGCGGATCTAGGATTTTGTTGTGGGGGATGATATAAGAACATATTTTTTGTTGCATACTTTTTGAATACCAAAATTCGTTCCATTTTTCACCCGAGTGGGGTGTGATATATCACCCCCCGTGGATCCGCGCATGAAATAAGTATAAATATACCTACTCGTACATCTAAATCTTTGCGTAAATCTTTTAGCGCTTTTACGAATTTTATTAATACATTTTTTTTCAAATACGAGATTTTTCTGTATTATATTTTCATATTTAAGTTTTTTACAAAAATGTCTATATAAAATTAAGAAGTAGAAATTTTTATTAACAATATTTTGGATGAACATTTTTGAGGCTTTCTGGGGCGAAAGAAAGAAATACTGGTTTTCCTTTAGGTTCTGTCAAAAGATTTGTCGAGAACTCTGTCTATTTTACCATCATTTTAATAACACGTAATAATTATACACCCATATATTTTATCACTTTTTTTTTTTTTAATTTTACTTTTATATTATTGAAATACACTTAAGAACTAACACTATGTTTACGTCAATTGAATAACAATCTTTGCTTATATAAGTATATTTCAAAAATTTGTATTTAAAAATTAGCACTTGGTATTGCGTTAATTATTGCATTTCCTTGCGGGCACTGCCCTATTGACAAGTTATACATACTAAACTTGTAGCACTAAATCTAAAAACCAATGACGAAAATCAAACTAGAAAGTCAGTGAGTTAGCTTTTGCAAGCAGAAGTGTAAATACTCTTCAAAGTATTGGCACAATTTAACTGGTGAATTTGCACAAATTGCTACTTTGCCATAAGAAGAACGAATTATTGCTTTTTTATCCGATAAATTTATTATATTACAAAATTTTATTTAATAATTAGAAGAAATTTGTAAAAAATTATGTAGAAACCATATATGTATTTAAAAAAAAAACACATTTATGCAAATACACCAATTAGTTAAATAAATAAATCGCATTGAAAAGTATTGCAACGTTGACCGAAACAAAATACCCTCTAAAAGGGTATGAAAGTATCAATTGTGACACATTTGCATTTTGCCAAATCTAGAGCTACTTTTGACTTTTTCATTTTGCGTCTTTTGGCGTATAAAAGCGCACACCAAAATGCAGTGGACCATCAGACAGTCATAAGCTATCTATCCACTTCCAACATGAAGTTCCTCATCGTTTTCGTCGCTCTCTTCGCCATGGCTGTGGCCCGCCCCAACGAAGCCCAGATCGTGAGGCAGGATTCCGATGTCGGACCCGACAAGTGGAGCTCCACCGTTGAGCTCTCCGACGGAACCAAGATCGATGAGTCTGGAGTCCTGAAGAATGTTGGCACCGAGCACGAGGCCGCCGTCGTCCACGGATCCTACTCCTGGGTGGATGAGAAGACCGGAGAGCACTTCACCGTCACCTACGTCGCCGATGAGAACGGTTTCCAGCCCCAGGGCGCCCATCTGCCAGTGGCCCCAGTGGCCTAAATTATTTAAAAGACTAAAATAAATTGATCGCTAATTGAAAATATTTCGAGATGATTTTCAATCTGTTCTGGGAAGCTCATAGAAGAGCACAGCATTTGGAATGGGTTATTTTTCTTCCTTGTTTCAGCTGCGCAAAATTCATCAATTTATCAATAATTTTAAATTGATCACAAAAAATAAATTGTTGTTTACATTAAAAATTTTGACAAGAAATAATCTTTATACCTAAATTATGATAGATTTCTAGCTTAGTTTTTTTGCTTCCAATTTATTCACATTTATTTTCTATGTGCATAACAAAACAAAATGAAAAAATTAAATAAACAAAGTCCAATTAAGAAATGAGTGCCTTTTAATTTATTTTATTTATTTTTTCAAATCAAAACTAGTCTACAATATTAAATTTATGGGATAGAAAATGGCACTGGAAACTAAAGTCATTCGGCCTGTATTAAAATATTAACACCATAACTATTATCCATTTTAATTAATCTAATTAAATTAATCATTGCATTAAATAACCTTCAAATGTTTTCCAATAATCGAATAGCTCTAGGAGTTTTGATCTACATGATTTGCGTGAAGTGCTATTATTTGTACCCATTGAATTCTACGTGCTGACTTGTATCAAAGTTAGAACTTTTGTTTAATTTTTAGCAATAAACTTTTTTTTTATATTTGACTATGTCATCAAATTAGTAATACAAATTATTTAAAATTTAGTTCTATTTTATATTTGTTTTAATTAAAAGGTATATGCTGCTTAAAGGACTAAATCCAGAATAAACGTTTATATATTTATTAAAATAAGCCATTATAAACTGTCTACTAGACAGTGTCTACATACTCGCCAAGTACTAAAATTAATTAATTGGCATATTTTGTCAATAAGTTTCTAAGACACCTTTAAGATGGGTTTAACTTGCGATATCATGCTTTATAGATTACATAAATAAAGAAAGTTGTTAGTACCTATTGCTCTAATTATGATTGAATATTTGAATAAACTGATTTCCTTCTATACGGTGCAAACATCTGGTTTAATACCTTTGAAAGTGTGTATATGTGCAAATATTAGCAAAAACTTATTAGCATTTTGCGAATTTCAATGCTACTTTTGGCATTTGCATTTCGCGATTTTTGGCGTATAAAAGCCCCCGCCCAACTGCAGTGGATCATCAGACAGTCAAAAGCTTTCTATCCTACAACATGAAGTTCCTCATCGTCTTCGTCGCCCTCTTCGCCATGGCCGTGGCCCGCCCCAACGAGGCCCAGATCGTGAGGCTGGATTCTGATGTGCAGCCCGATAAGTGGAGCTCCAACCTGGAGACCAGCGACGGCACCAGCATCAACCAGGATGGTGTCCTGAAGAACGTTGGCACCGAGCACGAGGCCGCCGTCGTCCACGGATCCTACTCCTGGGTGGATGAGAAGACCGGAGAGCACTTCACCGTCACCTACGTCGCCGATGAGAACGGATTCCAGCCCCAGGGCGCCCATCTGCCAGTGGCCCCAGTTGCCTAAATTATTTAAAAGACTTAAATAAATTGATCGTTAATTGCAAAAGCTTAAGAGCGTTTTTATTTATTGGTGGGATAGAAAATCAGGCCATTTCGGATATATCAGGCCCATGAAGATACCGATACGAACAGCTAAATGCTTTCCGATGGTACAACGTTTTAGTCACTTTATTTGGACATGGTTAAATTTAAAATGCATTTTATATAAAAAGTTTTAAAGTCAGGTGCTTTAAACAAATAAATAAATAATTTAAATAACCTATTTAAAAAAAATGTATAAATTTACTTTTTAACATTTTTAGGTATGTAAATTAAGAACATTCCAATAAAAGTAAATAGATAGAACCAGTAGCGGATCAAGAATATTGTTGTGGGGGGTGATATCAGAACAACTTTTTTGTTACATACTTTTTGAATTCCATTAATTTTTCACCCGATCCACTCCCTGTGGATCCGCGCATGGATAAAACTTATGATAAAGGAGAAAGAAATATATTTATAGTTGTTGTCAAGACAAAATGTTCATAAATGAACACCAGCGTTTATCGATTTCAGTTTTTTTTGTACAGATTGCGTGTTTTAATCTAAAGAATATTTTTGTCATCTTTCAAGAAAACCCGATGCTGGGTGAAGATAATTTTCTTGGTTGTATGACTTTATGACTTTTTTTATTGTTTTGTTTAATTTCCTAATTCAAAATAATATTAGATAAAATTTAACTTTATTTTTATTAGCTTTAATTCTTACATTTATGACATTATTTTGTTATAATTTTATTAATTTTGAAAATATATAGACAAATTACAGGTACAGGTACAGGGTACAACATACTTTTATTATTTCTTTGTAAATAATCAAAAAAAGTAGTTTGTTTAATTTGAAAAAATCGACATATGTTTTACTCTAAAACTATATATTAAAAAAATTTATATATACTTTAAAATAAAAATATTTTTTACAAATACCTTAAAAAACTTATATTCAACGCAAATATAAATAATATGGCTTTTTCATGCACCATGCTCAGTGTACCCACTCATTTAAAACTAAATATGAGTTAAATTGATGTGCACAAGCGATGAACTTGCCTCCTATGACTATATGGAAATCAGCAGCATGATCTTGGCCTTAGCTGTTGTGTTAGCAAGTTGTTTGTATGCGGATGCACTGGCCCAGCTGGTTCGGCGACACTACTTCGGATTCAGTTTCGCTTTCTGCTTGAGCTTTAGCTTCAGTTTCAGCTGCTGGCTTGGTTACTGGAGTGCAGCCCGCTGATTTAGTTTCCAGTTTGACCGGAACAAATGCAAATAAATTCGCGATACTATTGTCCAAGCATTAATATCCGTTGGCATAATTTTGGCGAATTCGCTCAATGTCATATCTCACCTTTGACTTTTGCATTTCGCAATTCGCGAATCGTATAAAAGTCTCCGCCCAAATGCAGTAGAGCATCAGACAGTTCCCAGCTATCTAACAAACACTACCCAACATGAAGTTCCTTATCGTTTTCGTCGCCCTCTTCGCCATGGCTGTGGCCCGCCCCAACGAGGCCCAGGTCCTGAGGCAGGATTCCGATGTCGGACCCGACAAGTGGAGCTCCACCGTTGAGCTCTCCGACGGAACCAAGATCGATGAGTCGGGAGCTCTGAAGGATATTGGCACTGAGCACGAGGCCGCCGTCGTTCACGGATCCTACTCCTGGGTGGATGAGAAGACCGGTGAGAAGTTCACCGTCACCTACGTCGCCGATGAGAACGGTTTCCAGCCCCAGGGCGCCCATCTGCCCGTGGCTCCCGTCGCTTAAGTTGTTCCCCAAATCGATAAAAATAAATCAAATTGCTTAAAACTTAATAGGACTCGCTCTTTTTATTTAGGATTAAGTTCTTTGAATATGAAAAGAAAGCAAGAAAGATTTTTACATTACAAATTTACAAATTAATTTGTACACTTGATGTCAAACCATACAGCAATAATATTTGCGATGAAGCCATTTTCATCTTTGGAAAATACACTCTAGGTTTAAAGTTCCTTTTACAAATGTTTCACAAATGCATCGCAAAATACGCGCGATAGGCTATCACGTTTCAATTGTTAAAACAAACTTATGGTTGTTCATTAATTAACATACCGGCTTGTGCGACTTTTTCAGATGTAACTTCTGTTTTGTTTTTTCATTAATCATAACAGGTCATCCAATCGAGAACACCCATGTATATTAACAAGCATCTACTTTTTGGTCACCAAGCAAAGCATATTTATTATTCACATTCAGTAGGTTTTTTTTTTATCTTTTCTGTTTCTCGTCGTTTGCTAGACATTAAACTAGTTTGGCCCGCCAAATGGCTGAAGATGAGCTTACTATAAATACGCGGAGATTAGGCCCTAATTGGTATAGTAATCTTTGAGTCTTCAACGAACTACAACGCCTTCAACATGAAATTCGTCATCGTCCTGTTCGCCCTCTTCGCCGTGGCTCTGGCTGCTCCTGCCGCTCCTGGAGGAGAGGCTCAAATCCTGCGATCGGAATCCGATGTTGGACCCGAGAGCTTCAAATACGAGTAAGTTTATTGAGAGCTGCCTCATAAGGATGACTAACTTACTCCTCCTTCCTCCTTCTTAGCTGGGAGACTAGCGATGGTCAGGCTGCTCAGGCCGCAGGTCAGCTGAAGAACATTGGATCCGAGAACGAGGCCATCTCCGTCACTGGATCCTACCGTTTCGTTGCTGATGATGGTGTCACCTACGAAGTCACCTACATCGCTGACGAGAACGGTTTCCAGCCCCAGGGTGCCCATTTGCCCGTTGCCCCCGAGGCCTAAGTTTAAGGAGTTAAAATAAATTGTTTATAAAAAAATACTATTTTGTTTGGCTTTTAAAACGAAATACTTGGGAACAGTACCGAAATGGGTGTTGAGAAAAAGGTAATCCAATCATTATAAAAGGAAAGCAATACAATTAACTCTACACCTCTAAAAATGTTATTAAGTTTTTAGAAATCCTTCCTTTAAGTCAGACAGCATATAAATTAAGGAAAAACGTGTAGTTGTTAAAAAATTAGTTTTTGAATAGACAAAACTTTTTTTGATAGAAATTTTTAAATTGAAAATGTCTGCACACCGAATGTGACAATTCTTAAAATATATTTGTTTGTCACTGCATTTCAAAAACATCTCTTAGTGTTTTTTATTGATATGTGGACAGCCCATATTACTATTATTTTATCGATCTTGAATAATATAAATTTAAGGAGAAAACAATGATAAAAAAGGTTACAACATTTCTTTTTGGGAAAGTTTCATCGCAATTGCTTTAAAACTGAGAGACTAGTTCTCATAGAAACGGACAGGAGGACATGGCTAGATTGACTCTGCTATTAGTGCTGATCAGTGGCGGATCTGGGATTTAGTTGTGGGGGTTGATATCAAAACAATTTTTTTGTTGCATGCTTTTTGAAAACCAAAATTCTTTTCATTTTTCACTCTAGTGGGGGGTGATACATACCCTATATCACCCCCCGTGAATCCGCGCATGGTGCTGATCAAGTATATATTTACTTTGCTTAGTACACTCATAGAAATTTTTACCCTAAATCGCCCTAAAAAACTGACTTTTCGCCCGTGGATTTAGAAAATCGCCCATAAATCGTATCCGCTGGCGATTCGCCCGTGTATTTAGAAAAATTTTCTAAAAAATCCCGATGGAAATTTGGTTTAATTTAGGGTGATTTTTCTTGAATTAAGAAATATTTTCCTGTTTTTAGGGTGATTTGCCCTAATTTTAAGGTGTATTTTTCTAAAATTAAGGGCGAATTTTCTATTTTTAAAGGCAAATGCCCTTAAAAATTAGACAAATTAAAAAAAATCGTGTTTGAGCATGCTTAACTGAATTTGGGAAGCATGTATTTTAATCGTGTATATTCTGGGAACTGGGACTGCTTTAATTAAACAACACCGGCGGAGGACACCGTTTCATATTATTGTATTGGTGTGTAGCTTATATGGGAGCTGCGCTAAGAGGGGGCCCGATCTATACAGAACAGCCGTTAGAACTGAAAAATCATGTTTGTAAACGAATTAGGGAAATAAATATGAGGAGAAAAAACAACTTACTTTTTTTGGTCATTGCGAGAATCGAACCCACGACCTCTCGGTTTAGAGTCTAACGTTCTACCGCTGCACCACAGACCCAACGCGCAAGACGACGAACAAACTCTGCACACATCTTATTTTCTTGAGGTCTACGTTATAATTTGACAAAAGGCAACTAAACCGTATATTTTTTTCCTGACGACTGTGACAATTAGTCCCGTTTTCTTGCCCGCAAACACAAAGTATGCTTTTAACTCAGATTTCCCATACGTTTTTAAGGTTTAAAGACTACTTTAATTAAAAATTCGGACGAAAAAATGTCCTTAGTGTTTAGTCCTTATAATGTTTACAAAAAAAAAAAACATAAAAATCAAGTTCAATCACACAGGGTTCGAACCCACAACCCCACGACCTTAGTCCTCATATAGCAAAGTTGAAAGCGCAAGTGATTAGACCGCTGGGCTACCGAATTTCACACTTTTGGAGTGATTTTTAAGGCGAATCGCCCTTGTATTTAGAAAAATTTTAGAAAAAAAAATTAGGGCAATTCGCCGTTGGATTTAGAAAAGGTCAAAACGAAGCAATTCGAAAAAAATCGCCCTAAATATTAGAAAAATAGAAAAATTAACCCTAAAAATATTTTTTTATGGTTACCAGCCTTGAGTTTATGGCAAATTTGTCATGAAAATAGAAAATTTTTTCTCAGTTCAACGGCGAAAATTTTTTTAGGGCGATTTTCTAAAATGTAGAAAATTATTTTTATGAGTGTAGGAAACGTCTCCATCACAGCGTTGCAAAATTTTGAATGAAATAATAATACCCTCTGCAAGGGTATACAAAAATAAGACTATTAAGTTTGATATTTTATGGAAGTTGTGCATGATTTGTGCGTTACAAAGAGATTGATGCGTCAAAGCATATGATCAAATTACAGCAACAACATTAAGGTCTCATCATGGTACTTTTTGATACACTTACAAAGTTTGGGTTTCCTCTAATGACGAATGCATCAACAAAACACGTGGTAGGCTGCATATATTTGTTATCACGTTTTAATTGTCAAAACAAACTCATCACTACTCTTTGATTTCCATAACTGCTTTTGTAACTTTTTTAAGTCATAACTTTTATTTTTGACATTCTTTTAAGCATATAATGTCATCTTATTGAGAACGCCTATCTACATATATGTATATTCACAACCAATTGTTTTTTGGTCACCAATCAACGCCCATAATATGAATTTAGTATTCGTATTAAGTATGATTTTTCTTGTATCTTTTCTATTTCTCGTCGTTTGGTAGGCAGTAAACTTGTTTTGACTGCTTTGCCGCCAACTAGGCTAAACTTAAGCTCAATATGAGTTGACTATAAATACGCGGAGAATAGGCCCTAAACATTATAGTAATCTTTGAGTCTTCAACGAACTACAACGCCTTCAACATGAAATTCGCCATCGTCCTGTTCGCCCTCTTCGCCGTGGCTCTGGCCGCTCCTGCCGCTCCTCAACCGGAGGCTGAAGTCCTGCGATTGGAATCCAATGTCCAGCCCGATGGCTATGAATTCGCTTTGAAGACCAGCGACGGTACCCAAAAGGAGGAGTCAGGTCATTTGATCAACGCTGGAGCCGAAAATGAGGCCATCGCCGTCAAGGGATCCTTCTCCTTCGTGGCCGATGATGGTCAGACCTACACCGTCAACTACATCGCCGACGAGAACGGTTTCCAGCCCCAGGGTGCCCATCTGCCCGTTGCCCCCCTGGCCTAAGTTTAAGGAGTTTAAATAAATTGTTTATAAAAAATATTCTATGGTTTGGCTTTTTAAACAAAATGTTTGAATGTAGTGATGGCTTTAGGAAAAGGTTTACAGAAAATCATACTAAGAAACTAAAAAAATAGAATGGTCGGGAGCCTTGACTATTAAATACCCCTTACTTTGTAGACCAATTACAAAGTACAACTTTAGACAAAAGCGATTGGAGCACTAACGACGCGACGTCAGTGATCATTAAAAGCCCTTTTAACTTAGTTACTCAAAGTTTTCAAATAATCTTAATCTTTTTTCATATCAGATTATTTTTATTATTTAAGAACATTGTTAGAACTTACGCGATTTATTCAATAATTTAGATCAATATCATCTTTATTCAAACCAAGTTTATGCGAAATATTTTAACCTTAAAAAAAGACCCAATTGACCAGCCTATATTAATTTATTCCTTAGCTTTTTGTTATGTTTAAATTATAACAATTACTATGGTTTGGCTTTTGGAATCTTTCTGAACATTTATAAAAACAAAATTTAGGATTAATGTTACTGTCTAAATAATCATCAATAAACTTAAGCAAAGTGGAATTTGATCAATAACAGGCCAAAAAAACGTATAACAAAATTGGATTGAAGAATATCATTTTTTTAAATGCTTTGACAATGTTATTGCACCAAAAACATTGCTAGATTTCTCTGTGAATTTCAAATGATTAGATTAACTCTTTTTCAATATCCACATCGATACTGTTCCCAAACATGTTTTTTCAAAAACCAAACAAAAGAGTATTTTTTTTATAAACAATTTATTTTAACTCCTTAAACTTAGGCCTCGGGGGCAACGGGCAGATGGGCACCCTGGGGCTGGAAGCCGTTCTCGTCGGCGATGTAGGTGACCTGGTAGGTGACACCATCATCACCAACGAAGCGGTAGGATCCCTGGACGGAGATGGCCTCGTTCTCGGATCCAATGTTCTTCAGCTGACCTGCGGCCTGAGCAGCCTGACCGTCGCTAGTCTCCCAGCTGAGAAGGAAGGTGGAATTAGTTGGCAGTCCTTCTGAGGCAGCTCTCAATCAACTTACTCGTATTTGAAGCTCTCGGGTCCAACATCGGAATCCGATCGGACGATGGAAACGTCAGCAGGAGCGGCCAGAGCCACGGCGAAGAGGGCGAACAGGACGATGGCGAATTTCATGTTGAAGGCGTTGTAGTTCGTTGAAGACTCAAAGATTACTATTATGTTTAGGGCCTATTCTCCGCGTATTTATAGTCAGCTCATATTGATCTTAAGTTTAGCCTATTCGGCTTCAAAGTAGCAAATACTGGTTTAGTGCCTACCAAACGACGAGAAATATGAATACTAAATTCATTCATGTGCTGTTATGCGTAAAGGGATATCAGAAAAAAAGTAACATCTTAAGAAAAGGCAAACAAGCAGTTATGTTAATGAAATAGTTGTGATGAGTTGGTTTCAACAATTAAAACGTGATGCATTCGTCAATTTTATTTGACAAAAGATATATACATTTTTTTATTTTTTACAAACATCATGCTTTAAAACTTGATTATTATAATTTAAATATAAAGAGCGTTTGACATTTTACCTCGTTAATAATTGCTTTGTTTTAAATATCCATCCTTTATTACAATTAGGTTTCATAAAGTTGGTCGACTTTTCTTTATTGCTGATGTAGTAGAGAATTTAGAAGTACTTACATCAAGGTAAATATATATTTATGAATTTGTTTTATGTTTTGCATAAATTTTTAATGCATTTCGGTTTAATTTTAAGTTTGAAAATGTTTCAGAATACTTTTAAATTTAACAACCTTGAAAATTAATATTTTAATATAAAATATTTGACTTATTTTCACTCTTACAGCAATTTCTTCTGAACAAATGACTTAAGAATTAAAAAAAATAACAAGACCTTTCGATCGGTAGTAGTTTTAGTCATGAACTGTAAATAGTTTGATAATAATTATAAAATAACCGTAACTTAATATAATCTCGATTGGTAATAGATTTAATAATAATAGTTATATTTGTAAGTAGAACGAAACTCTTAATTAATTAGCAAGTGTAAAATAATGGCAGTCGTAAGAATTTTAATCTATAATGTTCAAGTATATCCGTATAAAATATAAAATATTGTGATTCTTATTTTAAAAAAAAAACTTCAGACCTAACACATAATTTAAACAATTATAATACTCTATAAAAAGTACGTTTTTAGAAATTATAACTGCATTTAAAATAAATATTATCTTGAGATATAAAAAATATGCGTTTTTTTCCTATAATTTAATTCAATGTCTTGGCAATGCAATGCTTAAATAACAAATATCAGCCTTTTCTGTTTTTTCTGCTTAAAACTTATTAATTAAAGTTGATTTAAAAATAATTATTATTTCATTTAATCAAAAATTGTTATTTATTCGTGGAGTTTATTTATGCACTATCAGATATTTTCATGTTAAGACTGTCTACTTAACTTTGAATCTATACCTAAATCTGTAAGGAATGAAATTATTTCAAACTCCCTTGAAGACCGCCAAAGAACACACATATTTATTTATTCGAAAATCGAAAGTTCGGCTTTAATGCGAGTAACAAGGAAAAAAGAAAACAATGCACGACACTGACTTGACTGACTGATCGATCGACTTACTAACTGACTGACCGACTGGCTGCCACGGGACAAGGGGCAGCTCCTCCGGACAGGACTTCAGCACCTCACTCTATGGCCGGTTGGTTGGTTGGTTTGGGTGGTGGGATTAAGGGTTACTATTTGGGGTGGGTGATATCTACAGGTTCGAGATCCTCCAGAGCGAAGATCTACTTGGGCAGATGGTCGCCCTGCGGCTGGAAACCGTTCTCGTCGGCCACGAAGTTAATGGTGTAGGTCTGTCCGTCGGGAGCCACCCAACTGACGGATCCTCGAATGGATATCGATTCGTTTTCGGTGCCCGCATTGTTTACTGTGCCCTCCTCCGTGCGGGAGGTGCCATCGCTTAGTTTATAGCTGAACTTGTAGCCGCCTAGGCCGGTGTTCTCCGATTCGTATTCCAGAACCTCGACAGCATCGTTTTGGGGCCGGGCACTGGCCAGCGCCAGGATCAGGGCCATCGAGCCAACGACTAGCATCTGCAAGGCGAGAGGGTATTAGGTATCCTTTTTTCGGGTTATCCTTGCTGTCGCCTATCCATTTTGACCTACCAATTTCATCATGTTTGGAAGCGGTTCTCGGATTCTGCAGATTCCCCCAATGCGGCTGGACAAACTGGCGGTTGTCTAATGGTGGCGTTGCATCGCCGTCCACTGCATTTTATACTGCACTCGCTGCACAGCCGCATTTGCAAACGTCATAAATTTGCACAATTGTGGAAGAAGCCAAGAAGCCAAGCAGCTCGGCGGCTCTGGCGGTCGCCGGCTAAATGTTTTTCTCTATTTCCATTTTATTTTGTTTTTGTGCTGCTTTGCTGCTTTTCAATTGCCAGCGTTGCACCAAAGTCGCCAAAGTCGCTGCGACAAGTAACATTTAAAGCGGCTTTGTGCAGCGGTGTACTCATCCGAAAGGTATTAGCGCTCTTCACCCACACTCGAAAAAGTATTCTAAATAGTTTCAGGACAACTCGGTCATGTTAATTATAAATTGTTATTATTTTGGCAATTAAACCAATAAATACTGTAATTCTGAAAGAATACCTATTTTTAACTTAAATATCAAGAATCGAATTTAGTTTTGTACATATATTCATATTCATATATACTACGTTCATATATTCATTGCCAATGTATAGGTCGGATGATAATGATATGAAGATGATTTATATTATCTACACTGAGGGAAAAAACCCAGACTAAATTTAAGAACAAAATTCTTATTTTAAGAAATTTTGGTACTTAAATTTTGTTCTTACAATAAGAACAAACGTACTTAAAAAAAGAGCAAACATTCCTAAAATAAGGCTATTTTATTCTAAGATTAAGAAAATGTTGTCCTAAAATTAAAAAATATATATTGTATTTATGAACTACAAAAATTATACATTTTTTGTCCAATAATCTACGAGAGAAAATTAATTTAAAAAGCAATTTAATATAATAAAGAAAAGCAATCAAATAACATTTATTTAGACAAAAAATCATGGTTTTTTAAATACGTTGATACAGTCATAATACATTACAAATCTTAAAATGTTAATTTACTTAAATACGCTTAATTCTAATATACGATTTCCCATTGTTTGTTTATTGTTTATTGTTTTAATGTTTTCGTTGTATATGTGTGTACGATAACACTGTGCAACACTTTTAGGGTTATAAAATGTAACCGCAATTCTGATTTGATAAGCTAAAACCCATTTGGGTTTCTCTGGCTTAGCTCGCGTTTACCTATTATAGCGAGTTAAAGTTTTACATACAAAATGTATTTGTAACGGCCATATCTTGTGAACCGATTAATATTTTACTATCAAGTCTTCAGTGATTATATAGCTATGAACACAAGGAACTAAATTGACAAATGACTCTTGCGAAGACGTACACCTAGCGCGTTAAAAATCGAAAAATTAGGCAAATTTTTTTTTTAACGCGCTAGGTGCACTAGGTGTTAAGTGCGACGTCAACGTTTCTTTGCTTAACAGCGTCAAAAAGCTATCAGCGCAGCGGTCGAAAAAACTGCATAACCCATGGGTGATATAAACAAAATAAATGAAAAGAATGTGAAGAAAGGAAAACACTCCAGTTGCGTCAGTGTGTGTATAAGTATTTACATATGTACATATGTACGCTCACATTTTTTTTTCTTCTCCCTTTGTTGCTCCGCTGATAAAAGCTAAGCTAATTTGTATTCCTTAGATGCAATTATAACATTTGATTGTTTAAAATACATGGACAGGGATGATATTAAGGAGGCAATTCCACCACTGGGTCCTCGTTTAATTTTCAGGGAAAAACTGTTTGAGTGGAGAAAAACTTTTGTGTCTTAACTTACAAAAAAAAAACAATTGGCATACATTTTTAACTCTTATTTCTTTAAAGTATGAAGCCAACGAAAACTCTGTTGAGCTTCAACTCAAACAAATTGAGCCTATCAAAATCAAAGAAGACCAAAGTATCAACAGCAGAAAATCCATTAATTATAAGGTTATGAAATAAATAAATGAATTTATATTCTTAAATAAAGTATGTATTTTTAATCTTAAAAGAAGATCACTTCCTTGTTTACCATACTCTTAGGTTCAGAATATTTAGTCTTAATTCTATACCACTGACATCTTAAATTAATAAAATGTGTTCTTAGATGAAGATCAATTTTTCTTGATTTTAGATTTTTTGGTCTACAATAAGTGTTCTGCATTTAAGAACATTCTGTCTTAATATAAGAACAATCGGACTTGACTCATTCCCATGACCAAACGTTCTTAATTTAAGAATATTTCTCTTAATTTTAGACTGTTTTTTTTCTCAGTGTACGAAAAGCTTGCTTAGAATAGTACATTTTAGAATTATGAACGGGTCAGTTTGGTAAATTATCTGGAATGAATGTTTCCCTCATAGTTGAGTTCAAAAAAGTTGTAATGCTGAAGTATGTTATTACAGAACATCAGTCTTGCCATAGAGAGTGTCCGGAAAGCATCAGTTCTATTCTACAATAAAAATATCTGAAAAATTACGAAAGAAAACGTGAAATTAATCCAGATAATTCGATATATACACTGTGCAATTCTAGTAAAATAACTGCCAATACTATTCTACGCTTACTGATACTTTAACAATTATTTTGAAAAAATAAGTTCTTAGTAACTTAAAAAAATCTTTTTGATTTGTCTCGCATTACTGATTTTTTAAGAACTTGAACTTGAACTAAAAATTCCGGCTGCGTTGTAATATATAATATAAGGCTTAACATCTAAGACAGAACAAAAACTACTCAGCTAAATCAATAAAAAGCTTTATGAAGAAATTTTCTGAAATTTATAACAAGCAAAAATTAGGTCGATTAGCAACTTCAAGCCACTTTTTCTCCGAGTGCTGGCTAGTAGCTTTAGAAAACTCGAAAAAGTTCATGAATCAAGCAGATGTATTGGGGAAAAGGTCGCGGGCTGATTGGGCAGCGCCGGGGAAACACCGGGCCCAAGAACGATGGGAAACAATAACCAGAACGGTTCGGCATTCAGTTCCGAACCGAAATCGAACCAAAATCGACGACTATTTGGTAGCCAGAGACTACTAATAGACTAAGTTCAAGTGCTGTCGACGCCAATTGGCAGGGCAGCAAGTTCAAGCCGCGGACACGAAGAACACGAGCTGAGCCAGCGCCATGTGTGATGGCCAAAGTGCACGGCGATGGATGAGACTTTAGATGGAGATGGAACCGCAGCTTGACTTTTGGCATATGCAACGGCCTTTACAGCGCTCGATTGATGTGCCTCTGCCCGGTAACAAGCGCCAAAAGCAGTTGGAAATATTTAAAAAATACATCGAATAACCTACAACTACGGCTCGCATGCAATTTAAATCTCTGACTTTTGTTGTTTTTTTTCTGATTTTTTTTTTTAGTTTTTCAGTCGCCGTTTCTGTTTGCCAATTTATGCCACCTTCGTTGACCGCTAGCAGGCCGATGATGAAGAAGCCCAAGCCGGTCAGTCGGGTTTTAACTTTGGTCATCGGTCGGCCTCAGGTTGACCACGGTTCTGCCCCAGTCTCCTCCTCCTCTCCACTCGAATTGTGCCAACAGCTTCATTTTAGTCCCTGTTCATCGACAGGGTGTTGTGCACTGATACTGGCATTTCCTCAAATGTCGCTTAAGAGCGCAACTTCTTGCCCGGTTCTTTGGCAGCTGCAATTTGACATTTTGACATTTTTTCTCTACTACTTACCAACGAATGATTTGAGCTAAGCCAATCGGGTTTGATTTTCAACACTTCGTAGGGTAATTATTATTTTTAGAGTTTATTAACAACCAATGTATAATTGAATTATGAACAAAATAGACAAAGAAGACTTTTTAAAAGTCCAAACCACCAAAAATAAAAGTTTATAGGCACACAGAGAAAAAACGAAGAACATACTCAAATTGACCACAAAAATGAAGTAGATTCCCTTCCATTTTTAAGTTGATTTTTTCTTAATTCAAATACATTTTATACTTAAATAAGAACGCCAGAATTCTCTCTGTGCATTTCTATAATTATTATTGAGCAAATAACATTAAAGCTAATATTATCATAGTGTGAAAATTATGAATTGACCAGAAATGTCAAACTAACATATTCCAATTAGACAGCAAATAAAAAAAAGTGTAAGTGTGTAAAATAAACAAGTAAAACAAGTCTTTGAAATAGGAATATTTTAAAGATTATTTTAAATCAATTATCTATAAAAGTAAATATGCAGAAGGTAACCTTTAACCTTTAAAAAACTTTAGATCAAATTGTCATTTATGGACATGAACTTCCCAAAATCATCCAAACTTAAAGACTTAATTAATTGGGCCTGTCCGCCTACGAATTGAACTTGAGCCGAGGGCATTCGGGCCCTTGAAAATGGATCTGGTTCCATTCCGATCCGTGACTGCATAACATTTATTATTATTTGGGTCTCTTTCCGCGGCTTTTCGAGGGCATCTGCAGCGAGCTGCATTTATCATGCTGGATTTGCATAATTAATCTGGCTTTGATCGATGGCTCCGACTGCTAATCTGTGAGCGGGGGCGTTGTCATTCGTGTTGGAGGGAATTCGACACGTTTTGGGGCAGAGTTCTTCTTCCTTATACAGAATCATTTACATAACTGTTCTAATCAAACGGCAATCGACAGGTTTTTCAGCTTCAGACTGTCGCTTTCAATACACAAATACGAGATGCGAGATGCCGGTTGCCAGACAGAAAGACAGAGACCGCCGCAGATACAATAGATATTTATGTAGATGCGTCTTCACATTTACGTCTTCAAGGTCACCGCCAGATGCTGCTGCTGTCCATCCGTCCATCTGTCTGTCTTTCAGTCTGTCCAGCCATCTGTCCGCCTGTCCAACCATTCAGCTGCCGTTTTGGCCCGGCTTTCGTTCGTTGCCAACTCGCACGCACCTCACTCCAAAAGTTGGCCAGACCGGCTTGAACGAACTCGGTTTTTGGGACTCGGCTTGGTGGGTAGGAATCGAACTCGGTTTCGGGTTTTTTCATTTCTTCTTTGTTTTTGCCCGTCTCCGCTCATTTTTGGCTGCCGCATCAACTGGGTCTGCAAAATTAGCACTTGAGCGTTAATGGCAATGTTTTAATAGCAGGGCCCCCCTTCATCTCAGCTCATCTCCCCCTGCTGGCCATCACTTCTTTAAATATGTAAATGTCACATTGCTGTTGTTTTTTCATTTCTTTTCCATCACTTTGACTGCTTGTTTCGTAATATTTGCATTTAGCTAAAAACACACAAACAGAATCGGTTTTAAAAATACTTCTGCTGACACCTGACATTAAGAATCGTGCGTATAATTTAATTTTATAGCAGGCTTTGACTATATTTGTTTGCTGTTTTTTTGTTGTGGCCTGAATGCAACGCAACTTGAGTCTCTTAAATAAAAACTCTGACGCAAAGATTGATTGCCGTGAATAAACATTAAAATATATTTTTGTTTACCTTAACCAGTTTTGTTTTAAAGCACCAGAATAATTCCTATCAACTCTCAAAGGAATTTCTCTTAGCCGGAAGGCGATTTCATTTAATAATTTCAAAAATCAGTCAAGAATTTTTTAAGTATAACTTTATATTTGACTTTTGTGATTCGAACGAATCATTTACCTTAGGGGAAGCACATGTCCTCCAATTTTGAGGCTAACATTTCTTAAGTCCAAACAAGTTTATCGTTCTCAACTTTTTCATACACCATATCAAATGACTTAAGCAAAAAACCTTAGTTTTGTTTTTAATAAACCACTTCTTACATACTTTTAGGCATTATAAAAAATCAGATTTTTTTGCCAAAACGTGTAAAACAGAAGTCGCAAATCACTGTGGACGGCAGTACACGTAGTGACGAAGCGCACCAGGAGAGTGTGCGAAGGGGACTACTATTATACGGTAGCAGATTTAAAAATCTGCTGTGAATTTCGATCAGAAGGTATCGCAAAAAGGATTGCATACCAAGACTTAAAAATTTTCCATTGGCTTGCGAGAAAGAGCGGAAAAGTGTAAATATTAAGAAAAATTTCAGATTCTCACTAAAAATACGCGTCAATTGATGTGTGTGTTTATTCCTATTAATCGAATTTCTTTTTTCTCACCCAAAATATATTTAAATATTTTTACATCAGAGCAACTTTAAAACTGTAAAGCTCTTAAATAAAGAAACAAAGAGACAACTTTTAGGGTAAATATAAAAAGATTTAAGCAAACAACTTAGTTATTAATTATGTAAATCCTGACATACTTTTTGGAAACGTTTTAAAAATTCTTAATTCGGTGTCCAAGTGCGTTTTTGCTAAAAATTCGTTTTGGTACAGTATTTAATCAATTGAGAATCATATTTTAATAAAGTCCATTATTTCTTTATAAAATTTATTTTTAAAATGGTAAGCCTGAATATTGCTAAAAAACTTTGTTTAGGTATATCTTCAAGTTTATTCAGAACATTTCTTTCCGGACTACCATTTCTATAAATACTTCAGCTCCTGACTTTGATTGGTTTGATTTTGCATTTGTTTATACTCGTTTAAACTAGTATGATTAAAAATCCAAAGTGTGACAAACTTTTGGCATCAAATGATTTACAAGCGAAAAACCATAATAGATTCACGTATTACCTAAAATGACACAGATGCTAAATATCTTCAAAATTTAAATTGGCTCAGTATTTTCAAACGACGTTACAAAACGTATTTGCATAGAATTTTTAAAGTGGTTTATCGTTTGGTGTGGAGTTGCTTAGCGCCCTCACCTCATTTCCTCTTATAAAAAGCTGTAAAGCCTCTCCATATCCACTCGGCACATGTGCCCCATCATTTTCCTAATCGCCATGATTTTATGTATTTTGCTTGCATATTGTCAACACAAATTCATTCCCTTGCACAACAAAAAAGTTTTCAGAGTGGATTGGTTATTTTGGATCGAATGTTTTTATTGCTTGCAACTTTAACATATCATCTTATACGCTAGCCTAAAACAGTCGTCAAACTGTTGTAATAAATTCGTGATGGATTGTTAATAGGAATGTTTTCTAAGTTGATTTAACCGGCCAGAGAAGACAGGGATTTTCCGGACAGCTTGCGCACCTTTAGTCCCTGTTCTCGGGAGGGACGATGATTCTTGGCCAGGTTGTTGGCATTCTCGAGATCCTGAGCTGCCGACGAGCCGCTCAGCACTTTGCCAATCTCATCCCGGAAAGTTCCATCGGGAAGGGTGTAGCTGAAGGTAGGAAATAATGCAATTAGTAAATAAATATTGCAGAAAAACTATGATACGAAATGGTTAACAATACGATCCTAATGTATGGGTACAAAAAAGTTATATAATAAATTTTTTTTTGTATTTCTTTAAAGATTCCGATATAAATTTATAAAATATTATGTTAAAAAAACTATGATTTGTTCAAATATACAATTATGATTGGAAGACTGGGTAAAAATTATAGATATTTTTAAAAATCGTGTGTATATTTTTTTAGATATTATGAGGGCTTGTAAAAATAGTTTTAAGAAGTTTAGATTATGTTTTTACCTTTAGGGCTAGTACTTAACCCAACAAAAAGTCGTCCAAAACAAAAGACTTTATATCAAAGATACGTTAAAAAATGTAGTTTCAAATACAGTTTTTTGTTTTGGACGACTTTTTGTTGGGTTAAGTACTAGCCCTTGATCACATTTTTAATTTTTGTTTCTAAAATATATTAAAAAGTATAATTACTTGAACTCGTATCCATCGCGTGTTGGTGTATAGCTGAACTGCTCGACGGCGACATCTCCCAGCTTGATGTCGATCACAGTGCCCGGTGGAAAGGAGGCGTAGTTCAGGTTGGCTCCGAACAGGACACAGGCCACCAGGAGGATAAGGGCCTGAACCAGCTTGCTGTTGATCGTAAGACCCTGGCGAGCTTCCTTTTTGCCCTGACCGATGCTGTTCGCCAACGGAGAAAGACCCATTGTGGAGTTGGTTAGTGTGGTGGCCTGTGGAGAAATGCGAGTCTGGAAAAACACAACTGGCAACCAAGGCGGCTGGGAGCTTAATGAAGCGTCTTCTTCGAGGCCACTGGCATAAGACACCTGTGTGGACCGATAATGAGTTGTTGGTCCAAAACAAAGCGGGCACCACGAAATGCTGAGTAAGCTTCGTCCGAAGAGGCGGGTTGCCCAATGCCTCGGCGCTGAATTGAGATTTGCATAACGAAAGCCAAAGACTTCCACGGTTCGAGCCACAATTTGGTGGCAACTCTCAAATATGTGCATTACATTTAAAACGCCATCAAATTGGAAAACTAATCGGCCGAACCCATGGAAGAAAGTCTGACTAGGCCTAGATGTGACTAATGTATGCCCTAACTTGTTTAGAAAAAAAACCATTTTAAATAAAGAAGATATAAAAATAGAATATGCTATACTACTATTATTATTAATTATTATTATAAACTGCATGACCTAATTTGAAAAAATTAATAAAATAGTATTCAAATTTATTTTAAATACAGTGCGTCACGTATAATATTAATTTATAATAAAAAGAATTTGAAATGAAAACAATTATTTTTCAAATCATAACGATAGAGAGTAAACATTTATCATTGCGATCCAACTCCTTAAAAAATTCGAAACAACCTAAGCCGCTTTTAGGGAAGCGTTAACCCATTATTATGCTGGTGATGTTGCAATCTGTCTATCTCGAAATGATTAAAGATTAACGAGCAGGCCCGAACTCATCTAAGCTTTTCTTAGCCAAGTCTGGCACCACCGAATACGAAAATAAGCTTTCGAGCCACGCTTAATACACTGATAAATTATGCGGATTTTAATTATCTATCACAATACAAAGAAAAAAGTTTGTTTAACTCTTATCCGGTTTGATTTTGTGGGCCGTCACATAGGGCTGGAAACCGTTTTTGTTGGCCTTATAGAGGACCTGGTACTCGTAGCCATCGGCCGAGATGAAGCTGTAGCCACCTTTGTACTCCACAGGCTTCTGGGTTGTCACCTCCTTGGGATCTTTATCTGTTTCCGGTCTAACTGTGTATGTTATAGCCTCATTCCTCTGGTGACCATTTTCTGTGTGGAATCTTTATGGGGGAATATGTTTTCTAGTTATAAATATTTTTGCCAGTTGAACTTAAGTAACCTTACCCAAAATGGAGCTCTTCCTCTCGTTCGCCTTTCTCCAAAGCCGCTGAGGAAACCAAGGCAAACATAGCCGCCATTAACAAAATTTTGCAAAACTTTAAGAAACAATAAAAATCTTTAAATTAGCTAAGAACAGTTTAATATCTTTACACTTCTACCTACCAATTTCATTGCAAATTTATTGTTTTAAAAATATTTTTTATATTGAATCTTAGTTGCGATCAGAATTCTGCGTTCCTGTCCGTTCCGTTGGCCGATTTCAACTGAAGATGTTCTGCCAGATGAGCCAAGCAGGCAAAATAAGTCAAAGAGATCGGAATAATGAAAACAAATATCTGCGCAGCCAGCTATTTAACAGTGAGTCGTAGCCCGAATCGGGTTACGTCATTGTTTATGGCCCAACTTTTGTTCTAAACAGCCAAAGAAGCGCAAAAAGAAAGGCGATTAATAAAGACATTATATGAGTAAAATGACTTTCAAATGCTCTTCAGATATATTTTTCATTATACCTGGTTGATTTTTTTAAATATTTCTTTGATATTATATGTTTTTAAATAACATTATTTAAAGACTGCATTTAGATTAATTTAATAATATAAATAAAATGTACTTTTTTTACATAGTTCATAAACACAAGTTTAAAATTCTAAAATATTGTTGCTATTTATTGTATTATTTTGAATACATATATAAATGTATTTTTATATTTAAACACAACAAATATATGGTAATAAAGGTAACCAACTTCTGCAAAAAATGGTTATACCCCTACTAAATTGCACATATCGTATTTATTTTGAGTTCGTTTAATTTGACGGTTCATTTAAAGTCTTGAAAACAAAACAATTGTAATTTTAAACACATTGTCTTTGTTGTGACCACTCCTAAATAAATTAAGTTAGTCACTCTATTTGTTATTGATACTTTGCTTCTTCGAAACCTTCCGATGAATCAGCAGCTCAAGCAAATCAGTTGGCAACCACATTATTATTATTTTAATATTCGCAATACAACCCATTTAATGGCGACGACAGTTGCGCAGATTCCCGCGCGTCCTCCTCATATGGAGGCTGTCATCGAGGGCCAGTGGCCAATTTATCAACGGACCTCATCGGAAAATGTTTATTTAAGCGATGCGAGGAACTTAATCGGCCAACCCTCGCGAAAACAACGCTAAATCGCAATCAGATCGTTCCGCTCAGTCAAAATTTCGCTTTATAAACGCGAATGCGGGCGTGGAATATGTGCCATCGGTGCGTGGCTAACTGGCAACCAAAAGCCGAGCACCAAGGACTAAAAACCGAAGGACCGGAGACCGACAATTGTTGGTTTATGCAGCCGGTGCAGCAGCCGACTATTCCTGGTCCTCCCCGGTGGTTGCTTGGTCGCGAGCTAAAATCTAAATCCTGCAGCCCACAGCTGACGGCCGGAACAGGTTCACAAAATCCACACACCCGAATCCAGAATCCTGAATCCTGAATCTAGAATCCTGCATCCTGGGAGCGCGTCAGCTGTGCGCCAGCACATTACAAGTAGGACAAGCTGCAAACGACATTGCCATTAGCTAGGCCTTTCCCTCGGTCCTTCGAAGGGGGAAGGTTCGGTTCTATATTAGCGGCATCCACGACAGGCACAAGCTGAGCTACCAAATGATAAACACACACAACAGCAGCCGCAACAGGAAGCACAGTGGTTGTTAAAATAATTTCTATTCTATTTCCATTTAAAAATATATTTTTTAAAAATTACAATTATTTAAATAGATTTGAATACATATATTTCTCCTAATTAATTTTTTAACATGTGTCTTATTACAAGAACTTTATTTTGTAACGTTTGCCATTTTTGAAAAATACAAATTTGTAATATATTTTTTTTAATATTTCTTAGTACCAGAACTTTTATATTGAAACCCAGCTTAACTTCTTTCAAAAAAGGTCTTCAATTAAAAATGTTATTGTATTTGATTGTTAATTGATATTTAAACTACATATTTTAATTAGCCTTAATTCTCAATAATATTCTCAAGGTAAAAAAAAAACATTTTGAAATATAGAACATTTTATTTATAACATTTAATATTGTTCGTCCCATTTTCTTTTCACCTAGCACCACTGTGCGCGGGCTGGCAAAAAGTTAATAGACGATAGACTAAAGCCGACATCCCCGTCGTTGTAGTTGGGTGTTGTGCTCGATAGGCCTGCGTCCTTAATGCCGAGTTGAGTCCTGAATCCAGGTCTTAGCACCCCTTGGCAACAGGCAAAGTGCATTAGGCAAAGGGATCTTGCGGGGTTGAGTTCGGTTTGCGGACTGGGCTGGGTTGGTCATGCAGGTGTTGCCCGATCCTGTTGAAAATTGTTTTTGAATTAAAAGTTTTTGCTTGTGGCCGGGCGGGTTTTGTTGTTTTTAGCGATTAGCCAACCGAAGGGGTGAGGCATGCGGCATCGAGATTGCACACTCAATTTATTAGCGCTTTGTCTTGGTCTTTCAACTAATCGGATGGCTCTGGGTATTTCTGCACTTGCACTTGCATTGGCCCAGTTTGTTGGTTCTGTTTTCGATTTTCTATTGTGTTTTTCATTGGCACGTGACTGCTCCACTGGGGTCAAGGGGTCGCGGTCAAAACCACCTGTTGCTGGTCATATAAGAATCCAGAAAGCACCGTTGACCACCAGTCACAGTTTGAATTTGAGATGATGAGGCTGTCCACTGTGTTTTCTTTGATTTGTATCACTTTTGCCTGCGTTTGGGCGCAACCGGCGGGTTACCCAAGTGCCCGTCCTCCTTCTCCTCCCCCGGCCACTTATCTGCCAGCCAAGCCACCAGCTCCACCACCACGTCCTCCTCCTCCACCGCCGTCCAATAGCTACGGTCCCCCCAAGAATGGCAATGGAAAGCCACCACCTGCTCCTCCGCCCAAGCCCAATAACAGCTATGGACCACCGCCCAAAAATGGCAATGGAAAACCTCCTCCACCCCGAAATGATTACTTGCCGCCAGGCAATGGAAATGGAGGATCTGCGGGAGGCGGAGCTGGCGGAGAAGGAGGAGGCGGAGAGGTTATACCCATCATTAAGCTGGAGTCCAAGGTCAACACAGACGGCTCTTATATGGTGAGTAATTTGTAATTGTTTCATTGGAATAAATATTTGATATATTTGAATAATCTTAAATTTGTTTGAAAGAAATGAAAGCAACGAAGGTTCAAAAAATATAAAAATATAGAATAGCAAAATATTAACTAACAAAAGTGTAAAACATTTATATAAGAAAGCATTAAATGCAATTCCCTTCCAAAAATCTAATATTCACTCCCCAAAAATAAAAATGCTTTTGAATTGAATTACTTTAAAAAATCGTTCCCAAATTTACTAATCAATTTATTTTAAACCGATTGCAGTACGAATACGAGACCGGAAACGGAATAAAGGCCGAGGAAATGGGCTACCTGAAGAACGCAGGAGTAAAAGGAGCGGAGGCGCAGACGGCGGAGGGTTCGTTCTCGTACACCAGTCCCGAGGGACAGGAAATCTCGGTGACCTACATTGCGGACGAGAATGGATTCCAGCCGCAGGGCGATCACCTGCCCACACCGCCACCCATTCCCATCGAGATTCAGGAGGCGCTGGACAAATTGGCCGCCGGCGGAGGTTGCCATGGCTGCGATGATAACGAGACGGGAGGCAACGATGATGGAGGCGGAGGAGGCTATGTCTACCGACGAAAGTAGAGGATTAACAACTTAATTGCACACCGATCTCAAATGATTTTTCCAATTATAAACTATTTCTGCTTCACAATCTTATAAATAAAATGGTAATGGGTTACTTTAATATCTAAAACTTTTAAAAGTTCATTTTCTAAAACATCTACCTAAATATTACCATTTATTTTAGCTCTTCATTATATTTTCTCTCATTAAACGCCAGCTATTTCTAATTAAAATGCTTTAAATAAAAACCCCTTGGCGGCCTACTTATTCAGGACTAGCAAACACCAAGCGGGAATTGGTCCTGGCCTGGTACACCTTGCTCCCGGCTGGGTTGGTGCCTCCTGGTTGGCCACCATTCCAACCCTTGAGCACGAGCGGCGGCTGTGTGACTGGCAACACATGTTTTTTTCCCCGTTTGCCAATCGCTCGCCCAACTTTATCCTGTTGATCGCTCGACAAGGGGTGTCCAGGGGTGGGGTGAAGGAGAGGGGGAGACGCCGCAGCGATTGTGTCGCAATAATGAAAACATTAGCCTCGTAGCATATTTGTCAGCCAGCAGGAGCGGAGCTCATATCGATGAGGGTGGAACAAAGTCGAAAATGGGGGCACTTTATTACAATTTATTATTTTCAAGTATTTTGTAAAATATTATTTAAATAAATTTAAATAGTTAAAATATATCTAGAAATCTTTAAATAAGCACACATTTTTTTAATTTTGCCCCCAAAAAAATAGGGTGATCAAAAAATAATTTATAGTATAATCCATCGTCTAGTTAAAAAAATTGATTTTATATTTTTCATACATTTATTAATTAATTTATTAAAAATAGCAATAAATTGATACTAAAAATATAACTAAATAAAAATATAATAAAATACTATATTAATTCCTCTTTATCCATTAACACCATTTCCCGGCCCCTTTACCTCCGTGCCCAAATCCGCACCACCAACCGTCGAACGCAGAAATCACGACCCACCCCAAACCGCAAATAGTGAAACGATACACGCCAATATATTATGGCATTAGCATTATAGTGGAAGCGAAATGGGGGTGGGGAGATCATCATCATAAGGAGGGGAGGGACCATGGGCAGAATGACATTGACGATGGCGAATGCGATTTGTATATGGTGGCATTACAGCAACAACAACGTCGGGGAAGTAACAACAAACGATCGTTTAATTTCAATTAAAAACATTTTCCTTGTGCGCAGCCCAAAAGCCAAAAAATAAAGGACTCGAGGAGGAGGAGGTGGTGGTGGCGAAGTTTTTGGCACAGGAATACGCACACTTGCTACAGGCCGCTTAGCTTGGCTTAGTGCTCTGGTGATTGCGAGGACATGATGTTGCACTTGCCGAGCAACCACCAGGACGCACCAGGACCTCGAAAAGGGATGCCAAATGAGGATGTCAGGGGGTTGAGCCCCGTTAAAGTGCGTAGCTATGTCGAGGCTATAGCCGGTGCCGGACTGGATTCTGGGCTGGGAATTCTTGCACTTGCCGCCAGCCGTGTGCTATTGTGACTCTGCAAGGCCGTGGCAAATCCGAAATCCAAAAAATTAGGGAGCAGGATGCGGTACGGCGACGGCGTGGTATAAAAACGACGGCGGGCTTCCAATTGGAACGCAGAATCGAATTCGAACGCGAACGATGCACACGACAGCGCAACTGGATGGTCTGGAGCAGAAGCGTTCGGCCAGCAGCCTGATCTTCCGGATCGAGCAGCTGCTACCGAGCACCAGCATCTCGCCGAGCACTTTGACCATGACATCACCGACGGAAACAGCAGCCACTACAACGAGTGCAGCAAGTCCTGCAGCCAAAAGGATGAGGAGCAATCCGAGGCCAGGAGTCTACACCTCACAATATACGCCCAAGGATACCTGCTCGATCGCCATTCCCACATCGGCACTTCTTGGTTCTACCGCCATGCCCACCGACGGAGGACGCTCCCATTGCCAGCTCTCCAATGGCGAACTGATCGTATCCGCCTCCCTGCTGCGTCAGATTAAATTATCCGAGGATGTCTATAGCTTCAATGCCATATTCGAGCTGCAAGGCGCCCAGGTTCGGGTCCGTTTGGTACGGGATGTGGCCAGGGAGGACGAGATCGTGGCCTGGTTCGGCGAGGAGCTGGTACTCCTCATGGGAATTCCCTTCCTGACGCCCCTAAATATTCAAGGTAAGCATTGCTCCTAAATTAAATTTTATTTAGTTTATTTTTAAAACAAACTTAAATCTACAAACAAAAATTTTTTTAAAAATAAAATGAATAAATACAAATATTTAATCATTTACATTTGTAGCATACACAATATTTGTAGTATACAAACATTCAAAGTTTGTTTTTAAAAACAATTTTGTATATACTTTTTTATTTATTACATTTTTTTTTAATTTAAATTTTGCTTGTTTTATTAGAAGATTTTTTTTAATGATTGGCGGTGCGAAAAAATATGATTAATGATAAATACAAAACTAACCCCAATGTTAATTTCTGATAATTCCAGGAAACAGTCGTTACACGTGTCACCTGTGCCACTTGACCTTCGAGACTCCTCACCCACTGAAGATTCACTTGGCTCTGGGTTGTGGACGCAGTGCCATGGACATCCTGTGGATGCGACTACACTACGCTCTCAAGGCGGCGGCCCAAAGTCACACAGCAACGCAACAGCAACATTCACCCATTCCGGCGGCTTCGTCCACCTCCTCGGCCTCGCCCACCCACTCGCCGCCGCTGCCACAGATGCCGCCCCGTTTCTCCGCCTTCCGGCCGATTGCAGCCCTTGGCCAGAGTTTGCCCATGACAACGACAACGACGACGCCGGGTACCACTCTATCCTATCTGCCCTCCATTTCGATGGCCACCGCTCCATTGTCCGCCCATCCGATGAACGCCGCCGCCCAGATCGAGGCCATAGTCAGCAACATGGGTGCCTCCAAGCAGGGTCATCTGTGCATCTATTGTGGCAAGGTGTATTCCAGGAAGTATGGGCTCAAGATCCACATCCGAACCCACACCGGATTCAAGCCGCTCAAGTGCAAGTTTTGCCTGAGACCATTCGGTGACCCGAGCAATCTCAACAAGCATGTGAGGCTGCATCTTCAGACGCATCCGGGTAGCTCTTCGGGAGGAGCAGAAGGTGGTGGTGCCGGCAGTGATGTGGACATCGAGGGCGAAGCGGAAACAGGTTATCAGTGCCACACGTGCCACAAATCATTTCCTCGTCGCCGGGATCTGCAGAGACACATGGAGACGCGGCATGGCGGTTCCCACTCCCATTCCCAATCCCAATCCCAATCCCGATCCAGCACCACCAGCACAACCACCTTGACCACAACAGTGACCACATCTACTTCAAAATCCAGTTGAGTTCGGGGGAAAATATTCGTAGCACGCTTTTTGGGGAACAACTGTGATAGAGAAATACAATTCTTAGATACATTTTAATATCAGTAAAAAATTAATAAGAACAAATTATTTTCTACTTAACTAAGATGATAAATAAAGCATTTAATGACAAACATTTTACATGGTAGAAATTTAATCCAAAACAATAAGCAACCATAAAAAAAAACTGCTTTTCTAAACTGAAAAAAGTTGCACAGTAAAAATAAATATCTAAACAAAAAAAGGTAATATTTAATAAAACATCATGAATTCATTAATTTTAAAATATTTGAATCAAGGTAAAAAATATTAAATGCACTGAATATTGTATAAAGAAAGGATTACATATTAAAATCAAAGTTTAAAATTTGTCTATTTTATAAAATGGTTTAATTTAATATGTTCTTTTTAAACTACAATTTTTATCAATTTAATACAACCAATTTGAAAACAACTAAATCTTATAAATTTGCAGAAAGTTGTAAAAAACGTCCTTTGACTTTTGTAACTGAAATTCTGTGAAGTAAACTGAATAACAAGTTAATAAGAAGACCCCATTAAGAATCAAATAGTATCGCTTTATTGATAAATTTCAATACGAATTCAAAGTGAATTTCTATCGTATAATGCACAAATCTTATTGTTAGACAATTAATGCTATTACTCGTACAGTTTACGCTTCCGCTTTTTGCGGCTTAATCCATATTCGTGTAAACTCGCTTAACTTTAGGGTTCATGCAAAACAATCACAAATTGTCTTTAACTTGGGTAAAGCGGGTGTTCGTGTGTGTGTGGGCGTCTTTCTCTCAGCGTATTTTTTTTTATATTTCTGTTTTTTTTTTCAGTGTATGTTTGTGTGTGTGTGCGTTGAGCAAAACGTTGACGGGGCCAAAAACACTCACAAATACAAGATTTTAGTTCATAGATAATCGTACAATTTACTTCTATATGCCAGTGTAGAAATGCGACGGTAAAGGTATAGATTTTGTACGTACATATATGCGTACTTTTAGTATTATAGATCGGAGCATAGAGTTAACTATTCTGTTTTCTTGATTTCTGGAACTACTTTTAGTTGGTTTAGTTGAGTTTCGAACAAAGGTCTGTCCCTCCTTCTCCCTAAACAAATGTACCGAAAACAATTGATTTACTTTTGGATCTGGATGCGTAGTCCTCAAAACCCTCCCACTCTCCATCTCTCCCTCCCACTCCCACTCCCCATTACTATCTCTCTCTGTCAGTTTAAGGCACTTACTCAAGAAATCGCGATTCCAGAGTGTCCCTTTGGGGTTAGTAATTCGCTTTTAAGTATTCCCTCGGAGTTTCGACCAAAACAATGTGGCAAGCAAAGCGGCGAGTATGTATGTGTGTGGGTGTCTTTCTGTACGTGTGTTTATTTGTGGGTGTGCAGTAGGGTGGACCAGTTTGAAATAGAAATTTAAATTTAAATTTTAAATAGTTTTAAAGCTCTTTTGAGATGTGTTTTATAAGTAACTGTTAGTATCTTGTGTAAGTACTATACAAAAGTGTAAAAATTTATTTGTACATTTTTTTGGTTACAAAAAGGTTCTATAATTCAGATTTATATTTGGCTAACTTTGGATAAAAAACGGAAAACTAACTAAAAAAAACTTAAGATTTAAGATTTACGGGTAAGCAAACTGGCTCTATCGCTTTCACAAAAGTTACTCATACGACATGGGCACCATACGGGCCTAGTTGCAACACTGCGTATGAGTGATCCGCATTGAAACCGTCTACAGGCATTTCAAATAGAGTGCAATTCATAAGTTGTAAAATAAAACAATGGTCCACCCTGGTGTGCAGCTATCACCTTGAGCACTTAACGTATCTACGTATATATTTGCTCTATAGCAAGTATGACAAATATGTCTGTTTCGGATATTTGACGATACGTTTCGCAGTTCTCAAAAGTCTGTACTCGGCTTACATTTACGAAGGTAATATATAGTATAGTTCGTTAATATTTATGCGTATATGCATAGACACCAATAGTTGTTAATCGTTAAGAGTAATATGCAAATTCTGTATGTGGCTTTTATTTCGCTTGGTTTAGTTAGGAATATGTATACGCGTATTGTTGTAAATATCTAACATAAATTCATACATGAAGCACACTTGGGTTCGGTTTTTATTAACTATTTGCTAGTGTGGTTAGTAATTCGTTCAAAGTTTCGCATTTAACAAAATATCCATTATGTTAACAATTTCATTTATTTTTGTTTTTTTTTTGTGTTTTTTATTTTTTAGTTTTTTGGTTTTTCTATTTTCAAATATATATTTACTGTACGAAGATAAATTTATTAATTTCTTATTCTTTGTTGTATTACAGTTGCTTCATCTTCCTCGTTGTTGTTCCCGCTGGTTCTTTATTAAAGAGTTAGAGAATTAGACCTTCGATTGATTATATTGAATTCTTCTGTTCTGTTCTACATCCCTTTCATGTGGTTTGCATTTGGAAACCATTGTAGCATTGTTTGGGGGTATTCATTGAATTGGCTTAATTGAAATACTGAATTGCTGAACACACACAGACAAAATAATGTACGTTACGATCCTTAAAAAATAGCATTTTCATCTTCAACATTAATCCCGCCTCAGTTTTGTCTCAAATAATTGCGCCACGAAAAATTACAACCTCGCTTAACACCTAATGCACGTCTCAAAATATTTTAGAACTTCATGCCATCGAGATGCGGATTAATATTAATCACTCAATTTCAATTTCAATTAATCTGTATATAGGCATGCATGTACTTATGTGTGTATAATTATGTTTCTGTTTCGCATCGAGGTGATCAAAACATTTCTGAAGACTTTCTTGTTCACAATTGTTCTTAGTTCTTGTTTGCAAAAAACTTTGGACGTTTGGTAATTCTTATTCAAGTTCATTTAATTATAATTAGACAAACAAAATGCTTAAAGCTGCCCACAAGACTTTGTCTACTTCTTTTATAGGTTTTTGGGTTTCATAATTACGATTCCGTTTTGGTTTTTATTAGTACTCGTATATATATTAAGCTTGCTGCAGCTGCTTAACATTTAAAAGACACACAGTATGTAGGTGAAACTAACTCTAGGATTACGGATACTACACTCTCTATGTGGTTTTCTGGTTTTCTATGGATGTGAGTGTGATAATCTTCTTGTTGTTTTACAGTTTTATAGTTTTTAGTAAGGCATATGCACAAGGGAAGGACTCGATCGATCATCGTCGTTCATCGTTGGATATTTTGGATACTAAGTTAGTTGGTAGAAGGGAAAACACATATCTAGAGGGGAAGACAATACTGGGGACAATTGTATGTACAGTACAAGTTTACAGTTTACAATTGGCTGCTTGATATGAGTATTTAAATTTTACTTTAGTTTAGTGCTTAGTTTGTGAGAAGCTAGAGAACTAAGAGCCGCCATCCTGGTCGTCTAACCCTACTAGCTCGAACTTATAGATACTTTCGCACTGTTACAGACTACACATTAAAACTCCTTCAATTACATTTCATTGCAGTAGTTATTGCTGTTTGGTTGTCGAGGTGTCCTGCTGATTGTGATGCTAAAGAATCGTATAATTAACTGCTTTATGTTTCAGAGTGTCTCATGTTGGCTGTGTTTTGTATTTCCCAAATGGTGGAGGCCATTAGTTGATGTTTTACAATTTGTTTAAATTAAGTTTGCTTTATCAAATACCCTGCAACTTCATTTAATTATCACAGTTTTTCATCAGAGATAGTTTAAACGTTTCAATATTTTTTCATTTCTTATTTCTGCTGTTTCGTTAAATCAATTTTCTTGGTTGTTCGTTTATATTTTGTGTTGCTACAGTAGAGTATGCAAAATAAAAAGCAAGCGAGTTGAAATTTGTGCATAATAGTGTCCTATGTAAGTAAGATTTATAAATTAGTCAGCAAACAAGGATTTTTTGCCTAGGATGTGTGGGGAGGGGGTTTGGTTATTATTTATGTTCCACACATCTATGCCTGATATGCTGCCCGCTCTTCTCTCTCGATAATCTTATACTCTAATCTACTTCTCTAGATTTTTGTTTGCTTTTCTTTCGTTTTTGTTTTTGGTGAGCAAGTCGTCTCGTGTAAAACAAACATCGATTTCACTTTTAAAGTAGTTTCTGTTTTATTTTTAATCATAATTAAAACGTAATTATTTGGAAGCAAAAGATGGCATTTTGTTTAACGTCTTCTCAATATTTTTTCAGCGTTTTGTTCGTGGCTCTCTGCACGTTTAAAACACAAAACATTTCTCAACGATAACTTGAACAGAGCAAATAAAACAATACACAAAAAATATAAATGTAAATTTAAAATGTCTTCTTGGAAAGTCTTCTTTTGAATTTCTCGTTTCGTTTGGTTCTGGTAATCGTATATAGTCATAGGTAGTGGTGTGTAGATCGGGGGTGTAAATCATTCATGTGGTGACAAATGCCGGCCGATGTCCATTCGTTATCTTTATTATCCCTCTTCTTTTGTGGTTTCTATCAGTGTTTTGTACTTTCGACAAAGAATATTTTTTGGTTAAACCGATTTGTATACAAACAAGGTAATAATGGCAAAAGACACAAGTATATAATATACCTTCTCTAATACATCATGCGTACTTTTGTGCTTGCAGCATGTGGGTGTGTGGTGTTGAACGTGTTGGTATTTTGGCATTGCTTTTGCTTTCTTTCTCAAAATACATACAATAAATACAAGTCTCCAATTTAACAATACAAGTATAAGTGCGGGGTTGTCCATATATCACGTCATCACTGATTGGAGGGGATTCCCCACGAAGGGAGGACGACAATGGGCGAAGTTGCGATAACGTAATTTAGGGACATCCCTCTAGTGTGAGTGTGTGTAAATATAGGTATATATATATATGTCATATGAATAGGTAGATAATCCTCATCTGATCGAGCTAAAACAAATACAATACAAATATAAACTAAGCATTCTAAGACGTTGCGTGAATTTTGGTACTTTAAGTAATGCTCATAGGTTGCCTAACACATTGAGAGTATTGAAAGTAAAAGCGTACTAAAACGACAGACTAATACAAATTACAAACAAAATACAGTTCACTTAATTAGGAAACATGAAGGAAGATTAATAATTAAAATAATTGGCAATACGAGCGAGGAGCAGAAGGAATCAACAACATACTTTTCACTTTGAACATTTTTTTTGTCGTTTTTTTTTTTTGTTGGTTTTTGTTTTTTTTTTGTTAATTTTCATTTTGGTTTTGGGCGGGCTTCGGCCTTTTCGCTAATACACAAATCGTTTGTTGTACTATGCAGCCTGTGGTTTTTATATGTACGTATAGTAGTAGTATGTGGTATATATTTATATAAATATGTATGCATGATTATGTATAAGAATGACCAAAGAGCAAATCAAAGGCATTTTTACAGTTTTCGTCGACACATTATATGCTATACAATTGCGGTTGGAGGATGGATGATGTGTGGTGTGGTGAGAGAGTGCATTTATGTGGTCGTAGTTGCAATTTCTACATTGTTCGTCTTGGCGCCGGCGGCCAATTTCTGCTGCTCCGCTGTGATGTTGGCTTCGTGGCCATCCACGTTGCTGCTGCTGTTATCGTTGGCATGATTGCTGGAAGGTAAGGGAATGGTTTTAATTAGTGTTAAGGTATTAAGTGTTTGGTAACAATCCTAACCAGCATTTGCTAAAATATTAATATATTATACGGAGATAAATTTACAAAAATCGTTTAAAATTAGCTTATTTTGATAAGAAATGAATAAACATTTTTGTAAATATATTCTCCACTTACAATTCATTAATTTTGCTCGTTGGTCCATTTGAAATGGGCGTAGTCTGCTCGGTCTCCGTGGGACGATCCGCACCCAAGGGCTTGGTCCACATGCCCTCATCGTCCTCGTAGTCCTCCTCGCCGTCCAGCAGCACAGACTGCAGTCGGGTGACAATCGATGCGGTCTCCACGACACTCGACTCGGCCAGCTTATCGCTGATGGCCTTCTCCACATTGGCATTATTGTCGTACTCAGCCTGCTGATCGTCGCTGCGCGCAATATTATCCTGGACAATCTTGTCAATAGATTCAGCGGGTGTTTGCTCCTCCTGTGGCTCCACTTCGCCGGCAGATGCCGAAGCTGCTGGTGGTGGTGGTGAGTCCTCCTCCTCGTCATCGCAAGGCGGCGGCGCTCTCGAGGGCATCCCGAGATCACTGCCAAAGGTGCTGAAGTGCGCATCAAAGTCGGCAAAGTTGTCGGCATTGAAGTCCGTGCCCCAGTTGGCGGTGCCCGTGTTAACCTGCGCCGACACGCTGGGAATGTCGGAGAACTGGACGTCCATGTCCCAGGGATCCGCCAGATTGTTAAGCGTGATCGAGTTCTTGGTGAACATGCCGTGGCCATGGCCATCGCCACCGCCCGAGTGGTCGCCATGCTCATCATCGTCATCGTCCTCGTCGTCAATGTTTCGACCGAACTGGAAAAGATTCTGATCATTGTCCATAGTGAAGACAATGTCCTGCAGCGTGTTGTCCAGATCGCTGTAGCCCATGTTGCTGTACGAAAGCGTTCCAATGTCCCAGGCATTCGTCTCGCCCATATAGTCCTTGGAGCCCACATTGTACTCGTTCTCCTCGTGCGGATTGCAGTCGGCCAGCAGTTTGGTCTGCTGCTTGACGGCCAGCGTAAATTCACCAGCTTCCGCATCGATCAGTGCTTGCCAGAGCTTCAGCTCGGCTTCATCACTTAGGCTGGTGGCGATCAGGTCGGCGATATGTTCAGATTCTGATATACAATTTGTAATGTGACGCAGAATTTTAATAAGGTGGCCCATGTAACCCAGACGTCGACCCTTCTCAGCAGATCTAAAAGTAAAACGATATTGTTTATTGGCTGACAAGTAATTAATTCCTGCCACTTACTGCGCCTGCGCATTGTGCTGCCAAAAATCGACCAGTTTGGATACCAAGTGACAATTTACAATCAACTGCAAAGCATGGGAATTAATAACTTGTTCTGTTTAGGAGCAAACTAATAACTTACATGTGTTTGCATTTCGGAGGGCGGAGCACTGGGCACCGTCTTGGTCTTGTCGAGATCATTGAGCGTTGGCTCCGCTTCCTGCTGATCTGCTGGAGATTCACCATCTATCTCACTATGCTCCACATGATTTTCCTGGGCTTTAGGTTCTTCTGCTCCCTCAGGGGAAGTTGCTTCGGCGGCAACTTCCACTTGGGCAGCTTGTTCCTCCTGTTGCTCATCCTGTGCCTGGGCAGCCGCTTCCTGCGCAGCTGCCACCTCGATTTCAATGTCGCCTTCTTGGTCCTCCCCCTCCCTGCCGCCCTCCGCCCGCTTGGCATCGTTCAAGGCGTTCTTCATCTCCACCTCGGACTCCTCGGTGCCCACTTTCAGGAAGGCATTGATCAGGCAGTCGGCGGTGAAGAAGTCGGTAACCTCCGTGGATGCAGTGTTGTTGTTGGACAGCTCGTTGTAGAAGACCACATGCAGAGCCTTCTCCATTTCGGTGTGCAGGAAGTTGTTCCAGCAGTACTGCTTGAAGAACTCCAGCAACAGGCTGAAGTACTCGGTCGCGCAGATGCTGCAGAGGAAAATAATAGATTAAGGTAAAAGAAAATACAAGTTATTCAGTGACTTACGCCTGCTGAATGGTCTCATGCTTGGTCTCCAGCAGGGCGGTGAACACGCGGCACACTTGCAGTCGGGTCTTGCCAAAGGGGGGCGTCAACACGGCGGCCGTTGTTTCCAGCGTGGGTTTCTACAGAGCCAAGCGATAAACAACAATGGTAACAACTTTGTGACTAGAAACAAGCTTACTAACCGCAGGCGGGTTCTTTAGTATGTGGACAAATTCCTGAAGGCGTGGCGCCATCACAGTGATCACAGTCTCCTGCACTTCCTGGTGGAATTCCCGCTCGCGCTTCTGCAACAGCCGCTGGCGATCCGAGTTGGGCTCATCTCTGCACAGAAATACACATAAATTCGGGGTTTCGGTCTAGAAAACACTCTCATCTCAACTCACGTGAAGGTAATTGGCTTGATGAGCGTAAGTACAACCGAAATTCCTGACAAGATGGCGCTCTCCTGAGCGTTTGGTTCCAAAATCACATTTAACAAGGCTTCAATTGTGTCCGCGGATTCGATCGTCTTCAGTATGGGATTGGAGCCATCGAAGGCCGGCTCGAACGAATCGTTCTCCTGCTCGGTTTGGCGCATCAGGCGCCCTTGGTTAATAAGATCACAGAAAAAGTCGGCAACATTTGCATGTTTGTCGGTCTCTTGAGGATTACGCAATATTGCAATCAGTCTCTCAACAATTTTATCTTCAGTTAGCCACTGTAAAAATAAATCGATTAGTTTTTATCTTTAAGTACGCAGAATACCAATTACTTCGAATAGGTTACGCTTGAGTTGACCACCCTCGATGTCCTTCATCATCTGCATTATTAGATCAGGTATGACCGGTGTGTCAAAGTGTTTACAAATGAAATCCAAAAAGGTCTTCTGCGATTTAATATACTCCAGGAGTTGTAGGCACATGTGTTGATACAAAAACCAATCTTGTTCAGGCTTTTTGGTAAAGAGCATGCTAAACGTTTTGCTAAAAAACGACGATAGCAATGGATTTAACGGTGGTTCCTTTTCCAGATATGAATACAGCAGCTGCAGCGTCTCCGCGTCGGTCAGTAGCTTCTCATCCAGGGACGGCAGGCCGCTAGATAAAAGCAGGGATTAACTATCAAGTTCTGGAAGTGACTGCCAGATAGATGATCTTACAGTGTGAGGATCTCACAGGACATGTTGGCATAGCGGAACCTCTGCGACATGGGCACATCCTCGGAGGGCTCGGTCGTGATCAGCTCCACCAGCCGGCGGATGACCTCGGGACGTGTAAAGTAGTTGACCAGGTTCTTCTTTTGCGTCTTGCACTCCTGCAGTATGTCCTCCTCGTCCAGGAACTCCTCCAGCGTCGAGTTCTGGGGGTCGTAATAAGAGAGGGGAGTGAGTTTTTACCATTTATCCTTTTATGGAGCACCTACCTCCTTCTCCAGTAGCGCCTCTATATTCGCGGAGGGCGCATAACCCTTGTCCCAAAACATTTTTCGCACGTACGTCTTGGCGGTGACACTTTCAGGCTGGGGGAATCAAAATATCTCTTCGCTGGACTCGCGGATCGCTGATGATGGGGCATGCACGTCTCTGCGGGATGGGAGATTGGAGATTTGAGTAATCTTGGGATATTAATTAAACTCGCCACTCGACTCGCAGCACAAAGTAATGCGTAAATTTCTGTAATTATGCCAAGCAGGCCCCACATATACACTAAGAATGCGGCCCGAAAAATATGTGTTTGCCGGTCGTTTGGCCTTGCTACGGGTAGGTGGTGGTTGGGGCCGCACTTACGAGTTGGCCGGACTGTGTTTTCCGCACTGTTTGTTGCACTTTTAATTGTTTTTCAACCGAAAAAACCACGCTATAATTTTCTTCACTGCTTCTCAGAGGTGGACAATGTTCGATTAGACCGTATAGACAGTGCCTTTGAGCAATCGCTTATCGATTGGCTCTTTCGTATGTTCCCACTGTGCTGCTGCTGCGTTTGAAAAACAAAATAATAAGAATTGAATAATAATAATAAATAAATAATAATAAAAATGTCAAATTAGTTATTATAGCCTCTTCCCATAGAGTCCATCCGTTTGAAACGGTTGGAACTCCATTCGCCATCTACCATCCAATAACAGCTGACTGAAGAGCAGTTGCTCAGCTCAACATTAACGAAGGGAGATTTCAACTCGGGAAAACTTTCGTAAAATTGCGTTCTCCTAATTTTATTGTAGAATACAATAAATAGGTTAAGAAAATAGTTTAAAAACATATCTGAACGTTTATAACATATCCTAAAATGACCTTACGGTTTTGTTTTCACACGGATGGTAGATGGTGGATGGAGCTCTGTGGAAAGACCCTATTAGCTGGATTAACGTTTTACACTTTACAAAAAAAGAACTAATTTCCATTTATTTTAAATGAAATACAGATTAAATAAGAAGTACCAACAAATATTTATACTTTTTCCAGTTAAACCATAAAAAATTGGGTGCTGCGGGTTCAGTGAGAACAGCGATAAATTTGACGGCATTTAAAGTAGCGGTTATCGGATTGGCGGTCATCGCTCATTGTTTTTCTGAATTGTATTTGATATTAAATACAATTTGAATTGTATTGTTGCTGAAATGCGATGGGTGAAATAATCTTGTGCGGAATTGCAGAATCCAGGAATCCAGAATGTCCAGAGGATCCCTCAGAGTTCCGCTTCGCCAAGAGGAGATGGCTGTTCAAGGATGAACTCATTGACCACAAGGAGAAGCTACTTATTTGCATTGAAAAATGTGCGTTGGTTAAAGGAACCAGGATTTCCCTACTTTTAGAGATAATAATCCTTCTTCATAGGCCAGAATGCAAGAACGAGGAAGCTGAAATTCAAGGCAATCCATCAGGACACCGGCTCCTGGACCTTGGTCCTCTGCCACGAGCAAACGCACGTTCGAGCCCGCGATATTGAGATGGAGGTGGCTGGCCAACTGCTGCCCCTAATCTTCAGGGACTTCCAGATCAGCCTGGAGTTCGAGGTGGCCCAGCAGGAGCAGGAGCACCAGCGACCCCTCAAAACCTATGTGACGACCAAGCTGTACGACGCCCTCTACGAAAAGCATCGCCAAATGAGGCATCCGGATCAGGAGCTGCCCCTCAATCTTCCCGAAAGATTTCAATCCCGTCTACGGAAGTATCAGGAGCGCACCGTGTCCTGGATGCTGGGACGCGAGCAGCAGTTGACCCAGCTGCCGGCCAACTATACACTCCTCCATGCCGTCGACGGCCGGAGTCGCGTCTTCAAGCACAACTACTGCCTGCAGTTTTACTCCTCGTTAGAGGAGGAGCTCCCCAGGATCTCCCTGCCGCCCGGCGGCATTCTAGCTGACGAAATGGGCCTGGGCAAGACCGTGGAGTTCCTGGCCATGCTGCTGATGAATCCCCGGCCAAAGGACTCCTTCAGGAATGACTACTGGTACCAAAAGCTCGATGAGATTGCCGACAATGTGCCACTGAAGCGGGCGAAAATGGGCAAAACCGAGGAGGTTTTCTGCATCTGCACGCAGAAACGTGGAAAGCGGGTGCAGTGCAGCAAGTGTTACAAATGGCAGCACGAAGCTTGTATGGATATGTGTAGATCCCGGCAAGAGTCTCCCCACCTGTGTCCCAATTGCTGGTCGGAGCTGGCCAAATCCTCAGACAGTTTGGTGGAATCCGGAGCCACCATCATTGTCTCGCCCAATGCCATTATGAAGCAGTGGTTCCAGGAGATGCGCAAGCACATATCGCCTGGTCTCAAAGTGCTGCTCTATTTCGGTCTGCATTCTTGCAGGTGGGTGAGTCCTCTGGAGCTGGCCAAGTACGATGTGGTGCTCACCGATTACACGATATTGCGCAATGAAATTTACCACACGACGGAGTACAAGTCGGACCGCCAGATGCGCCACAAACAGGTGTACATGCGGCCCGATTCGCCGCTCCTGATGGTCAACTGGTGGCGCGTTTGCCTGGACGAGGCGCAGGTAAAGTGCATAATCTTCACCTGCTTTTAAAGCTAACTAAGGTATTTCTTATTCTATCTACTCAGATGGTTGAGAGCAACACCTCAGCGGCTGCGGAAATGGTGAGAATGCTGCCGGCCATCAATCGCTGGGCTGTAACCGGCACCATCGACGATCTGCCGCCTCTGCTGGAGTTTGTGGGTCGGCCGGAGGTCTGTAGGCCACCGGATGCCTGGACAACGGTGGACAAGGCCTTCCAGCTGAACTACAAGTGCGAACCGCTGCTGGAACTTCTACAGCACAGCCTGTGGCGAACGTGCAAGGCGAAGGTGGAGCACGAACTGGGCATTCCGCCGCAAACGGAGGTCGTACACCGCCTGGAGTTGAGCAATGTGGAGTCGCTGTACTACCGGGAGGAGCACCTCAAGTGCCACGAGCAATTCCTCGCAGCTGTGGCCAAGCACACGCGACACAACGCCGACAACAGCTCCTGTCTGGCGTCCATCTCGCCGCAGTTGCTGCGCATCATCCTGAAGCCCTTCCTGCGCATTCGACAGACATGCTCGGTGCCAGTGGTGCTTAACAGCAATGTGTCCAGTACGGACTACCTGAATCCGCAGGATCTGCTGATGCGTCTCAAGGCGAACAATGAGAACGAGTGCAAGACGGAGCTGCGAAGCTGGGCGTCATCCTACAACGGCCTGGCGGCCATACACTTTATCAAGGAGGACTTCCCGCAGGCCATTAAGTATTACAAGCTTCTCTTGAAGCTGGCTGCAGACTATAACGAGCAGAATATATCGTGGGTTCCGCTTTAGACTGTCTCTATTAGAGCCCGGCATGAATGGATTCAATGAATTTTTTGTTTTACATGAATGAATTAATTAGAATATTGAGTTTAATAGAATTGAATGAATGAATGGCATGAATTTCGAAATAATTCAAACGACAATTTCTTTTGAATAAGAAAGGGCCATAATTTTGTAACTAAACCTGCCTGAATTTTACTTTCTAAGCAGTTAACATTGATTTGTTATAAATTTCCCACTTTTTGTTCTTAAAAGAAAGCACAAAAAAAATCTGGCAAATTCATAAAAATTATTTATTCATTCATTCAATTCGAAATGGATTAGAAAAACATTCACATAGAATTGAATGGCATACTATGATAAAACAAAAATTGAAAGATTCACGCAGGGCTCTAGTCTCTAAAAATCAAATTTAATAACCCCTATATTTTCACCTTTCAGTGTGGACAGTGTGCTCCAGATTCATGCCATCTATAACCTTCTACAGGCGAGCGAACTGGCGGCAACTGCAGACAAGATAACCGAGCTGGAGCAAAAGAACTATCAAGCTCAAATGAAGCGACTGGAATGGAAGTATCTGGAGGATAATACCGCCGTGCTGGAAGGCGCACTTAGTTGCTACGAGGAGAAGCTCAAGGAAGTCGGCGAGCTGGAGGTTCAGTTCGAGGGCAGCACCGTGAATCTGCTGGCCACGATGGTGAACCACAAAACCTCGCTGCACGATGCCATGTGGCATAAAGTCCGTGACGATTTCTTCCGGCAAAATATCTCTGTGGAAAGGCTCGATAACGTTAGCTCTGTGGTCGGATTGCTTTACTTTATAGATCTTTGGCATACGAAACTGCAAAAGTTGAAAAGTAATTTACTTACTGAATTCGATTACCTGAAGGGAGTTACGCAGGAAGCTTGCCAGGCTGTGAAAAAGGGAAATGTACTCTCGCAGGAGATAAACAACTTCATAGGAAGCGTAACCGATTGCCATTTGGCAGATATTTTGGTAGGTCTACTTTAAAATTCGTTTAATACCTTTTGTATTAATTTTTGTATACATTATTCTTTAGAAGGATAATAAGGATAAGGCAGACAAACCCAAAAAGAAACGTTATTGTCGCCTGTGCAAGACTCGCGATTCTCTGAATCAATTTGAGTGCTTGCTGTTTGCCAAAAAGCTGGACGAAGAGGCCACCGTTACCGAGGGTCTGGAAAATCCCAGCATGGAAATAAGTCTCATTAAGGGTAAGCGAATCTAAGAATTAAAAAATAATTTTTATAAATTAAATATATCCTCTTCCAGCTATATTTTCCTTCCTGCGCTCCAAGCCGGAGTTTAGCGAATGGAAGGAGGAGTGTCAGAGCAAACTGGATTTGCTTTCCTGTCTGCAGGACCTGGTCAAGTTCCAAATTAAATACTGGATTGAGGTGGAGTACATGGTAAAGGCTTTTGATGAACTGGAGATGTGCCGAATGCGCATCCTTCTAACCGACGATCCCGAGGAGCAATCGAACTACCGAATCCTGCCCTGCCAGCTGGACGAGCAGTTGGAGTTCAATCAGTACAACCTGCACGAATCGCAGCTGAACTTCACGCGGCTGTGCGGTCGCTTGAAGTACCTGAAGCATCTGAAAGAGGATACCACCGATAAGCCTTGTCCCATCTGCCAAACGCAGGATGATGTGAGGGTGGGTAGAGCTATTTTTAACCATTTTTCTGGGTGTAAAGAATGCCTTTCGTTTTAGTATGTGATGATGGTTTGTGGCCATTTTGTGTGCCAGCACTGCCTGGATAGCATGAGGAAGAAGTATGCCCGCGATGGCGTCACCAAATGTCCACTTTGTCGGCAGGATTCGCCACAGTAAGATTTGCCTATAGTCTATAGTTCTTACTAGAGCCCTGCATTAATGGATTCAATGAATTATTTTGATTTTTTTTATTTATATGAATGAATTAATTAGAATTTTGAGTTTAATAGAATTGAATGAATTTGAATTTTGACTTTAATAGAATTGAATATATAAATGGCATGAATTCCGAATTAATTTAAAATACAATTTCTTTTGAAGAAGAAAGAGCCATAATTTTGTGATTAGATCTTCATGAATTTTATTTTCTAAGCAGTTAACATTGATTTGTTAAAAATTTTCCACTTTTTGTTTTCAAAAGAAAGCACAAAAAAAAAATCTGGCAAATTAAAAAAAATCATAAAAATTATTCATTTAATTCGAAATGAATTAGAAAAACATTCAATTTATTTCACATAGAATTAAATTAATCAGAAATTTCATGGCATACTATTATAAAAAAAATTGAATGATTCTCGCAGGGCTCTAGTTCTTAACCGAGCACCCCTTATACACAAACGTTTATCCCACAGATTATACTACTCAGTACGTCCTGGGGCACATAAATCCATTGTCGGAGACTTCAGCACAAAGATAGCCAACATTGTGGAACTAGTGCTGAAAATTAAGAGCGATAATGAGCAGGAAAAGGTACTTATCTTCTCCCAATGGCAGGCGATACTCCTTCAAATCGCCAGAGCCCTCAATCTCAATGGCATCCAGTTCCGCAACAAGTGCACCAACAAGGATTTTGAGGACTTCAAGGATCCCTTTGGCAAAGTCACCTGCCTACTGATGCCCCTTTCCAAAGGTTCAAAAGGCTTGAATCTGATCGAAGCCACTCATGTTTTTCTTGTCGAACCGATCCTCAATCCGGGCGATGAACGCCAGGCCATCGGTCGCATTCACCGATTTGGACAGGAGAAGTAAGTTTGAATATAAAATATTAAATATTTTCCTGTACTCACTGTATTCTTTGTAGAGCCACAAAGGTTCATCGCTTCATTGTGAATGGAACGATTGAGGAGAATATTCTGTCGCTAATTACTTCAGCCGATGACACAAAAACACTGTCCACGCACTGGGATTTGGAGAACATGACACTCGATAGCCTCAAGAAGCTATTCATACTCAAGGAAAAGGAGTAGAATCAATTAAAGTTTAATTATTGTAAGGTAATTTAAAAGCCTTGAAAATCCTGGAATCCCTGGATCGATCGATCAATCGAGCATTAAACGATAAGTATTTATTTTAACTGCAAGGGTATATAAACTTCGTCTTGTCGAAGTAAAACATTCATATTCATTCCATATTGTAAAAAAAAAACATTTCTATAATTAACCCATTTTTTTTTGTAAAAATAACATAACTGTAATATATAGAAATGCATAGCCGGCCAATATAAAATCAATCTACAAAAATATATAACTGCCACATGAAACAAAGAATTTTATAATTTAATAATAACTAATTAAAATATCCCAAAAAATTTAAGCGAAACAGTTTAAATTGTTTTTGAAGTTATAATTTCACAAGACCTCGCAACCACTCAATATAATCCAGATTAATCTAACTTACAACGAATCCACATAAGTATATTGTGTTTTCCTGATTAATGTACAGTATTATTTGTACTAAGATTAAGGACATTAGATTTAATGTTGTGTAAAAGTAATTTATGCTTAAGCTTAAGTTATAACCACAAGGATTAAAAGGTATTGCTTTCGGGGAAAAGCCCACTACTGTTTTTCCCACTTTTGAATGGCGTTAAACGCCGATCAAATCCTAGACATGGTCGATTTTCAAGGCGTCCAAAGTGGTGCCATCGGCATTCGCCTTCTGGGCGTAGTAGCCGTCGTAGGAGCTCTGCACCTTGTCGATTTCCTGCTGGTGCTGCAGCCGTTCCAGCTGCTCGTAGGCAGCCTCCTGGATCTTCCGGCGCTCGTCCTCCGCCCGCCGCTTCACCTCGTTCTCCTCGAACTGCTGCGCCTGGAGTTCCGCGGATGCAGCCGCCCGCTCCGCCGCCGCCTCCTGGTATTCATCGTACGACTGCAGGTTGCGATCGCTGCCCTCGAGCTTGTGCAGCGAGGAGAGCTGCTCCTTGGCCGCCTCGGCGATCTCGCGTCGCTTGGCCTCCGCCTGCCGCTTGGCCTCTCGCTTGCTCCGCTCCTGCTCCTCCAGTTCCTCGCGAGCTGCGTAGAATTTGGGTGAAATCACTGGCGGACGGTTCTCGTGGGTACGCTGGTGACGCTTCAGTGCCGTCTCCTGGCGGAAATGAGTGCCGCAGGTCTTGCACTCGAACGGTTTCTCGCCCGTGTGAATCCACTCGTGATGCCGCAGCGTTTGGGCCTTGGCGAATCGCTTGGGGCAGAAGCGGCAGGCGAAGTCCTTGACCTTCTCGTGGATGATCTTGTAGTGGCGCTTCATGTTGCCGATATTGTTGAATCCCTGGCCGCAGCCGGGGCAGATGTGCTTGCCCTCCTTCTTGGTGAAGTTCACCTGCGGCGACCACGAGGGCACCGAAACCGAGGGTATGGGATTCACAGCGGTGCCGGCTAGCTCAGAAAGGTCCACCCGCTGAACCCTGCGTGGATCCTTGGGTATGGTGGCCACGGATTCGGCGCACACCTTGAGCAGCTCATCGGCGGCATTTTGGGACATGATCGGTTCAACTGGCGGCGCTGGGGGATTGTCCAACTGGGTGTCGCCGGGTGCCTCGCCCATTTCCACCTGTCGCTGACGGTATGTTTCGATGGCCCGCAGAACGCGCTTTTCGTGCGTCTTCAGGTGTTTGGTCAGGCTCTTGGGATACAGAAACTTTTTGCCACAGACCTGGAAGAAGAGTACATAATTAATAACACATATGGGAACTTCCACTTGGAACTTGAACAAAACATATTTCCACATGATTTTGCCCCCATTTTAGTTTCTAAATAGTTTGATCCTGAGCTTAACTACAAATTTGGAGTATAGTTTGATTTTTTTTTATGACAAACCCCATTAATATACGCAAAAGTTAATTTTTGGCTATTTTTTGATTTTTTTTTTTTAATTTATCCTTTAGGAATATGTGACATTTTTCTGTACTGAATGCTTCATTTACATGTTAAACTATTAAGTTAAAAGCAAAACAGGCAGAAATTGAGGGATAGAGGTAAAGAAATACTTTCTACAAAACGCTAAGAAAAAATGTCTGGAGCGAATTTGGTTAAAACTGCATAAAAAAGAAACTGCAAACCATTTTTGAGTAAAACCAAAACCATTTCACAGCGACATGTTTGGACAACATTCTACAAAAAATCGCATTCAAATATTCCATCAAAATTCGCTAAATTCTAGTGTTGAATGAACTTCCTCGAAAATCACTTCTATTTTTGTCCCGAGCGAATACGGCAGTTTTTTAACGATATCTTAAAAACTAAAGGTGGTACAAAATCAAGATTTTTACACAAAATAGAGCTTGGAGGGAGTGAATTATTAAAATTATTAATTATTAAAATTAAAATAATTTTTTTTCCAATTTATGTTCAACTTTAAAGGAAGTGAAAGATCTCCCCCCAATCTCACCTTGCACTCGCAGCGCTTCTCCCCGGTGTGCGTCATCTCGTGGATCTTGCAGGCATGCGACTTGCCAAAGGTCTTCCCGCAGTACTGGCACGCATAGTTCTTGATCTTCTCGTGCACGATCTTCACGTGGTTCGCCAGACTCTGCTTGTTGTGCGAGGCGTGGTCGCAGATGTGGCACTTGAACTTCTTCTCCTGGGTGTGCGTGAGGATGTGCGTGTTCCACTCCTGCCGGGTGGTCTTGCCCACTCCGCAGTAGGGACACACGTAGTTCTTGATGCCCGCATGCCGCATGAGGTGATCCTTTAGAGCGCTATTGATCACAAATCGCTTGCCGCAAATGTTGCAGGGGAAGGGCAGCTCCTTGCCGTCGTGCTTGTACATGTGCTTCTTCAGGGCCATCGGACAGCGGAAAACCTTCTCGCACTCGGAGCAGGGGTAATCCCGTGGCGGCGCCGCCGCCTTCGTGATGCCGTGCGCCTTCTTCAGGTGGAAGGTGAGCAGGCGGATGCGGGGGAAGGTCTTGCCGCAGCCGTCGACGCTGCAGGAGTGAACCTCGGATAGCTCCGTGTGGGCGTGGTCTATGTGGAGCCTCAGGCCGCCGGCGGTGGTGAAACCTAAAATGATAGATTAATAAGTAATCTTATTTGGAAAAGGTTAACCCATATTACTTACCTTTCCTGCAGGTCTCCACCTTGCACTGGAAGGGCAGCAGGTCGTTGTGGTGCTTCATGTGCTCCTCGTAGCGAATGGCCTTCTTGAACTTCTGGTGGCAGATGTGGCAGTCGATGATGCGGTGCAGGTGGCGTTCGCCTGGCGGAATCCTCCTCCGCCTGCTCTTCTCCTCCTCCTGCTCCTCCTCGGAGCCGGTAAGGAACTCCCTCTCCTGATCCCGATCCTCCTCCTTGATTCGGGGCCTCTTGGCTTTCGCTTTCAAGCGCTGCGCCAGGGGAACATCATCGTCGCCCTCGCTGCTGTTGGGCTCAAAGTCCACGTCTTGCTCGAAATCGTCTTCGTCGCTTTCCTCCGTGGAATCCCCGGCAAAGATCGCCATCAGTTCGTCCTGCTTCACCGCCTTCTCCACCTGCTCTGCCTCCTTGTCCACGTGCTCCAGCATCTTGAACACATCCTCCTCGTTCTCGATCAGCTCCATTTTGTGATCCACCAGCGGATCGAAGTTGATGCGATCCTCCTCCTCCGTCTGGCCCACCAGCTCGGCCTCGTTCCCAGCCACATTCAGAACATCAAAGGTTTTAATCTGCGAACTGGAGGGCAAGGAAAAGACGTTTCTGGCTACCATCTCCTGGAACTTCCGCACCGAATCGACGCACAGCTTCTGGAACTCATGCAGGTCGTCCAGCCGGCTGAAGCACTGCGTGCAGAGGCTCTTCGGGAAGCCATCCGACTGCTCCACCGCCAGGGAGGTGCAGAAACACAGCTTCTTGGCCAATCCGGGGATCAGGAAGAGGTCAAAGGATCCCGGGCCGCCGCCATCCTCCGGCAGGCGATTCAGGCAGATGCGGCACACCGCGTGCACCGAATACTGGGCGGCCTGCTCCTCCTCCTGCTCCATGATGCCTGCTCCAGGGGGAATCTATTGGTCAAAACCACGGAATTTTTAGGCCGAGAAAAACTTTACGCGTCAGACAAACCAAAACAAATACCAAAAAAACACTCGCCAGTGATGGCTAATAAAAGTAGCCAAAGATCAAAAATAGCTAGAAAATTTAATTCAAGAATAGCCAGCGGGAAAGGTCCTATGGAAAATTTTGTTATTTTCATAAGGTTTCTCCATACAAGGGAAAGGGACAAACCCTCATTCACCCCTTATATTTCTTCAATTTCTGGTTTTAAAATACACGGGGGTAAATGAGGTTTCCAGATGATTTTCCAAAGAAATTTGCATTTTCCCTGCACCGCTGCCTGCTAAAAGGAACACGATTTTACACACTATAAGAACTACATAAAAACCACCCGGTGGGTAAGAATCGAAATTTATGAACTGTTTTAGTTGTATTTTTAAGTGTAGTAAGCTGAAAGAAATTAAACCACCTTATTTTAATTTAACAAAAATAAAATCATACACATATGATAAATAAATAAAAATTTATCTAATTCGACACTTCAGACGAGCTGAAGGCCTTAGCTGCTAGAGCTCTTAGTTAGCTCTTAGTTAGCTTATAGTTTTAACTTTGCTTTAGTTAGCTTTATATAAATAAATAAATAAAATATAATAAATAAATTTTAATTTAGGCCTAGTACTCACTTCAATCAAAAAGGCAACGATACGAAAATTTCTATACAAAAATGACAGGCGGAAAATTTCGTGTTCAAAATTTTGTATGTGAATTTTTATTTCGTAGGCTTTTCCCTTGAAGTGAGTACTAGGCCTTAAGTTAAAAAAAACAGCTCTTTTTGGCTTGAAAAAAGCCAAGCGGCAGGCAATGTCGCTCGCCAACATCGCTCACTTACCAACACTGAACCGTGAAATTTGAAATTCAAATCTTGAATACTTATTACTGTTTATTTAATCATATTTAAATCGTTAAATTCAGTTATAAATGAATACAATAAAGTACAAACTTAAGCAGCTGAGAGGGGGAGTGGTGGTTTAAATACAAAAAAGTAAAAACATGCTTGCAAAGTGACGGAAATTAGTTGGTAAACCTTAGAGACCTAAAACTCATACATGTCCTTCATAGAAACACACATAATTAAAGGGATAATGCCGCTCAAACGTGGTCCAGCTTCAGAGCGTCCACCGAAGTGCCCTCCGCCTCGGCCTTCTGGGCGTAGAAGCCGTCGTAGGTGTTTGTCTGCTTCTGCAGCTTGTTGAGCTGCTCGAAGGCGGCCTCCTGGATCTTCCGCAGCTCCGCCTCCGCCTTCCGCTTGGCCTCGTTCTCCTCGATCTGGTAGGCCAGCAGCTCGGCGGTGGCCGCAGCCCGTTCCGCAGCGGGATCCTGATACTGCTCGAAGTTCTTGGGCTGCTGGCGCTTCACAGCGGTGCTCGTTTCGGCCTTTTGGCCCGCCGGTTCCTTGGGTTTGCCGGGCGGACGCGGCGGCTTGTCGTGCACCTTCATGTGCGTCTTGAGCACCTGCTCCTGGCGGAAGTGCTTGCCGCACACCTTGCACTCGTACGGCTTTTCGCCGGTGTGTATGTACTCGTGGTGCCGCAGATACTGCTTCTTGGCGAACCGCTTGGGGCAGAAGCGGCAGCAGAAGTCCTTGACCTTCTGGTGGACCACCTTGTAGTGCAGCTTCATGTTGCTCACGTGGTTGAAGCCCTTGCCGCAGTCGGGGCAGATGTGCTGGCCCTCCTTCTTGGTGAAGTTGACCTGCGGCGACCAGGAGGGCAGATTCACTGAGGGAATCGGATTGGCCACCGTTCCGGCCAGCTGGGCAATGTCCACGCGCTCCACGCGTCCACGCAAATGCGGACTGGGCTTGGCAATGGTGGCGGTGGAGGAGCCACTAGCTCCGTCGCCGCCCATCAGCGGATTCGCGCCCTGCGTCTTGGGCAGATCCCGCTTCTCGTGGGTCTTTAGATGCTTCGTGAGTCCCTTTTCGAACAGGAAGACCTTTCCACAGATCTTGCACTCGCAGCACTTCTCCCCCGTGTGACTCCGCTCGTGAATCTTGCAGGCGTGCGACTTCCCGAAGGTCTTGCCGCAGTACTGGCACGCGAAATCCTTGCGCTTCTCGTGCACCACCTTCACGTGATTGGCCAAAGCCTGTTTGTTGTGCGAGGCATGATCGCACTGCCGGCACTCGTACTTCTTCTCCTTGGTGTGCGTGAGAATGTGCTTGTTCCACTCCTGCCGGGTGGTTTTCCCTACTCCGCAGTAGGGACACACATGATTCTTGATGCCCGCGTGGCGGAGGAGATGGTCGCGCAGGACGCTGTTGATCGGGAAGCGCTTGCCGCAGATCTCGCAGGCGAAGGGCAGCTCCTCGCCGGTGTGCTTGTACATGTGCTTCTTCAAGGCGGTGGGGCAGCGGAAGACCTTCTCGCATTCGGTGCAGGGGAAGTCCCGCTGCGGGGTGTCCACCTTGTGGACGCGCTTCATGTGGAAGCTGAGCAGCACGGGCCGGGCGAAGGACTTGTTGCAGCCGGCGTAGGTGCACGGATGCATGGCCGAGGTCTCCGTGTGGGCGTGCTCCACATGGACGCGCAGCCCGTTGGCGGTGGTGAAGCCTGGAATTTGCAATTATCAATCTAAATCTCTTATTGTAAAAGGTTTACAGCATAGGTTTACCCTTCAGGCAGCTCTCCACCTTGCACTGGAAGGGCAGCAGGTCGTTGTGGTGCTTCATGTGCTCCTCGTAGCGGATCGCCTTCTTGAACTTCTGGTGGCAGATGTGGCAATCGATCAAACGGTGGCGATCCCGCTCCTGGGCGGGAATCCTCTTGCGCTTGGGCTTGTCCTTGGGATTGCCATCGGAGTCTTCGTCGGAGGAGCTGATGTCCTCCGATTCCTCGTCGGCCGCCTTTGACTTGCCTTTAACCGCCTTGGAACCCCTGGCTCCTCCTCGACCTCGACGGCTGCGCTGGGCCAGCGGAATGTCGTCGTCGCTGCTGTTCAGCTGGAAGTCCGCATCCAGATCATTATCGTTGCCGCTCTCGAAGGAGTCTTCCTGGGATTCCAGCTGATCCAACTCCACCTCCTCGACCTCCTTCTCCACGGACTCCAGCATCTTGAAGACGTCCTCCTCGTTCTCGATGATCTCGATCTTGGAGTTGAGCAGCGGATCAAAGTGCACGTTGTCCTCCTCCTCGCCTGGCAAATCCTGAACGGCGACATTGGGATCCAGAACATCGAAGCTCGTTTGGCAGGCAAAGGCGTTGCTGGCCACCAGATCCTGGAACTTCTGCACCGAGTCGACGCACTGCTTCTGGAACTCGTGCAGGTCGTTCAGCTTGGAGTAGCACACGGTGCACAGGTTCTTGGGGAAGCCATCCGCCTGCTCCACGGAAAGGGAGGTGCAGACGCACAGCTTTTTGGCCAAACCGGGCACTCGGAACAGATCGTAGGCCGCCGCGTCGTCCAGCGTCGACAGGCAGGTGCGGCACACCGTGTGGATGGAGTACTGGCTCCCCTCGTTCATTGCGGCCACTCGATTCCTAGCTGGGAGATCCTAAATCCCGAAAAATGAAGCAATCCGAAATGTTCTCGGCGGAGAAAAAAATCCAATACAACACACATTTGTGTGTGTACTCGCGTACCTGCGTGTGTGTGCGCGTCGGTGTGCAGGCTCGTCAGCAATTCGGTTATCGATTAACCGCAAAGGCGGCGAGTAGACTCGCTGGCAAACTGCGCAGCTCTAGCACTCGCCCACCCACACTCAGGCGTTTTGTTTTGTTTTTCTCATGCACACATGTGCGCAGGGGATGGGGCAATAAGACCACAGTCGCGGGCAAGCAAATAGCACTAACATTATTTACTTAATTCATTTATTAAATAATAGAAACATAAAATTAAAATTTGTAAGGAAAAACGTTTTATTTATAATAAATAATAGTCGGATTTACAAAAGAATAATCAGAGCCTTCCTCTATGCTTACTTTAGAGGAAGTTATAAAATATTTTAATATTATTTTAGTTCAATAAAAGTCTACAGACTATAATAATATACATAAAAATAAAAGTTAAGGCTGTCAAAAATTTGTACACCTTTTTCTTACTTATTTAAATTTAAAACTGGTTTCTATGGATTGTTTCTATGGCAGCTTTTTATAACAAAGTACGCCGTTTTTCATAAGTCTTAAAATAGTGACGCTAAAATTGTAGTTTATTTAAATAAAATGGAACAGGAAGACGAAGATCCTATAAAATCTCTGGAAGCCAAAGCCAAAATTTTGGAAACTGAACTAGCACTACAAAATGCCGGAATCGAGAACAACAGGCTTAAACTGGAGGTCACCAAGTTAGAAGAGATCCTGGAAAAGCAGAGGAAGGTCCTGCAGAAGGCCGAGGACAACAGAAAGGAGGCTAAATTGATTTTCTCCACGTTGATGGATTTAAAGAATGATAATGGGACGAACTTAATAGTTAAGTATTATCCTTATCTTATTAGAATTACTTAGATTCATTTATTTATTTTAGGATTCCTTAGATCCAGCAGAAAAAACCGTTTAAGATGAACAGAACTCCCCCAGAAATCCCCTAAAATTTAGAAGACTGATATATTTCATACCCTTTATCATTGTACAATCTTTCTAACATAGTTTCTCTACAATTAAAGTTCCCATCGATTATATTTTCCTTTTAAAAAATGTTTATTTACTAAATTTGAAGACAGGACTTAAAAATGTAAAATTGTATTCAAAACAAGCTGCATACGAATAAATCTCTTAATTAAAATTAAGCTTATGGTTTCATAGGTGATATTAAAGTGGGTTTAAAAAAAAAAGATAACTTTATTATTAAAAATCACTGGTTCTGGTATTGCAAAGGGCTGTGAGAATCTCCCCCACTAAAAGGAAACTCCAACGGGCGTTGTGTATATTATTTTAATCCATTACTCTAAGTAAGCACGGGAGACATTACACGGAAAAACAAAATACATATATTGCATGTATGTATAAACGTATGTAAAAATAAGAAGTGTTCATATTGTAATATGTACTCGAATAATTAGGGCTGTTTATGTGTTATAAACCTACAATCTGATCATCCAGCTAGAGAGCAATTCGAGGCATGCTTAAAAGATTTCCGGACAGTGACAGCTGCTGTAGAAGTGGATACATAAGTCGCTAGATTGTATGTATATATATAAAGTAAAGCCTAAAGCCTAGACATGATCGATCTTCAACGAATCCAAGCTGGTGCCCTCGGCCTGGGCCTTCTGCGCGTAGTAGCCATCGTACGAGGTGGTGGCCTTCATGATCTCCTGCTGCTGCTGCAGCTTCGTCAGCTGCTCGCAAGCGGCCGCCGCGATCTTCTGCCGCTCGATGTCCGCCTTCCGCTTGGCCTCGTTCTCCTCCAGCTGATGGGCGAGCAGCTCGGCAGTGGCGGCCGCCCTTTCCACCGCGGGATCCTGGTACTGATCGAAGTTCCGCGGCTCGGCATCCGGCTCCAGTTTGCGGAACGTGATCTGTGTGGGTGCACTGCGCTCGGGCACGTGCCTCCTGTTCGGCTTCTCGTGCGTCTTGATGTGCTTCTTGAGCGCCGTCTCCTGGCGGAAGTGCTTGCCGCAGATCTTGCACTCGAATGGCTTTTCCCCGGTGTGTATCCATTCGTGGTGGCGCAAAATCTGTGCCTTGGAGAAGCGCTTGGGGCAGAAGCGACAGGCAAAGTCCTTGACCTTCTCGTGGATGATCTTGTAGTGGAGCTTCATGTTGCCGATGTTGTTGAAGCCGCGCCCGCAGCCTGGGCAGATGTGCTGGCCCTCCTTCTTGGTGAAGTTCACCTGCGGCGACCACGAGGGCACCGAAACCGAGGGTATCGGATTCACAGCGGTGCCGGCCAGCTGGGAAATGTCCACCCGCTGGACGCGCCGCGAGTTCTTCGGCTTGGGAGGCACTGCCGCGGACCCGCCGCTGCCGCCGCCGCAAGCCTTGAGCATCTCCTCGCTGGGCATCTGATGGGGATCCATCTGGACCAGGCCGTCGGCCTGCATCTGCATGGGCATCTGGCCAGGCATCATTTGGCCCGGCATGGGAATGTTGAGCTGCTGGCGATGGGGCTCCGCCGGCGGCAGATCCCTCTTCTCGTGCGTCTTCAAATGCTTGGTGAGGCTCTTCTCGCAGAGGAAGATCTTGCCGCAGATCTTGCACTCGCAGCACTTCTCCCCCGTGTGACTTCTTTCGTGAACTTTGCAGGCATGCGACTTGCCAAAGGTTTTGCCGCAGTATTGGCAGGCGAAATCCTTGCGCTTCTCGTGCACCACCTTCACGTGGTTGGACAGCGCCTGTTTGTTGTGCGAGGCGTGGTCGCACTGCCGGCACTTGAACTTCTTCTCCTTGGTGTGCGTGAGGATATGGGCGTTCCACTCCTGGCGCGTCGTCTTGCCCACTCCGCAGTAGGGACACACATGATTCTTGATGCCCGCATGCCGCATGAGGTGATCCCTTAGAGCACTGTTGATCACGAACCGCTTGCCGCAGATGTTGCAGGGATAGGGAAGCTCCTCGCCGGTGTGCTTGTACATGTGCTTCTTGAGCGCCGTGGGGCAGCGGAAGACGGTGTCGCATTCGGGACAGGGGAAGTCGCGCAAAGGAGCAGCCGCCTTCGTGATGCCATGCACCTTCTTCATGTGGAAGGTGAGCAGGCGGACGCGCGGGAAGGTCTTGCCGCAGCCCTCGGCGATGCAGGCGTGGACCTCGGAGAGCTCCGTGTGGGCGTGGTCGATGTGGATGCGCAGCCCGTTGGCGGTGGTGAAACCTTAAGGAGGAGAAATTGATAAGTAATCTTATTTAAGGCAGGTAAATCAATGGGAATACCCTTCTTGCAGGTCTCCACTTTGCACTGGAAGGGCAGCAGGTCGTTGTGGTACTTCATGTGCTCCTCGTAGCGGATGGCCTTCTTGAACTTCTGGTGGCAGATGTGGCAGTCGATGATGCGGTGCAGGTGGCGCTCCTCCAGCGGAATGCGCTTCCTCTTCGGCTTGTCCTCTGAGTCATCCTCGGAGTCCTCGGAGGAGCCGCTGATCTCCTCCTCGTCCGCCGGCGGCGGCGGCTTGATCTTCTTGGGGCGTCCCCGCTTCGCCTTGGGCTTGCTGGCCAAGGAGGAGGAGGAGGTTCCTCCAGCTGGAACTCCCCGCATCCGTTGGGCCAGCGGAATGTCATCGTCGCTGCTGTTGGGCTCGAAATCCAGGTCGTGGTCGTTGTCATTGCCGCTCTCCAGCGAGGAAGCGTCGTCGTCGAACATCTTGATGGACAGATCCTCATCCGGATCTTCGCGCTCCACCTTGGCGCCGTTCTCCACCTCCTCGGCCTCCTTGTCCACATGCTCCAGCATCTTGAAGACGTCCTCCTCGTTCTCGATCAGCTCCATCTTGTGATTCAGCAGGGGATCGTAGTTGACATGATCCTCCTCCTCGCCCTGGTAATCCTGGACGGCGACATTGGGATCCAGGACATCGAAGCTGCTCTGGCAGGCAAAGACATTGCTGGCCACCAGATCCTGGAACTTCTGCACCGAATCGACGCACTGCCTCTGGAAGTCGTGCAGGTCATTCAGTTTCGTGTAGCACAGCGTGCACAGGTTCTTCGGGAAGCCGTCGTTCTGCTCCACGGACAGGGAGGTGCAGAAACATAGCTTCTTCGAGAGTCCTGGCACCAGATACAAATCGTAGGCGGCGTCGTTCTGCAGGTGGTTCAGACAGATCCTGCACAGGCTGTGGATCGAGTACTGCCTGCCCTCGTTCATCTTGCTTTCACTCGCAGTCGGCAGTCGGCGGATCGGGGCGAATTTCTATAGCCTTTTTGCGTTTTCCCCTCCTTTCAGTCAGCAATAAAATAATATTGACACAGAAAAAATTGTATACTCGTCGACTGGCGAACGGGCGAGTGGGCAATAAGCAGGTACGACTGCCAGCGAGTTACTCGCTTGAGTGACTACTCGGTGTGTCTACCAGGGCTGGTCAACCGCAACGTAGAATTAACCCTCGATGGGTGTTTGTAATTTTACTAATTAAAATTCTAGTCAGGTTTTAGTTTTCTGGATTATTTGGAGAAAATTATTTTATGGAACTTCCTAAACTGTTGAATTACAGAATACAAGTTGAAACTAATTGCAGGGCCTGCACAGTTTTTTGAAATTTGACGAAACCTTACCATTTTCCAACTTTGCTTTAGTAAATTTCACTTTTATTCTTTATTAAAAAAAAAAAAACTAAAAGGAGATAATATCAAAATCCTTATTTTTAATAACCTTTTATTATGAAAATAGTAATATTTTTTTTATTTATTTACATATTGTTTCCTAAAAGTTAAAAACTAAAGCTACAGGAATGGGCAGCCGTAGCTACTTAGGCTTTAAGCCGAATTTTTAAAATTTTTATTTTTAGTAACCTTTTATAATGAATATTTGAATAATTTAATTTCAACTTTTATGAAGGTATTGTTTCTTTTAATTTAATAAAAAAATACATTTAAATTTTTTTGTTAAAAAAATTAAGAAATATTCAAGAAACGAAGGCAATTATTTTAATTATTCTTTTGGGTTAAAATATTTTATTCCCTGAGATAATAGTAAAATATTATTTATTTAGGGGTTGACTTTTCACCCACCGCACCGAAATGGGTTAAAGCTAGAGCGCAACGGCCACACTGGCAAACACACTGCCACAAAATTTGTTTTGAAACCCGGTTCGGAATCTCCCCGAGAATCGGGAGAAATGGGCACCAGGGAGCTCCAGTACTCCGTCCACTCGCTGTGTCGCATCTGCCTTGGCCACCTGGAGCAGGGTGTCGGCCATGATCTTTTCCTGGTTCCAGATTTGGTCAGGAAACTGGTTTCCCTGACTTCATTGGAGGCGGATCAAGGCGACGGTTTCCCCAAGAAGCTATGCACCCAGTGCTTCTCCAGGCTGAACGACCTGCACGATTTCCGGGAACTCTGTGCGGAATCCATCAAGCGTTTCAAGGAAATGGTGGCCAGCAATAGGATTCTGGATTCTGAGGATTCCGAGGCATTGGGAAGGCAGGATCCCCTGCTAAACCACAAAATGGAGCTGATCGAGAACGAAGAGGAGGTCTTCAAGATGCTGAACGGGGACAGGGAACAGGAGGAAGAGGATTCATCCAGTGGAGAAGAAAACGAGAAGGAGGAGGAGCATAAATCAGCGGATGGTTTCTCCAGCGATGATGAGCAGCCCTTGGCCAGGCGGCGGCGCAGGATTCCCAGCCTCATTAGCTGCCCCATCTGCCAGCAGAAGTTCAAGAAGCCCGCGAATTATGAGGAGCACATGAAGCACCACAACGACCTGCTCCCGTTTCAGTGCGAGGAGGAAAGCTGCCGCAAGGGCTTCACCACAGCCGGTGCACTGCGTCTCCATGTGGACTATGCGCACACCAAGAAGGCGGATGAGATTCCCTGCACTGTGGAGGGTTGTAAATTGTTATTTCCCCGTCTCCGCCTGCTGACCATCCACCTGAAAAAGGTTCACAACCAGGCAAGGATCAGTGCACCGCGTTCGGAGCAGCCTTGCGGGGAATGCGGCATGGTCTTCCGCTGCCCGGTGGCCCTGAAGAAGCACATGTACAAGCACACCGGCGCCGAGCTTCCCTTTCCCTGCAACATCTGCGGCAAGGGCTTCCACATCAATAGTGCTTTGAAGAATCATCTTCTGCGGCACGCGGGCATCAAGAACTACGTGTGTCCGTACTGCGGAGTGGGCAAGACCACCCGGCAGGAGTGGAGCAAGCACCTGCTGACCCACACGCAGGAGAAGCAGTTCAAGTGCCACATCTGCGACCATGCCACCCACACGAAGCGGGCTCTGGATAGCCACGTGAAGATTGTGCACGAGAAGATCCGCAACTTTGCCTGCCAGTATTGTGGAAAGACCTTTGGAAAGTCGCACGCCTGCAAAATCCACGAGATGACGCACACCGGGGAGAAGCGCTGCGAGTGCAAGGTGGGGATAATATCACCTGTAAAATAGATTGATATAACTTCTCTATTTTTTAGGTCTGTGGCAAAAAGTTCCTGTACACGGAAAGCCTCACGAAGCACCTGAAGATCCACGAAAAGAGCGTTGAGAGGGCTTTGGAAACCTATAGACAGAGGCAGGGAGATGGTGAGATGGATGCGGATCAGCTGCTTAAAGTGTGCGCCGAATCGGTGGCCACCATACCCAAGGATCCGCGCCGCGTGGAGCGCGTTGATCTGGCCCAACTGGCCGGAACCGTGGTGAATCCCATACCCACCGTCCAGCTGCCGCCCAGCGAAGCGCCCGCGCGCTCAAAGTTTGTCCAGAAGGAGGGCATGCACCTGTGTCCCGGCTGCAGCCAGGGATTCAACAATCTGGGCAACATGAAGCGCCACTACAAGAGCGTCCACGAGAAGGTCAAGGACTTTGAGTGCCGCTTCTGCTCGCGTCGCTTCGCCAACTCGCAGTCGCTGAAGCAGCACGAGTGGATACACACCGGCGAAAAGCCGTACGAGTGCAAGGTTTGTGGCACTCACTTCCGCCAGGAAGCTGCCCTCATCCGCCACCAGAAGGTCCACGACGAGAAGCCGCCAAAGCCTCCCAGGCCGCCCAAGGAAATCAGCGAAAGGGCGCGACAGAAGGCGATGCAGAAGAGTGAGCGAAGACGAAAAGTGGAGGAACTGCGGCAGGAAATCGCCGAGGCCGCCAAGGAGGAGCTCAAGGATTTGGAGAACCAACGGGCTCTGGAGAAGCAGCAGAACAGCTACGAACAGTATCAAGCAGCGGCAGCTGGCCAGACTAATCCCGAGTCCAATCTTGATGAGAAATTAGCGTAAGGTTTCCATTTGGCTTCAGAATTCCCCAAAAATAAAAGGGAGTTTAAATTGTTGGTTAATATTTAACTGTCACTTAACTGTTACCTTAGTTTTAAGTAATCAAAGGCACTATTTGTAATTTATTTAAATTATGAGGCAACTTAAGTTAACCTGAATTGGTTTTGGGTGCAATTTAAGATCAAATAGTTTTTATACCATCTTAAAAATAAAATTTTCAACAAACCCTATTAAAAATAAAACAACCGCTTGTAGTTTTTTTAATTTGTTTGTATTTTTACTTTATTTGCTTGTTGTTTTGATGAGAGAGTGTCAATTGTGAAAAATTTTTAATTTATTTAAATGAATTAGCCTGACTTAAGTTAACCTGAATTGGTTTTGTGTGAAATTTAAGATCAAATAGTTTTTATACAGGGAACGTAACTGTTATAAGTTTTATTTTAAAAATCACACTTTAACAGTTATTTTCTGATTTGTAAAGTAAAACTCAAAGAATAACTGTTATTTTTTGAGTTTTATAATAAAAGTTGACAAATAACAGTTATTCGTCGTGATCAAAATAAAACTCAAACTTGATTTATGGCGATTTTGTGGGTAAACAAAATATTAAAAAAATATAGGTATAAAATATGCGCGGTTGCCTTTTTTAACAAATTTTTAGTAAGTTATAAAAAGCACGGGTATTATGTTTTTTTTAATTATTTCATTTTTTCAAAAATGTCAAGGGAATAACTGTTATTCATAAAAATCAAAAAATAACAGTTATTTTTTGAGTTTTATTATAAAAATCAAAAAATAAAAATCATTACGGATTTGTAAACTACAATGGCTAATAAAAATTGTGGTGTATTTAAAAAATTTTTAGGACCCTTCTAAGTGCGTGATTTTTTTGTATGAAAAATTTACAATAACAGTTATTTTCGTTCCCTGTTTTTATACCATGAATTAAGCAATCTTTAAATTAAAACCCCATTAATAATAAAACAACCTTTTGTAGTTTTTTCAATTTTTTTTGTATTTTTACTTTTACTTGCTTGTTATTTTGATGAGAGATTACGTTCTAATTAATCAAATGAACTATTTGTAATTTATTTAAATTATTTTGCCTGACTACGAGACAACTTAAGTTAACCTTAATTGGTTTTGGGTGAAATTTAAGATCAAATAGTTTTTATACCATGAATTAAGCAATCTTAAAATTAAAACCCCATTAATAATAAAACAACCTTTTGTAGTTTTTCAATTTTTTTGTATTTTTACTTTACTTGCTTGTTATTTTGATGAGAGAGTGTCTTAATGTCGTCAAATGATGGCAAACAGTCGGATTGCGTTGCGCAAATGGCTGCGCTCCGCGATCTCCGGCCGTTCATATGATAGATGGAGTGATGGATGGATGATAATGATTAGATTCAAATGATACAAAAATGCGATCAAAAAAATCTACAAGTAGATAGCAAAAATTTGGTATACACATATAAGTAGAGCGAGAAGTTCCCTAAACTGGTGGAAAGTTGGTTGGGTGGAAATGGTGTCCCCTCTGCCGCCTCTAAGGAGCCTCCGGCGTCTTCAGATTGTACTTGGCCTTGATGTTGTTCAGCTCCTCCTGCTTCTTGTCCATGTCCACGCGCTTGAAGGCCTTGTTGGACTGGTAGTAGAGCACCACCAGGTAGCGATTGCACACATTGAAGCCGGATAAATGGTCGCAGGCGTTCTTGGCATCGAAGATGTCCTCGTAGACGACAAAGGCGGTGCCACGCGTTTCCGGAGTGTTGCCCCTGTAAGGAGTTGGCATTTCTTGAGGGGATTCACGGGATGAAAAAGGCTGGAAAACTTACACGCGTATCTGTCGGATGGCCCCGAATTTGCCGAAAATGTCGTACATCTCGTCGGAGGTGATTTTGTACGGCAGGTTCCGCACGTACAGCAGCCGATTCACCTCCGGCGGCAGGCGGATCTGCAAAATAAATATAGTTTTCAGTTTTTCCACCGCCATCCAATTACTTTGTCTACGGAGTTCGGGTTTTCTTCTCACATGGTTGCGCTTATTCATGACCGGTCGCCTCGGATGTTAAACTGCGACAAGGCGAGAAACTTTCACTCGGCCCTGGGGAAAGCGAGACGCGGCTTTGTCCGACCTGGGATGAATGTCCTGAAGCGTGGTCCTTTGTTTAAAATTAATGACTCCTCTGTCTGGCCTCAAACCCAAACAAAATTGACCAGGGTGGCGGGTGCGGGCACTCTAAAGTGGCGAAAGTGTGGTCGCACTTGAGTGTGACCGTTGGTTAGCATCCAGAGATGGGCTTGTTATTATTATGCCGATATATCGCAGCATGACAGATAGTCAAATTATGAATTTAAAAAAATAATAATAGAAGGTATCCAGGTATTGAGCAAGCCCTTAGCTGTATTATGTTTTTTTTTGTTAAAGATATTTGTTTTTATTTTTAAAGGATTATCATCTAATATGAGATTAAAAATTTTAGAAGCGTTTATGGCCTACAGCTCGTGTTCGTTATAATACTACAAATATTTTTAAAAGCGCATTGTCTATCCAATTACCATTATAAATTTTATATTAATTTTCCTTGTTTTCGAAATCAGTAAATGGCTTTTTGGCGCCTCTTAAAATATTTTTTTTACGATTTTTGAGTGTTTTAAAATGTATCTTTAATTGTAAGTCACAAGTTTTAAATTAAATGAACTAAACTAAAATAATTACGGGCCCACGACGTCACGCTCCCATCTCTAACCACCGAATAGCACACTCCCTCGCTCACACACGGCCACACTACACCACTCTGCTAATTGTGCGAAGAAAAGGTGAAAAAAGAGAAAATTCGCAGGAAAACTCAAGATAATTCCAACCAAACTAGTTTTAAAGCACAGAAAACCCCCAAAGGTGAGTACGGGAATGGCGGGCAATGCCCAACTTTTAACGGAAACCCTTTTTTTTCGGGGCTCGAGCGAGGTTCACACGGAATATGGCGGAGGTAGGCGGGTTCTGCTCGGGGTTTTTTTTTCCCCGTCTGGCTTCTGGGCAGGAAATCGCATGTTTCTCGCGGGGAAGGGCCATCATCTTGAAAACCCACAAAGTGCCAGGGGAAAATCGGACGGAAAACGTAGATATTTGCAAATTTCACAACAGCAGATGCCCGCAGTGCGCGAGTGTGGGTGCGAAATGCGCTGGTGTGCGTAAGTGGCCTCGAACATTGTGCCTCTCTCGCTCTCGCTCTCTCTCTCTTTCTCCCCCAGTTGCTACCCCTTGCGAGGGCATTAACCCTAATTTCTAATTTCTAATGCCCAATCCCTAATTTAAAATTCAATCTCCGCTTGCAGCAGCAACATGACGTGGGAACCACAGGGAGAAGGTCTGCAGCAAATCATAGCGATCCTCAAGGAGTCGCAGTCACCGGACACAGCCACCCAGATGGCCGTACAGATGGTGAGTTTTGAGTTTTTCCGCCCCCAAACCAACCCACATTTTCCCCATTTCCCCCACAGAAACTGGAGGAATTCAATCGCTATCCCGACTTCAACAACTATCTCATCTACGTGCTGACCAAACTGAAGACCGAGGACGAGCCCACGCGCTCGCTGAGCGGCCTGATCCTCAAGAACAACATCCGCATGCACGGCAGCAATCTGCAGCCGGAGATCGTGGAGTACATCAAGCACGAGTGCCTGCAGGCAGTGGGCGACTCCTCGCCGCTGATCCGCGCCACCGTGGGCATCCTGATCACCACTATCGCCAGCAATGGTGGCCTGCACAACTGGCCACAGTTGCTGCCCTCGCTCTGCGACATGCTCGACGCCCAGGACTACAATGTGTGCGAAGGAGCCTTCAGCGCACTGCAAAAGATCTGCGAGGACTCCGCCGAGATCCTGGACTCGGCGGCGCTCAACAGGCCGCTCAACGTTATGATTCCCAAGTTCCTGCAGTACTTCAAGCACAGCAGTCCCAAGATCCGTTCCCACGCCATCGCCTGCATCAACCAGTTCATCATAAACAGATCACAGGCCCTCATGCTGAACATAGACACCTTCATCGAAAACCTATTTCACCTGTCCTCGGATGAGGACCACGAGGTGCGCAAGAACGTCTGCCACGGATTGGTCATGCTGCTGGAGGTGCGCATGGACCGCCTTATGCCGCACATGTCGCAGATCATTGAGGTGAGAAGTCTTTGAAAAATCTAAAGAATTTACCCTTGCACAGGGTATTATGATTTCAGTCAGAAGTTTGTGAAAGCAGTGAAGGAGATGTTTCCGACCCCATAAATTATATATATTCTTGATCAGAATGAGTAGACGCGTCGATCTAGCCATGTCCGTCTGTCCGTCTGTTTGTCCGTTTCTACGCAAACTAGTCTCTCAGTTTTTTAACTGTCGGGATGAAACTTTTCCCCAAAACTTTCGGACAACTTTATCTTAAAAAACGTAAAACGGTGTTATTTTAAATATTACCTTCTACTCTTGGGAATAATATTTTTTAAATATTTCTGAATTTCGAATAAAATTTAGACAAAATCGGAGCACTATATCATATAGCTGCTATAGGAACGATCGGATAATTAAATGCAAATTAATAGGAAAAAAATGATTGCTTCGTTGGTTTTTATTGTATTTTCTTATACTCTGGGATATGACTCTTTTTAAATATTTCCGAATTTCGATTTTAATTTTATCAAAATTGAACTACTATATCATATAGCTGCCATAGGAACGATCTAAAATTTGATGAGAAATATTAGGAAATTGAACAATTTTGCGATTTCTAAATTAATAGAAATGATATTTAATTGCAATTAATTAATTATATACCTAATTTCAGTACATGTTGCTGCGCACCCAGGACTCCGATGAGGGAGTGGCTCTGGAGGCCTCCGAATTTTGGCTTTCCTTGGCAGAGCAAAGCATCTGCAAGGACGTGCTAGCGCCCTTCTTATCCCAGTTGGCTCCAGTGCTTGTGCGAGGCATGCGCTACTCAGAGGTCGACATTATTCTGCTGAAGGGCAATGTGGAGGAGGATGACATGGTGCCCGATCGGGAGGAGGACATCCGGCCGCGTTTCCACAAGTCCCGCGCCCATACGATCAAGAGTACCCAGGAGGCGGGAGCCGGAGCGTCGGGCGAGGATGACGACGACGATTTTGACGACGGATTGGACGACGATAGCTCGCTATCGGAATGGAACTTGCGCAAGTGCAGCGCTGCCGCCTTGGATGTGCTGGCCAATGTGTTCCGTGAGGATTGTTTGCCCGTCGTGCTGCCCATTCTCAAGGAGACGCTGTTCCACCAAGAGTGGGTGATCAAGGAGAGCGGTGTGCTGGCCCTGGGCGCCATCGCCGAGGGTTGCATGCAGGGCATGATCCAGCACTTGCCGGAGCTGATTCCCTACCTGATTAGCTGTCTGTCCGACAAGAAGGCGCTGGTGCGCTCCATCACCTGCTGGACGCTCTCACGGTACGCCAATTGGGTGGTCAACCAGCCGCACGACCAGTACTTGAAGCCGCTGATGGAGGAGCTGCTGAAGCGCATCCTGGATTCGAACAAGCGCGTTCAGGAGGCTGCCTGCTCTGCCTTTGCCACGTTGGAGGAGGAGGCCTGCACGGAACTGGTGCCCTACTTGGAGTATATTCTCAAGACGCTCGTCTTCGCTTTCTCCAAGTATCAGCACAAGAATCTGCTGATCCTGTATGATGCTGTCGGCACTCTGGCTGATTCTGTGGGTCACCACCTAAACAAGCCGCAGTACATTGAAATTCTAATGCCGCCGCTGATCGACAAGTGGAATTTGCTTAAGGACGACGACAAGGACCTATTCCCTTTGCTGGAGTGCCTGTCGAGCATCGCCACTGCCCTGCAGTCCGGTTTTCTGCCCTACTGCGATCCGGTCTACAGGAGATGCATCTCCCTAATTGAGCAGACCATCAACCAGGAAATGGTAAGGGTTGTTTTTTAATGAAGAATGCTTAAATCAAGTTAATTCTCTTCTCAAGCTGTGCAAACAAAACCAAACGTATGATCATCCCGACAAAGAGCGCATGATTGTTGCTTTAGATCTGCTTTCTGGCTTAGCAGAGGGTTTGGATCGCCACATCGAGACACTGGTGGCCAACAGCAATATCATGCATCTGCTCTACCAATGCATGCAGGACGTTCTGCCAGAGGTATGACTTTAAACTGATCTTATTACGATTCGATTACAATTAAATTACTCAATTTTAGGTGCGCCAATCCTCGTTTGCCCTGCTCGGAGATCTGACCAAGGCCTGTTTCCCCCACGTGCATCCCTTCATGGCCGAATTCTTTCCCATTTTGGGTCAAAACCTAAACCCCGACTTTATTTCGGTGTGCAACAATGCCACATGGGCCATAGGCGAGATTTGCATGAAACTGGGTGAGTATGAAGATATTTTTAGCGAGTTATATGATAAAACTAATGGAATATTTTGCTTTAAAGGTGAGGAGACAAAGCAGTACATACGCCTCGTACTCAGCGACCTGTTTATCATCATCAACCGCCCAAATACGCCCAAGACTCTGCTGGAGAATACAGGTAAGCCGTTTGGGCTGATCCAATTACCTGGAACAAATTTATGTCTAAGAATTTATATGCGATTTGTTTGTACATATATATGATTCCGAACTCTGAATGTATGTGCGTATGTGGATGTCTGGAATTTTGTTTCTGTTTTAATTTGTGTTACTTGTTGCACGAGAGCAGCAACGAAACGAAATCGAACCTCATTCCCATACAACATGCATTGTGATATAGATAGACGCGAATCGCAATTGATATTCAATTCGAGTTTAGCAATCAATTAAAGCCAACTACGTGTGATATTGATTTATTCAATTCATTTGATTTATTTCTACTTATTTCTTCTGTTCTTTTAGCAATAACAATCGGTCGTCTAGGTTATGTGTGCCCAGTTGAAGTGGCTCCTTATTTGCCCGAATTTGTACGACAGTGGTGTGTAACACGTTTTATAATTATATTTAACTAGCTTATTCTTTCTTTCTATTCTCTTGACTATCCTTCCCGTGCCATAACTCAAATTATGCTTACCCATCCATTTCTTTAATCTCTAACAACTAAACACTATTATTTGAACACGTTTTTTAACCACAACATTTAACTGGAATTTCAAATTTGCCTTCAAACGTTCGTGTTTGCCAATGCCTGCCAATTTGATTTACTGCCTGTCAAAAACACCATCTAAACGCTCTCTCTACAACGAAATGCAGGTGCACATCACTGCGGCACATACGAGACAATGATGAGAAGGACTCGGCCTTCCGTGGAATGTGTCATATGATCACGGTGAATCCAGCTGGCGTGGTGCCCGACTTCATATTCTTCTGCGATGCCATCGCCTCGTGGGTGAATCCCCCGCAGGATCTGCATCAGATGATTCAAAAGGTAAGCTGTTCTATTAGAGATGATATTTCTTTATTTAAAATATATATATTTTTTCAGATCCTTCACGGCTTCAAGACCCAAGTGGGTGAGGAAAACTGGCGTCGATTTGTGGAGCAATTCCCGCCAACTCTGGCCGAGCGCCTGGCCACAATGTACAACATCTAAGGCCAGCCAAGCTCCAAGCTCCACACCCACCTGCACCCACTAGTGAGCCAAGCAGCAACATCTTAACTAGACAATTATGTACAAGTATGCGTAGTAAGCGTGTCGTCTTAATCTTTAGCCTCCCTAAGTAATTCGATTCGATGCAGTTCGAATGTTACGTTAACATTGAAATTTAAGCTTATAGAAATCGAAAGAAAAAAAAGCAGCAAGTTCACATAAAAGCAACTGCATACCAGATTTATAACCACCACATACATATATCGATAAATCTAATAGAGAAGAATCACATATATATATTCGAAGTCAAGCTAGAGGATCTTAGATCTGTAGAACCTCTTTAGGCATTCGTCTGTCCGCTTAGAGCATACAAAAATTCCCTTGTCGTGCAAACAACTCAATAGGAACTACCAGAAAATGATGTGTTCCGGCCGTACTTAACCGGAGTCAGTGCTATAGTAGACATGCCCAGAACCTCCAATACACTCACCCCCAACCCCAAACCGAAAATAGAGTTTAATATGCTGAACACACGGGTGTTTCTCATAGGTAATAACAAATCGTAACAAAAAATCGTCGAAAATAATGATATTGCGGGTTCGTGTCGCGGTAATTATTAACTAACTTAAATAAATCGTTGAAAGATGAAAGTGTTGGGTCTACTGGGAAATCCAGAGATCAGAAATGGAAAAATGGATTCAAGTGCACATGCATACGAAAAAAGCTTCAGCTGAAGAAAATGTTACAAATCAAACAAAAGACTGATGTTCAACTCCGTTCAAAAACCATAGAAAGCATTCATCAACAGCCGATTTGAATTTCTCAGGAGATCCCGACACTTTCAGCACTTAAATAACATTAACAAGAAAGAAAAACTGAAAAATCGTCGCGTTTCGGGTTCTTACGGTTTCGCGTTCGCGTATTTTCGTCGCTCGTTCGTTCATAATCGTAATCGTCGTTCGTGGTATCTCGTCGGGTAATGAAAATCGAAATATGAAAAATGAAAACAAATAATACAAGGATAACGATAATATTGCAACTGTTACTGATACAAATTTACTTATACACTACATGATATTCATATGCTATACAAAATTAGGTGTTTTTTTACGCATTGTGAAAGCGAAAAGCAAATAGGGAAAAAGTATAAAATTGAGATTAGGATTTTGTTGAGTATCTTATTTATTTTTGTGCGATCCTTTAACTGAATACAAAAGCAACCATTGACTGATCACTTTTTAAAGTATTATTATATAATTTTTTTTGTATAGGGACAAGTGTAATTAATTAACTATTATAATTTTCTTCAAACTTTGCTATAATTTGTATAGGCTCGTGTTTTGCGTAACCTCTATAATTTATGATGTTTGTACAGAACAAATTTTTTACAATTATACGATTAGGTGTAAAGTGTACTACTAAATGGAAACAAAAGTCTTTGAAATTGTCGCGGAACAACTAAAAAAAAAATACGAAAAAAAAACTAGGGAAAACCAAACTCAGTCAAACACAAATAAAAGGAAGATGAAGATTATGAAGCTGGAAGATAACCAAGTAAATCTAAGTAATAGTATTATGAAATTATGCAAACCGTGTTTACGTTTGTGTTTTTATTTCGTTTCAAAAAAGAAATGGGGGAACGTGTGATAATAAAGTAACTTCGGGTCGTTCGTTCGCGTCGCGTTAAACTCAACCAATTTAAAAACTAACAATAAGGGACTTTCGCCCCCGAGTCCCAAATAATAATCGCAAAACTTGATAACTATAATACGGTCTAACTAAAGCGAAGTGAAGCAATAGCTAAAACTGAAACTAAACTAAAATGGAAAATCGTGATTTCGTTGTACCTTAATCCGGATTCATCGCGGAATCCGGTCGCGTTCGCGTGCGTTTGTATCTCTCTCGGGTGATCTTAGTGATTAGCGTTTAAGCATAAAAAATATACTTTAAAAAACTGAAGCAACACTACAACTACACACACACACACAACATTGAACATATACACACCACACATATACACTATATGAAATATATTTATAGATTTTATGCAGAATAGGTTTTCGTTCCAACTATTATTTTTCACTATGATAGGGCAAACCAAAAACAAAAGAGTAGGGAACTTAAAATATACTAAATGTTAGGTCAAGTTAGGGCAAGAAATTAATTAAATGCAAAACGTAACAAAAACAGGAAATCAAAATACATTTGTGGAGCATTAGGAAATCTTATTTCTTATTTATTACATTATCGTGTGTATGTAATTAAAATTATGAAGGGAAACTACCAACTGTTTTTAGTCCTTTACACACAATCTTTCACCTCTGTTGTTTCTTTAAGTAAATCAAGACCAAGCCTAGTTAATATTGTTTTAATTTTAACTCTTCACACACCACCCATAACACTTACAGTTCATCGAGCACACAACTCTGATAGGTTTATATCCTGTACTCCTTTAAATTTAAATCCACTGTCACTAACTCGGTTAACAAAAGGTCTGCAAATGTCTAACGAAATTGAATATACATATATATACGCGCCTATATACATAAAAATCATACACATATATACACATATGAAGTACATGCAAGTATGTATAATCCCAACATCTAGCTATATGGTCTCGCATATTGGCAAGCTAGAGATTATTCTTCGGGAGTTTAAATATTTGTTTAAGTAAAACTCCATTTCAAAATTCAGCTATCGAGATTTATGTAAATTGAAAATTATATATATGAATAAATATGTATGTATAACATTACCATCAATAAAACTGTAGTTTTCTATGTAGGTTGGGGTAATAGTATCAAAAATCTAAAAAGCAACAAGGGCAACGATAAAAATCCCGAAAATATTTTTATTATCACTTCCCAAATTTTTACAATATCTAGAATGTAAAATAAAAAATTTCATTTAAATGATTATATTTATTGATTCGGCAAAATTACAAAAATTCACAGATTGACTTGAAGAGTTTTTAAAAGGATAAAAGCATACAAATGACGATATGTATGAGTATGGCTTCATTAGATTGGCACATAGAGGTTTGGCTTATAGTACTAAGAAATATACGACTGTCATCTTTGTTAATGGGTCAATTATCTTTGATAACCCACGACTTTTTCATGGCCTGTCGATTTTGTTCGTTTACAATTTGTTCGTTCGCTGTCCTTTGATAAGCATTTTGGTCGGCAACTTTCGATTTTCCCTGGCAGTTATTCGTATTTTTTGGTCAAATTAAATCATAGGTCCTTAAATCGTTCCGCGGATCTTCATTAGTTGAGGGGGCAGTAGCCCTGCCAAATATCACCAAAGACCATGTTGGGCGTAATCCTGATCATCTTTTGGTTGACCTCCACCTTGCTGATGCAGCCCTTGAAGGACTTCTTGGTCTTCATGCCCGGCGCCTTCTGGAAGGCCACATGACCGCCCAGGAACAACGGACGGTTGGTCTTTGTGATGACCGATCCCTCGTTGCCCACGCCCGGATTGGAGCTTATAAAGTCCACGGCTATGTTGATCACAAACTTGGATTTGATGGCCTGAACGTTGCGTGTCTTGCCATCGCAGAAGCTTTCGTTGTTGGGCAGCTTATAGTTGGTGGTTACAATATTCTTCACATCGGTCTTCACGGTGAAGAACAACGTGTTGTCCACCAGCTCGAGGATGGCATAGGAATTCTTGCCATGCACCGAGAAGAGCAGACCGTTGGGATCCCTCGGGCGGAAATCAAAGCTGATCTTCATCTCGGTGCCCACATCGAAGTGATCGAAGATCTTAACATACGCCTTCTGGTTGTTGAAGAACACTCCGCGTTCCACCTGTTCGGAGCACGGAACCACTCCGAACTCCTCCGGTGGCGTCTCCAAATCGAAGGCATCGAACTTAATGTTCTTGAGGCAACCGTTAAAGAACGGCACTTCGGTGTCAAATGCGGTTAACCTCTTAACCTCCGACTCCAGGTACTTGGTAATGCCACCCACATAGATGGGCAACTGGACATCGAACATCGGTGGACTTCTCTCCGCGTTCAGTTCCTCCGAACCCGTCTGCTCCAGCTTGTCGATCAGCAGGCTGACCTTTCGTTGAGTTCGCACCACCTCCACGGTGTGCCAACTGCCGTCGTTCAGTTCCTTCTCGCTGGTGATCTTTGCCCGGAGCACTGCACCCACATGCATCTCGTATGTCACCCGACCATCCAGCAGATAGACGGCTATGAAGTCATCGGGCTGCTTGCTGCTCGGGGCAAAGATGAGCAGACCATTGGGTCGCTCCGTGCGGAAGGAGATGCCAATGTCGTGGTGGCGTCGCAGCTTCACCGGCAGCGAGTTTATCTCCAGACGCTGCTCCCGCAGACCGTAGAATCGGTAGCCTGCCTCGGCGAAGCCTACATCGAAGTTGGGCTTCTCCGGCAGCTTGCAGCGCTCATCGCTGGGTAGATTTAGCTTGGCCGGTGGCCGAGTGGTTAGAGTCTTTTGCGGCGCTCTGTTCTCCTGTTCCTTGTCCGCATCGAAGTTTAAGGGTGACTGGGTTGTGCTAGTCGTTGTCGTTGTTGGAGGTGTTGTTGTGGTGGTGGTGGTGGTTTGCGTGGTTGTGGTTGTGGTAGGTCTCGTCGGTGCCTCTGTGGTTTCAATAACTGGTGGCAGTGGCAGTGTATCGGGATTTGGCCACGGAGCCTCAACTTCATTGTCCCCACTGGGATAGTAGCTGGGCACCAGACTTGGTTCGTAGGCTGAAAGCAAAAGGAGTTAATATACTAGACATCAAGGGATAACCGAGTCAACCCACCTAGTACATGCGGAGGACAGCCGTTGATATTGCCGTTCTTCTTCTCAGCACTGTTGGCAAAGTTAATGACCTCGTGATTCACGGTCACATCGATGATGCAGCCGACAAAGTAAGCCAAGCTAGCCAACGCGTTTCTGGGCGTTCGATAGTTGTCCGGAAGGCCGGCGAAGAAGATGTCACCGCCCTCCAATATCAGCGGTTCCGGAGATCCAAGTCTAAGGGTTTACAAAAATATTGATTAAAAAAGAGAAAATATTATCAGATTATAGAAGGTATCAACGGATTAGAGTCTTTTAATAGCAATATGCCTTCCCTGAACCCACCTCTTTTGCTCCACATCGTCGACCGAGAGACGCAGTTCATTCTGGGTGTGCTGAACCGTGACCACATGATTCTCGCCATCGTTCAGCACACGATCGTCGATCACCAACTGACTGCCCATGCTGTTGAGCTTCAGCAAGCCATCTTGCAGGCTCAGACCAATAGTCGAACTCTGGTCGTGATTGGTGGCATAGAAGAGGACGCCGTTCGGTTGACTGGTCTTGAAGTGCAGCACCACATGCAGATCGTTGTCCGAGGAAATGTTGTTCATCTTGAGGAAGCCGTACTCGTGCGGCGCATAGGAGACCACAGTGGAGAATTTCGCCGAGCAGCCCTCCTCCACTCCGCCGCCAGTTACGTATTCCGTGAGGTCCACAACTCCCTGATTGATCACCACATTGTCGATGCAGCCATCAAAGTTGGGCTGCAAACTGATCGAGCTGTTCAGACGTCTCGGATGGCCACCAAAGTACAATCTCCTCAGCTTGGGCAACTCCAGGTCGGCCTCCAGTGGAGCATTTGTCATCGAAATCACGATGTCGTCCACCTTGAGAAGACCATTTCGATTCTCCCGCTCCGCCTGCACCTTGTGCCACTGGTTGTCATTGTAGCGATCCTGGCTGCCCGATTGAACACCTCCACCGGGGCCCAAGCTGATGTTGAAGAAGATCGCTCCGTTGATCATCTCGATGCTCATGTAGTGCTTATCCCTGCCGTAGAAGAAGAGCAGTCCGTTGGACGTGTCCTTGTCCGCCTTGAAGTTGAACTGGATGCTGGAGCGGGTCTTGAAGTTCGAGGTGGCGTTCAGCTGGACATATCCGTTGCCCTTGAATCGCAGACCGGTGACCGGCTTCTTCTTCTCGAGCAGCTTGTCCCGCTCCTGGGCGCCTTCGTCGTTGTCGTCGCCATTGACAAAGTTCCACAGACCGACGCTTTCGTCGCCGATCTTCAGATCTTCAATGTCGCCGTTGAACGAGCTAGTGGTCAGGTCAGAGGGTACATTAAATTCCGATATACTCGGATAACCGCCCACAAATAGGCGACTATTCTTGTCCACATGCAGGATATTCTGCGATCCCTCGAGATAACCAGACTTGCTGTGCTCCACCACCTCACCGTTGGGCAATTCCTCCCTGATCGTGAGCTTGGCCTTCGGTCCCATGCGATCCACCACAGCCTGATACCACTGGCCATCGGCCACATACTTTTCGCTGGTGATGCGCTCCGGACCATTGCCCAAATCGATGGTGAGTATGGGATAGCCATTGACGATCTCAACGGCCACAAAGTCATTGTTCTTCTGGGCTGTCTTGTTGTCGTTGCCCAGATAGAGGAGGAATCCGTTGGGATCGGTTGTGCGGAAGTAGGTCGATAGATTGGTTCGGGTGGCCAGCAGCTTGGTCTTCTCCGGCGTCTTCAGTTCGAGGATCGTGCTTGGCTTGAACTTGACGCCCACCTTGATGCTGTTGGCCAGCTGGCGAGCGGCCTCCACCTGGGCCTTCAGACTCTCCACATCCTGACCCAACTGCAGGGCCTGGGTTCCGACTCTCTGCTGCTGCTCCTCGATATCTTCCGCCAGTTCGTTCAGTTTCGAGACGGATCCCTCGACATCGTCCAACTGTTTGTTGGCCTGCGAGATGTCCTTGTTGGTCAAATCCAGATCCCGATTGATGCCCTTCGCCTTCTCCAGCTCCTTTGGTGTCTGCTTACTAACTGGTTCGAGTATTTCCAGGACATTTTTCAGGATCTCCAGGGCGTCACTGGCATTGGCATTCGAGTTCTTCCACATATCCCTCTGGGATTCAGCTGGCAGTTGACCGATCAGTATGTTAATGTCCTTCAGTTGCTGTTCGGTGGCATTGTTCGCGGCGGAGATCTTCTGGACCTTGCCAGCCGATCCGTTTAGACGTGGCTCCAGGTCGTCCTGGACCTTCTGCAGGGATTGGCGGGCGCGCTGGAGAAGATCAGTGGATCCATTATCGGCTACATTGGCTCTGTCCTCAATGCCGTCCGTCATTTCAGTGGCCTTGCCAGCCGCATCGACGGCATCCTGTCCGAATTTCTGGGCCGAGTCCACGGCCTCCACGATTCCCGAGTAGGCGCTGGCCGCCTTGATGGCCGGCTCTGCACTGGCGGTCATATCCGCGTACTGGTCAGCCAGATCCTTTGCCTTGACAGCCAAATGGGCCGCCTTCTGTTCTGCCTGATCGGTAAGAGCAGCTGCCTCCTTGTGCTGATCCTCCCGCAAAGGCAGTTCGTCGTCGACGTTCTTGTTCACAGAAGTGAGATCGGTTAGGGCATCCCTTAGGCTATCCAATTTCTGGTTGATTTGGCTGAGTGTAAGATCCCCGTTGATCAGGTAATCGCCCGCCTCCTTGATGTTCTTCTCCGCCTGCTGCTTTTGCTCCGACACGGTGTCGAACTTGGAGTTGTCAAAGGTCTTCTGGTTGGCCACATTCCTGCGCTCCACATCGGCTGACTTGGCCTGGGATTCCTCGCTCCAGTTGAACAGATCCTCCAGATGATCACTGAATTCCCCAATGTCGTTCTTGAGGGCATTCAGGCTCTTGTTCTGCTCCTTGATGGGCAGCACTAGGGTGTTCACCTCCTCATACAGCTTACGAGCCTTTTCCAGGACCTGTTCATTGGGCGTCAGCTCAATACTGGTTGCGTTGATTTGTCCCAAAATGTGTTGAGCCTGCTCGAGAGCGGCATCAATCTTGGTGCTCGCTGCCGCCTCCAGATTCTTGGAAAGAGCCTCCACCGCGGCAATAGCCTCCCTGGCCTGGTCGGCACTCTTGATCGCCTCGTCATTGGCGACCGTGATGTTAGCCAACGTGGTGCTCGATCGCTGACGGATATCCAAAGCGTTGGCCAGCGTCTGGTTCACCTGCTTGGCGTAGGACTTGGCATCTGCCTCCAGTTCGCTGACGGCCTGCTTGGATGGACTCAGGTCCACGCTGTTCGGGTCGAGTAGCTTAACCTTGGGCTCCAGTTCGTCGGCCAGCTGGTCGTAGAAGTTCAGTTTCTGACTGGTGAAGAAGGCCAATGTAACACTGTTGAAATCAGCCAGAACACCATCGATCTGATAGCGCATTCGATCGGTGACATCCAAGAGGGCGTGGTGACAGTTGTTGCACTCCTGGCAGCCCTCGTCCTTGACCAGCACCCAGCGATTCGGGCAGGCGTCGCATCTGAATGAAAGTAGAGGGTAGAGTGTTAGATAGCAGTATCTTTAGATCCTACATCTCAAGCATGTGTTGATGCACGGGAATGAAAAACAAAAGAGAACGCTACAGTCGGGTTGGTGTCCCGACTATCTAATACCCGTCACTCAGCTAAAAGGAGTGCGAGGAAGATGGATATATACAATTTTGATTGCGCAAAACTTTTTAATGAAAGTTCCGATTTGAAAAATGTCTTCTACATTTCGATAGGTAAAAATATACACAACAAAATTGCATTGCCATTTTAAAATCGTTAGTGGGCGATTGTGGGCGTTAGAGGGGGCGTGGCGCTTGGCTGAAATAAACTTGCGCTGCGTAGGAAGCCCAAGAATATGTGTGGGAAATCTCCACCTTCTAGCTTTTGTAGTTTCCGAGATCTCATCGTTCATACAGACGGACAGACAGACAGACGGACATGGCTAGATCGACTCGGCTAGTGACCCTGATCAAGAATATATATACTTTATGGGGTTGGAAACGCTTCCTTCTAGCTGTTACATACTTTTGCACGAATACAATAAACCTTAAACCCACGGGTATAATGAAAGGAAATGTGGTATTCAAAAAGTACCACGTAATAGTTACCTATCTCCAATGACTCCCGGCAGGCACTGGCACTTGCCCGTGTTGGTATTACAGCCGAATCCTCGCGAGTATCCCTGGTTGCAGTTGCACGGAGTGCATCCATCCTTCTCGTAGTTCCAGTGATCCACGGCACAGCGGTCGCACTGACGTCCCGTCACTCCGGACTTGCAGGCACAGTGCCCAGTGTGCGGATCGCACTGCGTCGAATTGGAAGCGGCACCGCATTCGCAGGCCCGGCAACCGACTCCCGACTCGAATCCATAGTGATCCGGCTTGCAGCGATCGCAGCGTTCGCCGATGACGTTCTCGTTACAGGTGCAAACACCCACGAAAGGATCACATTCCTGGGTGCCCAGATCATCGCAGTCGCAGCTCTGGCAGTTCTTCAGCTTGATGGCGTCGCCATAGAAGCCAGGAGCACACAGATTACAGGCGGCTCCGAAGGTGTTGTTCAAGCAGCGCAGACATTCACCCGTTCGCGTGTCGCACGAACCCTGATCCTCTGGATTGATGTTTCCAGAGCAGTCGCATGGCCGGCACACCTCTCCCATATTCTCTGGCTGTCCGTAGAATCCATTGGCGCAGGATTCGCAACGGGGTCCCGTGTAGCCTGGCTTGCACTCGCAGTGGATTTCGTTACCACTCTCGGAGATCTCACAGCTGGTGGCGAAATTGTTCGAGTCGAAGGGCAGCGGGCAGGCACAGATCATGCAATCGCCAGGCGATCCGTTTGTGGCGTTGCCATAGTAACCCGACACACACTGCTCACAGTGATCACCCTGAGTTCCGTGCAGACAGTTCGTGCAGATGCCGGTGGCACAGTCGCAGGTCTCCGAGTGGCCATTGCACTCGCAGGGAATGCAGTAACCACCGTAGGGTCCGGTGGGATCGCGGTAGTAGCCCGGGGCGCAGTCCTCGCACGAGTGTCCCGAGTAACCGGGCGGGCAGGAGCAATGCTCCACGGCCAGTTTTTGGTACTCGCCATTGCCATCGGCGTCCTCATCGGCCAGCGTTAGGTAAACATCGGCCAAATGGGTCACCAAGGTCTGTTCCCAGTAGTTGGCCCTGATAAAGATCGACTTGAGATCCCGCAGAACCATCATGAAATCAGCTCGGGAAACCGGTTTACCCGAAACAGTTTGGAAATTCGACTCCACAATCTGAATGCGGTTGGTGAACGGTTCATTCCTGTTGGGCTGCTCGTAGCTTTGGTGGACGAGGACATTGTGTTCACTGAACAGAATGACATCCGGAGACACAATATACTTGCCATCAAAGCCAGAGGTGAAATGAAGCGTATAGGCCAAGTCACCGCCGTAAGCTGAAATATGATTGTTCTGGTTGAGCAGATAGTCCAGAACTCCAAAGTATGCGGGACGTTCATCGTTGACCTCTCGCAACGTAAAGTCAGCCTTCAGCGTGGTCTCATTCAGCAGAATCTCCTCCGCCGGAACTGGCCACATTTCGAACTTGATGCTCTCGTCCCGGAACTCCGGTGTACTAATGGACACGTGCCTCAACAGACTGACATTGTAAACCCTGAGGAAGGCACTGTCACATCGCGAGGTCTTGCCAAAGCAGAAACAAGTGGTGCAGCCCTCTGGATTCGAGTCCTGCAGGTTGTACGTTCCATCGACACACTGGTCACAATCCCTGCCCACCGCATTCTTTTTGCAGAAGCAGGTGCCATCGACCTTGTCGCACACCTCCAGTTCGGTTCCCGGTCTGTGGCAACTGCACTCATCGCAGTGCGGGAAGTTCGAGTATCCATGGGTGCACACATCGCAGGCCCTGCCCTCGATATTGTCGCGGCACTCGCAGGTTCCGTTAAACAGATCGCACTGGGTATTTCCGTTGGCGATGCCCATTGGATTGCAGCCACACTCCTCGCAGCCAATAACCTGGTGGATAATAAAAAAATAATATTAAACAAAAAATTTAAAAACTTGACTATTGCACTAATTATAAGTTATTAACTTGTAGCGTTAGAAAAACATTATAAAAAAAAAATTAAAAAAAAAAAAAAATGGTTCATTCTAATTATTAATTAGTAAGGGCTTCGTTAGCTGACTCACCTGGTGGAACCCATAAGTGTTGGGGGCGCACTTCTCGCACAAATCCCCAATGACATTCGGAGGGCACATGCACTCTCCAGTGGTGGGTTCACACATGGCGCTACTGGGACACTCGCAGGGCTTGCAGTCGGGGAATCCGTAGTACCTACTCTTGCAGGCTCCGCACGTGCGCTCAATCACATTCGGCTTGCACTGGCATTGACCTCCAAACGGATGACACTCGAAGCTCGTGGATCCAGAGTAGTCGCAATTGCAGGGCAGAGCTCCGCTGTTGTAGTCCGCGGTCAGGGAGAAAACTGACTTCTTGCAGAAGTCACTGGCATTGTGAGTGATGTGGAAGTGGTCGTGGCCGCAGTTCTGAATGAACTCCTTGGTCTGGTCAAAGGTCTCTTCAACCAGGAGGTCATCATTGTACTGCTTCAAAGGAACCACCACCAGATAGTCCAACCAAATGCTCTGGGGTCGATCGGTCTGAAATATTAGTGAGCTTTACAATTCGTTCTAACTTTAAAAAAATTCCTAAGTCTTACCGTTATTGTAAACTTGAACTCATCCTCAATCTCGAACGAACCCTCTCCGGGTGGACGGATCACTCCCCGGCAGCCGGAACTAGAGGGGCAGTGCTGAATGTCAAACTTGCCATCATACTGATTCTTGCCAGCCGTCAATGTATAGTAAACCTGGTACTTAGGATGGTTCGGCTGGTAGTACTTCACAAGGATCACAAAGAGGTTGGGCTTAGCGGCATCAACCTTTGATCTGAAAATAATAATATTGATTAATAAAACCACATATATTTCATAAGAGAAGCCGACTCACTCAATCACTATTGTTCCCTCATTCGGACTGGCCAAATGGACCAGCTTAACCCGTTCATCGAACGAGGCATATGGAGGCTTGTCTATGGCAATACGATCCTCGTGATCAGTTTCGAACTCAATCTTCTTGGAATCGGGAACTGAACGGAACTTCGGAGTGGCGCACTGCTGATTGTGGATCACACAGACGGGACTCGGGTTGATGTAATCAATGGACCATTCCTCGACGGGAATAGCGGTCACTGAAATAATCGGGAATCGAGATTCATCTTCAAAGTCGGCCTGAAAAAGATGTGAATGTTGTAATTATTAGGTTCCTTAGTTGAATTGATTATTACTCACATAGATGGTGACTGGCTGCAGATCCTCCTTGCTGATATAAAACTCCCTCTCTATACCATCATCGTTTACCGACGTCCGGCAGATGGTGGAGTATAGGCATGGATACAACAGCACGGATGTCTCCGAATCTGGATTGTTCTTCAGCTTCAAGTTAATGTAGAAACTGTTGGGGAAGTTCCTATCGCTGATATAATCAATCACGAAGATATATCGTCCACTGCGGGGCACATCCACGATGTAGTTAAGCTCCTTTTGCAACTCGCTCAACACGGGAATATCGCCCACATGGCTGACAATCTGAAGATGTTCTGGATCGCTGTACACCTCGACGGGATTTGTAGGCTTGTTGTTCTCTCCGATTACAAATGGAGTTCCTGCCGGTTCGAAGACATTAATGGAGGCGTATTTGTAATGGCGGCACAGCTCCATGTTGCCCAGTTCACAGGGATTGGAGATGTGGCGGGTCAGAATTCCAGCTTCGTAGTAAGCAGCGGGCAGGAGAACAAAGTAATCGAGCATCACATTCTTGTTGGCCTTGGTGGTGAAGACATAACGACCCGGATCCATTACAATGGCGGAGGGCTTTACTCCCAGAGGCCCCGCAACGGTCACGAACTGGGGCTCCAAAGTGGGCTGCAGCAATACCTTTACGCTGTTAAGTGAGTAATTAGATTAGTTTTTATTTTACTTAAACAGAAAGTGAGAAAATACTTACTGCTGGTCCACCTCCAGAGGATTATCTGAAGTAACCGAGATGGTGGCGGTTACATTTTCGGCATTGGGATTCACATAGCGCAATACAATGCGGTAGAGCGAGGACTTGAAGACGTTTATCTCGTTGCGCACTTCGTTCTGAATGGCATTGAAGACCACATAGCCCTTGCTGCTGAAACCGGGGAATGCCTGCTCATCGTAATCGTATCGCACCTGAGTGCCCGACGGCAGAGTTCCGTCCTCGTACTCGTATTGGAACTGATGAAGCGTCGGGAAGAAGTGGGTGGTCAAGGGTTGGGTACACGCCAGCCCCGTAATCCTCGGATGGCACTTGCACTGACCGCTGACCTTGTCGCAGACACTCTGCCACGAACCGCCCACATCGCAGCTGCAGTCCTTGCAGCCAAACAACGAGGCACTGTCCAGGTCGAAGGTTCCATCGCGACACTCCTGGCAGCGCCTGCCCTGCGTATGCGGCTTGCAGGGACACTGGCCGGACTTGGAGGTACAGGTGTCCAGGGCGGAAATAGTGCCGTCCGTCCAACAATCACAGGTCTCACATCCGTCAGCATTGCTGGAGTTGAGGTTCCAGTACTGAGGCTTGCACTCATTGCAGATCCTGCCAGTCACTCGCTCCTTACACTTGCACAGCTCGCCCACGGGCACCGAACCGCAGCCGGCGAACTTGCTGATCACTCCCGCCGGATCGCAGTTGCAACCCTCACAGCTAGGGAAGTTGTAGAAGCCCTCCTTGCACGACTCGCACTGCTGTCCGTCAAAGTTGGCCTGACAAAAGCACTGTCCGTCCGAGTTACACGACACTCCCTGGGATCCGTGAGAGTCACAGTTGCAGGCTGCACATAGGTAGATTAATTACATTGAATTAAGAATAACAAGAGAAAACGCTATAATCGAGTCCTCGATTATCACGGGTATCTGATACTCAGCTAAAAAAATGCGAGAGAGATGTACAACTTTGATCGCGCATAACTTTTTAACGAACGGTCCGATTTGAAACATTTCTTCTACATTTCGATAGGTTTTGATAAACACAATAAAACTGCATTTTCTCTTTTCCGAAATAATGAAAGGGGTGGGCACCAGACACCTTTTAAAATCTTTTACGGCGATTGTGGGCGTGGCCCTCGACTGAAACAAACTTGCACTGCGTAGGAATCCGAAGAATATGTGTGGGTAAGCCCAACTTTCTAGATTTTGTAGTTTCCGAGATCTCAGCGTTCATCCGGACGGACAGACAAACAGACGGACAGACAGACGGACAGACAGACGGACCGACAGACGGACAGACATGACTAGATCGACATGGCTAGTGACCCTGATCAAGAATATATTTACTTTATGGGGCCGGAAATTCTTCCTTCTCCCTGTTACATACTTTTGCACGAATACAACATACCCTTCTACTCTAACTGGTATAAAAATGGAGGTAAAGTTCTTATTTTATTTTCGTAGGAGACTCACGTAGACATTCCGGATAATTGTAGTAGCCGGCAGTACAGAGCGTGCACTGCTTTCCGGCAAAGTTGTTGAGGCAGTTGCATTTGCCGGTGTTGTCGCAGGTGATCGCCGAGCTGCCCGTGGTGGAGCAGTTGCAGGGCTTGCAGTCCGGATAGTTGTAGTATCCCGGCAGGCACTGGTCGCATCTGGAGCCACCGAATCCTTCGCGGCAGATGCACTGGCCCGTCTGCTTGCTGCAGATTTCCGACTCCGTACCCTCGTTGTCGCAGTCGCAGTCTATGAGGTGGAAAACAATAACTTTCCGATATTTAAATACAATATTTGGAGGCCTTACATGCGCAGGTGGGGTAGTTGTAGTAGCCATGCTTGCAGCGCTCGCACTTGTCGCCTCCGAAACTGGTCAAACACTTGCACTCGCCGGTGGTCACGTTGCAATCGTTGCCCATCGAGCCGATCTTGTTGCACTCGCAGGCCTTGCATTCGGGGAATCCGTAGTATCCCTCGGCGCACTCCTTACAGTAGTCGCCCGCAAAGTTGATCTTGCACGGACACTTCTGACCGCTCTCCGCCTCGCAGTGATAGCCATTGGTTCCGTTCAGGTTGCACTCGCACTCCCGACAGTTGGGGTAACCGTAGTAGCCGTAGGCACAGGAGTCGCAGGCCGGCGGCTGGAAGGCGGCACGGCACTCACAATTTCCGGTCTCCTCCTCGCAGTGTCCGGTGGAGTAGAAGTAGTCACACTGGCAGGCTAAATTGGGGGGAAAACGATGGTAAATACATGCAAAAACCTAATTAAAGCTACTACTTACGACTGCAGACATCGGTCTCGTTCCAGTATTTGCCCTTGGGTCGATAGTACTTGGGCTTGCACTTGTTGCAGTTAATGCCCACAGTGTTGTGCTGACAATTCTGGCAAACACCACCGCCATCGTAGTGTCCGTGAATGTCCAGGGAGAGGCCTTTGCGGTTCACCTCCTCATCGTACTTGCACTCGTTGCTGTGACCATGACAGTTGCATGCTAGGGAAGAAAATTTAATATTGTCCGCTCAAGAGAGTTTGTCCGCCCAAGGGAATACTCACGTTCGCAGTTGAAGGGTCGGGCATTGGTGTTCTGGCGCCACTTTTTCTGCTCGAATCCTGGGCAGCACTCGTTGCACTGGATGCCGCATGTGTGATGCTGGCAGCGGCAGGCGAGGATGCGCACCGGACTCTTCGGGTCCTTGACGTCACAGGTGTCGGCATGTCCGTTGCACATGCACCTTCCTCCGATCGAGATGTCCTTGATCGAGTAGAAGTAGCGACGCGTCACCGTGGGATCCTGTCGAGCCACGGACATCAGATGTCCCAAAAGATTCTTTGTGCGAAGCAGACGTATCCTGATATTGGTGGCACGTGTCCATTCCTGCAGAACCGTTGAGTTGAAGTAGTTGGTAGAGCTGGGACGTCCGTTCAGCAGCACAACGGGAATCTCTCCGCCCTCCAGCGGCACAATCTTTGAGTATTCGGTGGTACAGATGACGTCGTCGTCGCGGGTAATCGGTTTGTAGGTGTCCTTGCCGAAATACGTTTCACAATCGGCGGGAGTATCGGAGAAGTGCTGCCAAGGGGTCCAGGTTGAGCCATAATCAGTGGACTTCTCCAACGTCCAGAGACCCGGACGAGGGGAGTTGCCCATGCGAATGAACAAGTAGGCCACATGGAATTCCTAAGTGAGGTTAAAAAAAGAACTACAATTTAATATGATTTCTCATTATAAAGATTGTGATGACATTTAAGTAAACCTTTATGGTAAGCTGATATATATAGGTAAAACATTTTCCAGTTTACAAGTCTTTAACTATTGTACGGTGTACTTTTGATCTTCGAAGAAGTATGCACTATCTTAAATAACTAAGGGCCGTTTTCTCGTCCGTTTGTTAAATTTAAAGTGGGGTTAAAGCCTTGAAATCGCATGGGAAGTCAGAGTTTTAACCCTACTTTAAATTAATCAGGCGGACGAGAAAACGGCCCTAAGAATTTTTTCCACATAATTGGAAGCCCCGTCTGGTCTCGAAATTCATTTTGCACAAGCAAATTCATTGAAATTTATTAGTCGAGTGTACACACTACTTATATACAAACTACACCATCACACTGGCAAATGCGAGACGACAACATGAGATCACTGTGCGGGAATTAACTCCAAATGTTCTGCAGTGGACTCGGCCAGTGTTTGTTCGTTTATTTATATTTTCTTGGTTTATGTTTGCTTTTTAATTTGGCTTCAATTGAAAACGAGCCCAGAGATATGGAGATACGTAGATACATGCGTTCCTATCTTATAGTGAGCTCACACATGTTATGTACTCTGATTTGTTTACATTTCGGTGTTTTCTTTAGTTTTACCCATGTGGAAGTTCATGATATTTTTGCATAAACAAAATTTTCTATTCAGCTCTTCGTAAATTATTCAGTAAATATGTATCATACATATGTACTTGAGTTGCAAAGTTTTACAATGTTCAGCAGCCTAAATATAAACCAGAATCTCATATTCAGTTGCATTCTGCGAATTAAGAAAAGTGCAACTAAAGAATTAAAGCCCCCATGGAATGTATATGAGATCATGCTTAGTTGTTGAAATCTTAGCGCAATTGTTCTCGAAATTAACTTTTGGACCTCGTGTGGATTATTCCGTTTCCGTTGCAAGCGAGATAAGAATGTAGGCGAGTCGACCCCCAACTTTTTATAGAACCGTTTCAGACTCGCTGATGATAAGGCTGTAGTTTCTTGCGACTTGGGCTGATTATCAGGCTGCTCCCAATTCGTTTATGTCGCATGCTGGTGCCTTAAGAAATATTACGCCATTATCGCTAAAAAAAATACGAAACAAATCAGAATGAACAGCTCGAAAGAGTCAATGCTCCGTGTCGGTTTCTAAGCAGCTTGTAAGCCGAGACTTCCCATTCAAGACTGTGTGTATGTATACATATCTCTGTATATTATATGTAGGAGCGCTGACATACTGATAACCCACAACTCCAAAGGGGAAGAGGCCAACAACAAATGACCGAGCTCAGCAACATTTTTTTGTTCGTTTCGTCCAGTTTTTGCTGTGTCGACGACGTCGTTGAAATGAAAACCCATTAAAATTGTTTTCAAATTTTACGATCCCATCGCTCGGACCCGAAAACGAGTTGCATCCATCCACACCGTCTCCCTCCTATGCTTTTCTCAGTCACACGGATACCTTTGGTATCTTTTGTGTTCTCTGCTCTGCTGCTTACCTGTTCGAAATCGATGGTCAAATTGACTTCATTGAATTTCATGCCCCTGGACAGCGGAGGACTCTGCCACCAGGCCTGGGTGCCATCGATCGCGTTCTCGGCCGGATGATTCTTCTCCGGGATCGAGGGATCGCAGTAGTCGCAGACCTACAAAAAACCAGAGAACACATGTTAGAAAAAATAAATGGAAAGATCCAAATCGAGTCAAGAGTATTTTTAGAGTCCAATTCGAATGTTCAACACATGTGGGGGAAGTCAAAATGCAGTGCGCACTTGAAAAAATTATGTCTCGAAAACCGAAAGATATATCAAATTTAATAATACTTAAACTCAGATAAAGAAATATTTTTATTTCTCTTATAAGGACTTTACTTGCCAAGTAATATTAGGTTTTGGAATAAATTTAATTATAATAAATTAAGACTTTACTTTAAATTACACATTTTTACTGATATATCTTTAAATTAAATTATTTTAGACAAGAAAATACTATTTCCAATTATTTTGTAATATCATTTTGGTTTTCTCAGTGTGAAATCAAAGATCATCTGACGTTGTGTGTATACTGGAATGATTTTTGGGCGTTGCTGGATGTCGATTATAATTACCTGTCCCTGGATAACCGAGTACTCCACGTGATCGTCCTCCGTGTTGGCTCCTACTAATTTACAATAGAGCTCTGGTCCGTCCGTATCCTGGCCACAAGTGGCCGTGGCTTGAATCTTCCTGCCCGTAGCGAGATTGAAATATGGCGGCGTTAGCTCTGCCTGGCAATAGGAGATCGCCAGGATCAGGAGCAGGACCCCAATGGAGGCCATTCTGAGCCCCATCGCGCCGAGAGTTCAAGCACCCGCGCTGCGATAACGACTGTCCTTCCACGGACCACTTCCGGTTCTATCTCTTTCTTTCCCGGTTCACTCTTATGTACTTCACTTTCTTATCTGCAAGTCACTTTCTTCACTATTCTTTTCGTATTCCTTTGAGGGAGCTCATCCAACCGCACTGGATGGCTCTTCGCGAGCAACTGATGAAACTGCAGCGAGAAGTTTTCCTCGAGACCCCAAAAATGTGAATTTTCGTAGTCGCGCGATCGGCTCTTCTCGGCTGCCGCCTTCGGTTGCTCTCGACTTCGGCATTTTAAATAGCTGGCAGAACGACAATCTTTCCGACTTTGTTTTGCTATCAACATATGTTTACATCCCCTACTCCAGTTTTTTGTTTGTTTGTATAATTCTTTGCCGGCCGGGTCGAAAGATTAGAACTGAAAAACTGTCTGTTGTTAAAGATTACTGTATTTCATTCTTTATTATGTCAGCATCTACTGGCATTCTAGGTCAAAAAACTGACATTGATTTTTTGAATGATTTTCAACGACTATAGTAGATCGCTTGGCCGCTAAGGTCTCCTCAACCAAGAGGTCATAACTGTACTGCTTGAGAGGAACCACCACAAGAAGTCCAACCAAATGCTCTGGGGTCGATCGGTCTGAAATATTAGTGAGTTCACAAGTACAATTCTTCTAACTTTTAAAAAATTCTTAAGTTCTACCGTTATCGTAAACTTCAACTCATCATCAATCTCGAACGAACCCTCTCCGGGTGGACGGATCACTCCCCGGCAGCCGGAACTCGAGGGGCAGTGCTGAATGTCGAACTTGCCATCATACTGATTCTTGCCAGCCGTCAATGTGTAGTACACCTGGTACTTGGGATGGTTCGGTTGGTAGTACTTCACAAGGATAACAAAGAGGTTGGGCCTAGCGGCATCAACCTTTGATCTGGAAATATATATCGATTAATATAACGAAGAAGAAAAGTCAACTCACTCAATCACTATGGATCCTTCATTTGTACTGGCTAATAATTTATGATAGGGCTGAAATATCTCGCCAATTGATCAATCTGGCAGTAGGAAGTCGCCAGGAATATTACAAAAAATGAGCCAATGGAGGTCATTCCGAACGGTGTAGTGCCCATATCTTTTCGTATTTCTGGGAGGGACCTCATCCAACCGCACTCGATGGCTCTTAGCGAGCAACTGATGGAACTGCAGCGAGAAGTTTTCTCGAGACCCCAAAAGTTTCATTTTCGTGGTCGCACGATCGGCTCTTCCCGGCTGCCGACTTCGGTTGCTCTCGTCTTCGGACTTTTATATAGCTGGGAGAACGATAATCTTTCCGTTTTTGTTTTGCTCTTGACATATGTTTACCTCCTCTTCTCCAGCTCTTTGTTGTTTGTCTCATTCGCCGGCCGGCTTGAAACGCGGAATCGGAATCAAACAAAACAAAAAACCGGTTCGATCGGGGAACGTTGTGGATTGGATCAACGAGTCTAATAAATTAAAGTATACTCTAACTTATTTTTTTGTATGGCAACTTTGGAATTACTAAATCTTATATTTCTTTGAATTAAATATTTAACATCATGGAACTATCTTGTTTACAATCAACAATTTGTTAAAATCATTGCATACTTTCTGGCGACCGACATTGAGGGCCGAATTATCGTCCACATGTTAAACTAAAAGTAGGTTTAAGCTGGTTAAATTTAACATCTACAGTTTTATACATTTTCTAGGTATAAAGTCAACTTTTAGATTAACATGTGGACGAGAAAACGGGCCTAGGACGACTTAAACTGTCGTTTTCAACAATGACAATAAATAATTGAGAAACCACGAACAATTGAATTACTTACATTATAATCGTCTTTCGCTGGCTTAGTTGTTCCTCCCGGCCTTTTTGATTTTAATAAAATAAGTTATGTTCATCCATTCGTGCTTCTTGTAATGAGCATTTAAAAACAAACTTATTTAAATGATTTTCCATTAACGCTAAGCTGAAGCCACTTTCCGTTGAACCAGAAGTATTACAATTTATTGAAATAGTTGTTATTTAATGGAAGTACGCCACTAAATCGAAGGTGAGAAACAGCTTAGATCGCTTCCAACCGAATCCGCTGAGGCCTGACCAAAAGAAATAAAAACTAAAGTATCGGGCAAAGCACAACACGCCATAAATTGCAACTCGCAACTTAGTTCAGCCCACGATCGCCGAAAACTTGAAGTTTATTGCTATACCGATTAACAGAGCCAAATGCAGAAACTAGCTACCAGCAGCAACTATTGAAAATCACGATCACAGCTAAATATTGTGCAAAATTCATGACCAAAGCGTCGACTGCGCTGCTTGCGTCGACTTGAACTGCAGTAACTTTTCGATGGGGCTATTTTGATTTCTCGATTTTTGGGCTAACTGTATTTGTTGTACCGAAACTCGTTTTTGCCACCGAGCTTGCAATGACATAAGTAATTGCATTGATAAAGACTGCGGCGAGTGTCAGAGCGGCCGGTTCTTTATTTTTGGCCTCAATTGCCTGCGCCTGCGCAGCAGCTTCTCATGGCTGCATGTAAACGAGTTCTGATGACGTAATTCGCATCGCTCGGTTCTGCGCCTTTTGCCTTATGCCTTATGCAATGCACGCAAATGAACATTGCCGAAAAAATTAATGAAAATATGCGCTTGTAAAAAAATGAGGAAAAAATCTGCAGATTGCAACATCGACAAGAAGTTCTCGATTAAGCTTTACACAGCAGCTGCACAGTGGTCACAAACTACGAAATTCAGATAGATACATTTATAGCTAGCTTTAAAAAAGACATATTTAAAATAAAAGTTTAATTAAAAATGCCATTGCAAAATTCACGATTTTACAAAAAATTTAAAAAATCCTGTTATGTGAATACCATTATAACTCAAAAATATAGCGATTACGTTGTAAACAAAAAATGCTTCCACAGAAGAAAAAATGGTAAAAGATAATTAACAAAAAAGTATCATGGCTAATTGACACCAACGCGCTAAAAATATAATGTAAATAAATATTTCTTAAAAAGAGAATAAACAGCATTGCAGCACCAGCAAAAAGTTCTTGACGCACAGTGGAGAGTAAATCATTATGAAATGGGAAAATTAGAGTTAAAAGCTATGACTTGCACAGTGGGTCAAACTCCGTTGAATATCTTTAGGTAGTCGCGGGCTTTGTGTTCGCTTGGCAAATATTTCAATTTGCCTTGATGTGCTAATTAGCCCATTAAAACCTCACCGCCTCTAGGTGGCACGACCTTTGGCGAACCAATTTGCTCCACTGTGCCATCGCTGCCGACGTCGTCGTCAACGCCGCAGCAGCAGCTGCCGCTCACCAAATGTTTTCACTTATTCGCGATTGCATGCGCGGCTTGACGTTCAATTTGGTTCTAAGTCTCGTCGCGTGTGCATGGACGCAGTTCTTTAAGTTCTCGACTTTATCGCCATGGTGCTGCTGCGAGTGATCAAGTATCTAGTGGGTTAGTGAGTGTGATTTGGCCAGGTGTTGGGCCCGTTATTTCATCACTATCCTCTCCTTTGAAGGCTGCGTGGTGCGCGTCTGCAACGAGTTGTCCCAGAACATGAGTTCGCTCAACAAAATGTTCAAATACCATTTGCTGGAGGTCAGCTAGAGATCCCAGGAACAGGAGACACATGGACTCTGCACAAAAATGTATATATAGATTTTTTTTCCGCCCCTGTCGAGCAAGTTTGTTGCTCAAGTCTTTTGTTATGTGATCCAATAAAACGTATTCCACCCACACAAACACTGCGTTTATAACGGGCTCTGTTGTAGAATGGCAACTCTAACCTTGAGGGGTTTGCGCAACCCTACACAAAAAAAAGTTTCAAGTCACTGCTAATGCTCAAATTTCACATTTTAAGTATACAAAAAAATTAATTCAAATTAATGTCACTAATTTATTAGTTAGTACATTTTTTGTATTATTTAAGAGCCAATTAGGGACCTTTATTTTTAGTGTAGTCAAAAGAAATCCACGGGCAAGCAGCATTCAATTTCAAGTTGATTTCGGGGGCTAATCACTCGTTTGGAACCAAGCCGTTGTTCTAAAGAATTACACGCTAGATTCAAAAATGCTGAGCTTTGGAGTTTCCCCACCAAAAAAGAAATCCCGGCCAGCGCGCTGAAAGTATCACCGGCAAGGTCTCGTTATGACTGATTGTCCAAACACGCCAATATTTACAATTAAAGCCGGCTAAACAATGCCCAAAACAAGTTTGCACAGAAAAAGAAAATAAATATATATAAATAAAACAAAGTGAAAAAAGGCACATAATTAGCATTTGTCAATTCGCGCCTCTCGTGTCGTCACACATAAGCGTCTTAAGAAGGGGCAAAAAAGAAAAAACGAATTTCTCGAATTAAGTAGCGAAAAAATCCCCGACATCATTAGAGGGCTTGGTCGATAGAGACGTCATTCCTTTTACGCTCAACACCTCTGTTCATTCATTAATATGATTAATTTCAGTTCTGGCCGGACAATACCTTTAGCGTATTGACACAAAGTTGGGTCAAGTCCAATGTCCACCACTAGATGGCAGACGTCACTAGTGGAAGTTGGCTTTGGTAGCGGTTTGGTAACAGATGCGTGATTTTATGACGTCTTAATTGGCGTTAACATTTTCCTATAAATATCTCTCTTAACTTTATACCCATATTCACACCTTTTTCATTCGCTAAGAGACGTGTCTGGCGAAAGAGATAAAAACGTGATAGAGGTAGACAGAAAATATGAATTTATAACATAATCGTTCGGACGTAAATCTTGTTCGAATTTGAGAAACTAAGACCTGTTTTAGTTCTTATTAAAACGTTTTGATAAAAAGTCGTGTCCCAATTAAGTCTGTGTAAGAGAGAGTTTGTAAAATAAGTGGTAAATACGCAAATACAAGCTGTAAATTAAATGTTGTGCATTAATTTTAAAAATATAATTAAAATTTTAAAATGTGTAAAATAAGTATTAAAGTTCATAGGATTTTTAAAGTGAATACGTGTTTTCATGTAAATTCAAATCCGATATCTTACGGTTTTTTTTTATTTATTATAAAAAATTCCTATTATTTATAATTTGGTTTTTTAAAAGTCTTGTTTGTTCGTTTACTAAGTTGTAAAGTGATGCATAAATGTATTGAACCTGAAGTGATAACTGTAATGTTTAAAAAATCGTACATATATGAAAAATCAGACTGTGTAAAAAGGGCTTTTAATTGTTGAATAACGGTTAAATTTAATATTATAGAAAAAATCATTCAAACGGTATTTTATCTAAGGTGATTAATACTAAAACATAAATAAAATACAAATAAATAGTTAAAAAAAAAGTGTCATCCTTATTTTAATAAGAAAGAAAACAATATCATCCATATTTAAATTAAAGGCAGAATTAAAAAAAAAATACTTTTGGCAGGCTTAAGTTTTTATATATTTTTAATTTATTTAATATTTATTCATGGATATTTAACATAACATAAAGCTACAACATTTGGCATATGGAATCACGAGACTTGTCTTATAAACTTTGTAGGTAGTGGCGTTAGTCTAGGATATATTTTACTGATCCCGAACGAAGGATCTGCCAAAGTTGATGACACTGCTGACGAAACCGAGCATCGAGGTGATCATAGAGTGGGCGTGCTTTGAGCTCTCCGTGGTTTCACCCTTATTACTTCTGCTGGGTCTGATCACTTCTTTTCGACTTTCCGACGGCGATTCTCCGCTGCCAAAAAGCCTATCAAACCTGAGGATGGGCTTCCTGAACCATTCTCCGCTGATCTCGTTGTTCCTTTCATCATCCTCATCCCGACCGAATCTATCGAAGGGCAAAGCGTTGACTTGAAAGAAAATCCAGTTAGTTGATAACAAGTATTATATCAGAGGTGATTCATTGACTTACTCGTCTGCATGATCAGACAGCCGATAAGGAAGAGCAGAACCATCTTGCTTTCTGAGGTCATTTTGAGTGTACTTTTGGCCAGCAAAACAGATTGATAACTGACTGAATCGAATGCCAGAGAGTTCGGATTTATAGACGCCGCCCCGACGGCGGATGTCATGGCATTCTACGTGATGGAATGGAAAGTAACAATGCGCACGTTTCACCAAAGTAATTGCTTTATTTTACGCTTGTACATTTTTGCCTAAGCTTAGAACTATATAGCCATAACCCTGAAAGTGCCACTGCAAATAGAACACAAATCGATTGCAGTCGGGTCTCTCGTCTAGCCCTTCATATCCGGACTTCGAGGTCTTGGTGTAAACCGATCGTAGGCACTATCCACTTCGGCATCGGCATCTCGTTCATCCGGAACCGGCGGTGTTTGTCGATAGCGCTCCTCGAGTTCCTGCCTCGAAAGTTCCGAACTGGGAATTCCTGCACTCCATCCGATCACTGCAAAATGTTTTTGATTTAGTTATATATTCCCAGAATATATATTAATTTTTATGTAACACTAACCGCAGATAACGAGCAGACATATCAGATAGAACTTTAGCGACGAGCTGCTCATGGCTGTGCCTGGAATGGATTCGATTGATGGGCATTAACTGACAACCGAGTTTCGGATGGGTCCACTTTTTATATATGCACATGGAGCCGGTCGGGAGCTCTCCGCTGATTGGCGCTGGAGGAGGAGGCCAATGGGCTGTGGCGCCGCAGCTGGAGATTATGCAAAGCACCCGCCGTCGAAGACCCAAAAATAACACAAAAAGCGCAAAGAAAAAAAAGCGCCAAAAAAAGATCGTATAAAAGGCTCGAGGCGTCGTTCTGTCTCAGTGAGTGGGAAAAAACGCTGGTGGCTATCGGTTGCCTCCTACCGGTCTTTGACGTAGTCGTTAGTCGTCGTCTTCGTCTGGCACGTGAACGGCCCGTTGCTTATTTATCGTTGATTGATTATTTATTGAAATGCTACCTAATTAATTTACACATTTGTCGTCGTCGTCGATCATCCAAGTCGTCACTCACTCATCCTCCAAAGAAGAGCCAAAGAAGAGCGTCCAGCGTTCGTAGGGCGGCTGGTCGCACAGCCAACCTTCCATGCCGCAATACTCGTTGCTGTAGTCGCTGAATTCTGTAAGTCGAAAGGGTTCCCCTTTATTATTATTAGTTCAATGGGGTATTATAAGACGAGAACAGCTTGGTAACAGACTTATTTGGAGCTCGGAGCTAGTGATTTATATTTGTACTTTTTACAAAAAGAACAAAAATCGTTGAAGATAACATGGGAAATATAAGTGTAATTTTTCGTTCACGATCGGAAAAATCTGCATTTAATATTTTTGATGCTATTAAAAAAGTGTTTATAGAATGTGGATACTTTTAGCTGGAAATATCTTAATCTTATATTTTTCCAATGGAACAATTTTAAATGTTTTAAAATTAGTTTACACATTAATTTATACTTACGTAATTTAGGATCGTGGCAGGCGGCCACTGCCAGGTGACAGCTTGACTTGAATTTTTTTATACAACTTTCATTTTCATCCAAACAACAAACGGCTTGCGATTCGCTTACATTTCCACAAATTGTCACCGAAGGGCATTTTGACTTTGGTGCTCCGCTGGCTATCAGATAGTAAACTTAAAAATAAAACTTTGATATTTTGTTACTTCATTTTAATTAAACTTACTTAAGCTGAAGAACACTATAAACAAAAGCCTCATGTCCAACTAAGTGCCTATTTCTTTTAATTTATTTCTAAGTTGTATTTTTGTATAACAAAATTAAACCATGTCATTACCAATTATGTGGAAATAATTTGTTAAGCGGATATCACTTTTGGATATAAATATATATTTTCAAACTACACTGAAAGCACTTGTCGCCCATATATTATAAGTTCTTTCATTCATCCTCATGACCAAAGAGAATGGTCCAGCGTTCGTATGACTTTTCGCAGAAATAGGGTTCCATTGAGCAATATACCTCGCTATAGTCGGTGAAATCTAAAATTAAATTAATTAACTTCAATGCGCACTTGAATCAAAATAGATTTACTAACTTTTTCCTTCATGACAGGCTGCTATATCCATATGGCACTTGGAGGGATATTTTCGAATACAACCCACCTCCTCATCTAATCCGCAAACAGCACTTGACTCATCCACTTTACCGCAATTTTTTTCTAAGGGGCAGGGCTTTGGCGGAATACTTGCTCCATAAATACAGGCTGTTTTCGGAAGAATCCTCTTTATAAAATAATTTATTTAATATTATATGAATTACTAACCCAAATATAATAGAAAAATCGTTGCTGCCTTCATCGTGATGTTCTTAAACCGTTCGCGGTTAAATGAAAAATCGCAATGCGGCAACCAATTAATATTGCCTTCCACAAAGAGAATTAGATAAAGCTTACAGTCTATCTTATCACAATGTTAAACAATAGAGAACAAACCATTGTGACGAATTTAGCCTTATTAAGAGATAAGATATAAGGCCATTCAAAAATCAAGCACTACAAATTGAATTAGAAGTGCCACTTAACTATTATTTCTTGAATTGATTTAAAAAACAAAGTTGCCCTTACCTTCTTTTAAACACTTTGAGATATTTGTTTATCTTTATATTTATTTATTTAACAACTATCCCTAACGATTTATTGCCTTATGGCCAAAAACAGTTTGGTTTGTGTCTCAACTAACAGCTAAGAAATATTTACTGCATACTTCCAAGGTTAGTCAATCTGGTAGATATAATGGAAGTCTTTTCACGAGGCTTTCGTCTGGCTGCGATACAACTTGGAATAAATGCCATTTTTGGCCAGAAGTTGCGCATGAGTTCCCTGCTCCATTATCTTTCCGGCTTGAATCACACAAATCACATTGGCATTTTGAATAGTGGACAGGCGATGGGCAATTACAATGCACGTTCGACCTGAACACGCCGAGTCTAGAGCTTGCTGAACCACCTAAAAAATTAAAAATAATTAATTTTAATTTTTTAAATAATATATAGAACATTAAAATATATAACTCACTCTTTCACTTTGGAAATCCAGTGCAGAGGTGGCTTCATCTAGCAGCAGGATCTTGGGATTCCTTACCATCGCCCGGGCAATAGCAATCCGTTGTTTTTGTCCGCCGGATAGTTGTGTTCCCTTGGAGCCCAATACAGTATCATATTGAGCGGGTAGGGACATGATGAACTCATGGGCATTGGCCATTTTGGCAGCCTCAATAATTTGCTGCATTGGCACTTGCCGTGTGGTGTCCCCATAGCCAATATTATCGGCAATGGACTTTTCGAAGAGCGAAGGTTCCTGGGACACGATTCCCAACCGACGACGCAGAGTCTTCAGCTCCATATCGTGGTGGATGCTCTCCTGATCGATAAGCTGAAAAAGGAAATATTATAAAATAAAAATGTATTGCTTTGTTACCACCAAGACTTACAATCTTTCCATCATCGGGATCGTAATACCGCATCAGTAGCTGAACGCAGGTGGACTTTCCAGATCCCGAGGCACCCACTAAGGCCACCGTCTGACCCTGTGTTATATCCAGATTAAAGTTTTGCAGGACTTTGATGTGTGGCCTCGAGGGATACGAAAAGTTGAGACCCCGATAGCTAACTCCCTGTTGGACGACATTCGTCTTGTAAGCAGCTCCGTTGCCATTCTGCTGGATCTCGAAGGATTCGGGTGATTGGATCTGTGGCTTGCGATCAATGATCTCGTACATGCGGTTTGCGGAGAGGAGGGCGGCATTAAAGGCAGGTGTAAATGCAAGAGATTGAGCCAGAATGAATAGGCCATACAACATAGTGTTGGATATTCTGAAAAAGAAAGAAATGTTAATATTTGGTAAAGGACATATTATTAAATTTACTCACTTCATAATGGTCTCAAATTTGATATTGCCATCGGCACACATGTGTCCACCATAGGTCAAGGTCACCGCATAGCCAAAGAACATGAGGGATTTACCCAGGGAGTTGACCAGCCCTCGCCACTTTAGACGACTGAGGATCTGCACTCGATATCGCTCCACCTCCTTATCGTATATCTTTATGAGTTCCTCCTCCCGACGAAGTCCTGCCACTGTTCGAATTTGTGTAATGGTCTCCGTGGCTATGCGACTCGTCTCCTCAAGAACGGCCTTCTCTTTCAGAGCTGATTTCTCCCCAAATCGCGCCTCAAATACAATCGAGGCTATCATGAAGGGCGAGGTGCTCAGGCAGATTAGAGCCAATTCCCAGGAGTAGGGAAATGCAATCGAAATACTGCAGATGAAGTTGGTGAATGCCTGAATGATGTTACTCAGGGGAAAACCAATAGCTCCCTGAACACTGGCCGCATCTCCAGAAAGTCGGGCAGAAAGGGCTCCAATGCTGTTCTCCTTGCGATCGAACCATCCCATCTCCTGGTGCATAATGCAACTGAATGTCTTGGAGCTGCAAGGTAAGAGGATTTTCAGGTAAAAATGTAAATTATAAATGATATCCCAACAACCCACCGCATTCGCATGGTTAGCCAGACTCCGGCTAAATTAAAGAAGAAAGTCTGGATGAAACAGACCACGCCAGCTGCAATTCCAATCACCAGGGAGATGATGGCCATACGTGCGCTCTGGTCAAGAACCTCCTCATCCGTGGGTTTGGCCAAGGAACCATATAGCTCCGCTAGGATAATGGAAAACACCGGCATGGTTACGCCATAGAGACCCGCACAAATGGCGCCAATGATGAGGAAACTCCATTCGGGTCGTGCCCAACCCAAAATGCGGAAGAAGGTGCGGAGATAATTTCCAGTTGGACCCGGTTTCCTCTATCTCCTGATTCAGTGTGGGATTGGCCAGACCATTCAGGTTCTTCATCTGGAACTCGGCATTCTTCTCCAGCGACACGATGGAGTTACGCGTGCCCAGTTGGAACTGTTCGGCCTCATAGGACATCTTTCTCTCCTTGCTCTCGGCCACTTCTTCAAGTTCATTTAAAAGTTCCTCGGCGGAATCATCGTAGGAATGCACGGTGACCATTTTGTGATAGAATCCCTCCAGCTTCATCAGCTCCTCGTGGGTGCCCTGCTCCACGGCTTTGCCATTGTCAAAGTAAACAATCCGATGAGCGTGTCTGATGGCCGATAAGCGATGGGACACCACCAAGGTGGTTCTGCCCTTGCAGGCCTTGTCCAGAGCAGCCTGTACCAGCTTCTCGGAATGGTAATCCAATGCCGAGGTGGCCTCATCCAAAAGCAGAATTTTGGGTTGCTGGATCAGAGCTCTGGCGATGGCAATCCGCTGACGCTGACCTCCAGAAAGTTGCACTCCCTTCTCGCTGATGTCTGTATCGTAACCCTAAGAGTAAGGAAAATATTTATTTAAATTTTATTTTAAATATTTATTTTTTATTTTTATTTTAATTTTTTTTTTGAAATTTCAAAATCTTACCTTATGCAAGGCTATGATAAAGTCATGAGCATTGGCTGCCTTGGCAGACTCTTCGACTTCCTTTTGCGTGGCCTCCGGTTTTCCATGACGTATATTCTCCCCAATGGTTCCTTGGAAGAGCACCGGTTCCTGACCCACCACGGCAATATTGGAACGCAGCCAGTTGAGGTTATACTTCCGCACATCCTCACCATCTACTAAAACTTGTCCGAAAACTGGATCATAAAAGCGCTGCAACAGCTGTATGCAGGTGGATTTGCCGCAGCCAGAAGGACCCACCAAGGCCACCGTTTGACCTTCTTCCACGATCACATTAAGACCTCGCAGCACAATAACATCTTCGCGGGCGGGATAACGAAAGAAAACATCGCGAAACTCAACAGTTCCCTTCAGGCCGTTATTGAGAATTTTTCCCGCTTTCGAGAGGGGATCAATCAGGGAAGTCCGATCGATTACCTCCAAAATTGCCGCTGCCGATCCGCGAGCCATGGCGAAAGTCTCGAGAAATGGAGAGGTACGGGATATTTGATTGGCACTTACGATGATGCCCGAAATCACAATCATCACAACCGCCGGTGTGTATTCCCGTTCGTCGATGGGAATACTTGGATCCCGGTAGAAGAGGATCAAATTGGCTCCGTACCAAAAGGAACCCGCTCCAGTGATAAACAACATGGCCTTCATTACCGTGTCGCTTAGTCCCGAGAAGGCTCCTTTCCATTTTCCAGCTCTAAGAGCGGGTTTTAGGAGGGTATCATAACGCACGGACTCTGTTCGTTCTCCTCCAAACGCCACCACAGTCCGGATGGCTCCGATTACTTCTTCAACTACAGAACTGGCCCGCACATAAGAACTTTGCTCCTGACCCGTGAGTTTACCTTGGTACTGTAAAATAAATGGTGAAAATATCAGAATCTTAAAAGATTTTGTTTAAAAATAACACGCTGTTCTTAATTTTTAAGAAACAAATATTTTATTAGTAATACCCTGTGGAAAAAATAAATGACTTTCTTACTTTTAAAAATCTTTAAAATTAAATAATATTCCATAGTTAAAAACAAAAAGAAACCGACACATTTCTAGTTCTATTACGGGAAAATAAACTGAACAAAGTATTAAATAAAATAAAATATCTATATTTTTAAGCATTCTTTTTATCTTGTATAGTTTTTGAAAAGATAGAATTGTTTGTATATTTGAAATGTTTAGAATCGCTCTCTCACAACCATTCATGCGTAAAATTCGCGAAAATATATGTTTTCACTGAGGCTAAGGTAAGTACTGCATCTATTTTGGGAAAACTATTTTCAGACACAAGAAACAAATTATCAAGATCACTGAAAGCTTGTTAGCAAACACATTCGGTTCTTGAAAACGTTTTCTACGGATCACGGAAATGTAAAAATTTGAAAAGAATTTTTAATTGTAATGCATTTGCTTTACTTACATGGGCCACTGCCGAGTTGACCACTAATGTTAGGGGTATATAAAACACGATTGCCAGAGCCAATTTCCAGCCGTAAATAAAGGAGAGAACACAGCTGATTATGACTTCACACATAATTTCCACGTAGTGACCCAGATTCTCGGCTATGCCACTGCGTATTTTCTCCATGTTGCTAAGGGGAAATAGGGTTAATAAATATCTTCACATAGCTTTGAAGTTACTCACTCTGTAATGCGAACGGCAAAGTTTTGATCCTTGGCCATGTCATGCCAGCCGATCTCCTGTCTCAAGGTGGCCTTGAAAAATTCCCTGCGAATGCGGACTGTGAGTTTCAGAGCCAATCTGTTGAAGGCATCCACATAGTAAACTCCTGAGAAAAGCATCAGTAGGGTGTTCAGGGTCATGAGTATGCCGAAGGATACGCTATCCTTGCGCAGCTCCTGCATGTTCTCCTCGTAGGTGGCATTTGTGCTGGAAAAAGATGTAAAAAATTTTCATAAACTCGAGAACCAATTCAAGAACAGAATTATTGTAAAACTAAGTTGTAAACAAAAATTTCCGCTTTACTTTTTTGAGTGCTTTGTTTACAGCGACGTCCTTGAGCATTTGGCATTGTTTTAGCCTTCTTTGTTTTATCGCAAATGTTTTATTTAGTTTTCTCGGAACAATAAAGAAATTTGCGGACCGTGGAGCCAAAAAAGACGTCCGTTCGCTTTGAAAGAGAACGAATAATTGATTCATTCTCTCTCAAAACAACACTTTCTTTCAAAGTCTAAATTTAGGTTTCCTAATGGAATACATTCATGTAGGAAAAACGTCATGAACTTAGCATACATTCTTTTAAAATAAATGCATGTAATTGATTTATGTAAGTTCAGAAAAGTTGACTTGCGGAAGAGTAATTGGAATAAATTAGACTTCAATTTATAGTTGAGAAGGACGAACACTTAACTAGTTCACAACCTTGAGACTTAAAGTTTAATGTTTAATTATAATTAAATGTTTTATGTACAACCTGATACTTACAGTATCTTTCCGCCTCCAAAGAGGGACAAACCGATGGTGACCGAACTGGTTCCCTGGCCGAGAGTTCTGTCGATGAACATGGCCACCAGTTCGCTGTAGACCACAATGGCAATGGGATAGACCAGGGATTGGAGTAGTGCCGCCACGAAGGCGGACAGGAGCAGGACATAGTCCCATCCACCAATGTAACGAAAGAGCTGCGTGTAGCTAATCATTGGCTGGGCCTTCTCCTTGGACTTGCCCTTCTTCTGTTCCTCCGGCGCAGCCTCATCCTCGGGAACATCATCTTGGCGGCTCTCCGTCATCGTCATTACTGCGAACTATCGCCTATACACCAAACTCATTGACCGGCGGGGTCAATTAATAGTTAAGAAAGCGCGCTCCGAGCGAAACCAAAAATCGAAACGCCCGCAGTTCACTTGCACAAAGATGGTCTCGAATGGGTTCTTGGCTCTGGGTAATTAACTCCCTCTCCGACTCTCCGGAGATTGTAGTGCTACGCCAGATGCACTGCCGATGAGGCTGATCTGCCTGGGATCGTATTTAGCTTTAATTGTTTTGCATTCCGCGGTTCCACAAAATCGTTGTTGCCCGGTTTTCTTTTTATTTCGATGCCTTGGCTAGCCGGAGCGAAATGTTCCGCGTCTGTTCCGTTGGGACTGCAGAAAGCGACTGGCGGGTCTGGCGGCTATGGCGTCAGTTTTCAACAAATTCGGTTTCTATTAAAGTTCAAATAGACAGTTCTCTATCGTCTATCGCCCGAGAACCCCTTATGGTCTTTTATTAATATCAATTGAATTGATTTTACTCAAGGCTCACGATGACTGGTGGAAAATCATTGACCATCTTCCCAGCCAGCAAGGTGTGCTCCATCGCTTCATCGCGGAAATAGGTCAGCCAAGTACGCAAATTTGACGTAATTTGCATTCCAGACTGTTAAACTTATGATCTTCCCTGTTTAATTGAGATCTGTTATCATTTAACTGATACGCAAAATCAAGATTGCATGTCATTGACCATGAATACTACCAGCTGGCGTGTGGGTGGTTGGCGTTATAGACATGCCGCCAAGATTGCTCTCTTATCAGCCAGATAAGTTTTGTGGGTGGGATCTTACAACTTATACCTCTAATAATTATAAATTCAGCAAATAGAGTTGCCCAACGTATCCCTTTTGGATAACTTATCTCTAGCAATAATTATAACCATCATTTATGGATAAAAAGTTGTGTTTATTTATTTTTGTTTTGGTGACAAGTGTTTTTTAGTGAGATAAAAAATTGCAAAAAATGTTTTTGATTATATTCAATGATCCTTTTGGGTCTTGTGCAGCTTGGCATAGATTCCGCCCTGGGAAATGAGCTGCATGTGGTTGCCCTGCTCCACCACCTGACCATTTTGGATCACACAGATGACATCTGCATTCTGGACGGTTGACAGACGATGGGCTATGACGATGCAGGTTCGTCCGGAGCAGGCGGAATCCAAGGCCTGCTGGACCAACTGTTCGCTTTGCAAGTCCAGAGCTGAGGTGGCCTCATCCAAGAGCAGGATCTTCGGGTTTCTCACCAGAGCTCGGGCAATGGCGATACGTTGCTTTTGACCACCCGACAATTGAGTGCCTCTGGCTCCCATCCGAGTATCGTAGCCATTGGGCAGGGAAATGATGAAACTATGAGCATTGGCACTCTTGGCTGCGGCAATAATCTCCACCATGGAAACCGATCGACGATTGTCGCCATAGGCTATATTCTCAGCTATCGATCGTTCGAATAGAGTGGGTTCTTGGGAGACTATACCCAGTCTGGTTCTCACACCTTCGAGGGTCAGATCATGTTGAATGTCATCGTGATCTATGTGCTGGTTAAATACACAAAATAGGATTACCTTTTCAAGATTTAAGATCAGATAAATAACTTACTATACTTCCCTCATCGGGATCGTAGTAGCGCTGCAGCAGCTGTACACAAGTGGACTTTCCACACCCCGAATGACCCACCAAGGCCACCGTTTGACCCTTGAGAACCTCGAGATCCAAACCATTGAGAATCTTTGCGTCAGGTCGTGTGGGATATTTGAATTCAATACCGCGATAGCGTACGCCCTCGAAAAGATTTAACTGCTTGGCAAGAGTATTTTTGATAGTACCCATGGGCGATTGAATCTTTGGCTTGCGATCCAGGATCTGAAAGAGGCGATGACCCGCGACCAGAGCAGCGGAGAAGGCAGGGGTGAAGGCTAGGGACTGGGCCAGCATCATGGAGCCATACAGCAAGGTTTCTGAAACCCTAAAATTAAAGTTAATTTAAATTTTAAAAGTTTCTTAAAGAAGGGAGTATTTTTTTGCCATCCTTACTTGATAATATCCTGGAAAGGCAGCTGACCCTCGGACACCAAGACTCCTCCGTAGCAAAGAGCCACGGCATAGGCAAAGAATGCCGATGCCTGCATGGTGGAGTTGAGGACTCCTCGCCATCGCAGCTTTTGGCGGATGAGCACCTCCACTCGCTGGATCTCCTCGGTGTACTCCCGTATAACATCCGCCTCCCTTCTCAAGCCGGCAACAGTGCGTATGTTGGATATTGATTCGGTGGCAATCCGGCAAGCTTCCTCAATCACCTGCTTTTCCCTCACTATAGCCGTGGACATCATCCTGGAAAATGTTTAGGGTTTTACTAAAAGAAGAGCTACTCATACTCATTATCAACCCACTTGGCTTCCAGGATGACGGAACCCACTATAATAGGACAATTTGCCAAGCACAACAGGGCCAGTTTCCAGTTGTAGTACATGGCAACGCTGACACTCGATATAAAGTTGGACAGCGCCTGGATCATTCCACTCAGCGGATATCCGATGGCTCCTTGGACTCCAACTGCCTCGCCGGATAAGCGAGCGGATAGGGCGCCCACCGAGTTATTCTCATCGTCGAACCATCCAACCTCCTGACTCACCATCGCATTGAAGGTCATGGCTCGCATTCTGGTGGTCAGCCAAACGCCTGCGTAGTTGAACAAATAGGTTTGCAGGAAGCAGACCAATCCGGTCAAGAAGGCCAGGCCCAAGCAGGCCCAGGAAAGCACAGCCGTACGACTTAGGGCATCCTTCGGATCCTGTTCGGCCAGAGCTGCGTAGAATTCACCAAAGATGATGGAGAAGGCCGGATACAAACAGCCCACAGCTACGGCGCTTATGGTTCCCAAGATAAGGTAACACCATTCGGGTCGAGCCAGCTTAAGGATCCTTGAGAAAGTGCGGAAAAAGTTGGGTTTTTCTGGCGGAGCTTCGACTATCTTGGCATTTGTTTCCTTCACGAGTGCCTTTATAATGGGTTCGTCAAACTGAACGCTGTTCTTTTGACCTTTCTCAAAGTTCAGGGGACTGGTCTCAAAGGATTTCTCAAACAGAGCCAGGCTTTTTCCTAAAAATCATTTAAGAGATTACTGGAAATATTTAGAATACTAATAGTACTTACTTTTGGTATCCTCAATTTTCTCCTCCTTTTCCACCTCATCGGGCATGTTAATGTCGCCGGCACGAACCATATTGTAATAGGCGCCCTCAAGAGCCATTAGATCATCGTGGGAACCCTCCTCCAAAACTTTACCATCATGGACGAAGACGATCTTATCGGCACCGCGAATGGCTGACAATCGATGGGAGACCACGATGGTTGTACGTCCCTTACTGGCCAAGTCCAAGGCCTGTTGAACCTGCTTTTCGGATTGGTAGTCCAGTGCCGAAGTGGCCTCATCCAGCAGCAGGATTTTGGGGTTCTGAATCAAAGCTCTGGCGATGGCTATGCGTTGCTTTTGACCTCCGGAGAGTTGGGAGCCTCGCTCACCAATCATACTGCGATAGCTCTAGAAAATTTGAGATTGTGTTTTAATTTTTGTGGATTTTATATTATTTTTTGTTCTAACCTCTGGAAGATTTGTGATGAATTCGTGAGCTCCAGCCTGCGTGGCAGCTGCCTCGATCTCTTTTTGTGTGGCTCCTGGTTTTCCATAGCTTATGTTTTGGGCTGTAAATAAAATAAACTTATAAGTTTATAACTAAACACTCTTTAAAGACCCACCTATTGTGCCCAAAAACAGCACTGGCTCCTGACCCACCACTGCAATATTCGATCTTAGCCATTGGATATTGTACTTTCTTATGTCCAAATCGTCCAGGAGCACTGAACCGAAAACAGGATCGTAGAATCTCTGCAGCAACTGGACACAAGTGGACTTTCCACAGCCCGACGAACCGACCAAGGCCACCGTTTGACCCGCTCTTATCTTGATATTTAGACCCCTATGAACTATAATCTCCGGACGGGAGGGATATCGGAAGAAGACGTCCTGGAACTCGACATCGCCACGAAGACCGTAGTTCAAGAGCTTGCCATCTGTGGACAGCGGATCGATCTTGGAGGTCAGATCGATGACCTTGAACAGGCTGGTGGCACAACCACGCGCGGTGGCAAAGGACTCAAGGAATGGTGCCGTTCTGGCTATGTTATCCGCACCCACAATGATGCCAAAGAAGGCCTGAGAATGTTACAAATTTCATTACAATCAAATCACAAGTGAGTACTTTTATAAATCTTACAATCATCAGAATAGCGGGTGTATACTCCTTGTCTTCCTCATAGCGATCATCGATGATCAGATTGACGCCATACCAAAATGCTCCGGCACAGGATAGATACAGCATAGACTTCAAGACAGCATCACTCAAGCCCGAGAAGGCTCCTTTCCATTGACTGGCCTTTCGAGCGGGAACCAAGAAGTTCTCGTAGCGTTGAACCTCGGACTTTTCGCCTCCAAACGAGACCACCGTTCGTATGGCACCCAGAATTTCCTCAGCCAAATTACCAGCTCCTGCATAGGATTCTTGTTCTCGAGCCGTTAACTTCCCTTGAAACTAAAACAAAAACATATAATACAAATTTGAAAATGGATAATCTTATAATAATTAACTAACTAATTGTGATTTTCTCACCTTAGCCACATAGTAATTGAGCAGGATTACCAGAGGTATATACGAACTCACAGCCAAGGTGAGCTTCCAGCCGTAGCCGAATGAAATGGCAACGGTTATGATAAAGCCCACAATTAGGTATACAAAGTGACCCACTTTCTCTGAAATACCATCCCGAATCTTTTCTATATCACTGTGAAATAAACATAGATTTAGATGGCATCTTCTCCAGAAAGATAAATTACCTACTCAACCATGCTTTGAGTAAAATTTTGCTTGCTGGCCAGATCATGCCAAACGATATCCTGACGCATAACTGATGTGAAGAGCTTTATCCGCATCCTTGTGACTTGACGTAGGGCCACCATATTGAAGACATCCACCGAGAAAATGCCCGAGATGAACATTACCACCGAAGCAATGGTCAAGAGGATGCCATACGAAATGGAATCATCGTATAGGGCTTCGCTGTTTTCCTCCCGAGATGCATTCGTTCTGGGATTGTCATTATAAAGAATTAAAAAGCATTTAAAGCATACATGTTCAATTGTATAATAATAAAAATAACTGTTTTTTATTGATACAATATTCAAGAAAAATAATATGAGATTCTTCTTTAGTTTTTTGAGCACTTACAGTGTTTTACCACCTCCAAAAAGTGGCAGGGCATGGACCTTTGAGCTGGTGCCAAACTGCATGGCCCGATCTACCAGCATGGATGTAAACTCGCTGTAGATGATGACCACGGCGGGCAGGGTCAGTGCCTTGATGCAGCACATTATAAAGCCGAAGAACAGCCAGGCGATCTCCCCGTACGTGGAGAATCGGAAGAGTTTCAGGAAACTAATGGGCTCCGTGGGCTCCAGACCCTCCGCCGTGGGCGCCTCCTCCAGGGATTTGCCCTCGCTGGTCGTCGTAATGGAGGCCTCATCGCGCTCCATGATGATGGATAGTCGACACTGACGAAATGACAATTAAGTGGACTCTATTATTTAATGGGCCATCATCGATCCGTGGTCAAGATTTCTTCACTCAGAGCGGGCACAAACTCGAACCAGACCAGACAAAAGGTTAATTCAATTAAGCAACACTTTGCGTCCGCATGCAAGTTTGTTTCTTTGGCCACATAGTTCTCATTGACCCGCGGGGTTAACGAGTAATAGAATATATATTATTGGACACATTCCTGGGCAAATTGAAGCGTACGCTTTTAGGTCACTCGTCCGCAAACTGAAATCAGTTCCTTTCACTGGATCTTCGCCGTGGGATATTCACCTTTCTCAGAGACACTTTTTGATTTATCCTTCAATTTTTCGCACTTGTTGTTACAGATCGAAGATGAATATAGACCGCAGATTGTTACCGCTTGAGCGCCCAAGCGCGACTGACTTCCCATCCTCGATGAGCAGCCATTTAAATTTGCCGCTTACATATATCGCACCGTTGGGGTTCAAATTCTAATTGATCTTTCTCTTGGGGTAGGTTCGAAGAGTCTCGATTGATCAAAAGAAAGAGTGTCAGTGTCATAAATTACTCTCCAGCATCTCTTATATCAACCAAAATAGTTTTAAAGTCTTCTTTGTTAAGTGATTTATTTTATTTCAAAGTATAACTACAAGAAGTTGCCTCTTCATCTGTACAAAGGCCATAGATTCACATTGATTTCCTACATTTCACATACAGGGGATTTTAATTACAAAATATATACTTAGGCACTTATCTATCGGTACTTGTAAAGATACAAAATCTAGCTGGATAACAATCGCATATCACATACTGTGTTGGTTTACAAGTATTTACACTGCCTACACGAGATAGAGATTCTTCATAAAGTTATGCAAAGATTCAAACGCTTAACTAATATGGCAAGTGCCAAAACAATAAGTCAATTTCCTAATCAATATGCTAGTTATATACAATACTCTATACAGTTACAATCGGTTGGTAATATACTTTCTGTATTTACTAGAATTTTGTTGAGCTGAACTTATAAAGTAAGAAGTTTTGGGGTCTAATATCGTTTATATATAGATTACAATTTTCGGAATTCGAATTGATCAATATATTATTTAAAATTTACCAATTTGATTTCCGAAAAACGGAACGAAAATAATACACGGTATGAGATTTCCTGATCTGATACAAAAAGTGATTAAAAGGCTTCTAGGAGGAAATCCTTGAACTAATCAAACTTTTCTATGCTACTGATAATATCATTTTAGTGGTTCCGGGTGACCGCAAGGCCCTTGGGTCTTAAACCTAATTACGTGGCTCGAATTCCGATGGAATATATACCGATCTATTACGGATAAGATCTCAATGTCAGACGTACACCTCTCCGGTTTTTTGTTCCGGCTTGTGTTTCGCCAGCGTCGAGGGTGCCGAAGATCCTCCAGTTCCTCCTCCAGTCTCCAGACCGCCACTCCTCTGTGGCATTGGCATAGTGGCCGAGTTGTCCACCGTATCCGTGTGGCCAACTGATCTCACCGAGGATCGCTGCTGTGGATCCTGCAGATTGAGGCTCAAGTTGAAACTGTTGTTCCGCGAAATGTTTGCATTTCCATTGAGCGGTTTGACGGACAGCAGGGCCGTGGTGGTGATTCCACCATTTCCATTGCTGGAACCACTGTTGCTATATCCATCCTGGACATCGGCCCCAGTCAGTTCCACAATGGAGAGTGCGGATGGGGATCGCTGGATGGACAGGGACACCGGTATGGTGGTGATCACATCGTTGGTATCATAGCCACTGGCCGTTGTCGTGATCGTGGGCAACTGGGCGTTGGCCGTTATGGGCAAGATGCTCAGGGTTCCAGTGGGCATCGTTTCCCCACCGCTACTGGTTACGGTGAAGGGGAACGACAGAGTGGTGATGTTGGTGGCAGCAGGAATACCTAGAAATTAGAAGAGAAGATTAATACTTTAGTAAATTAAAATATATAATAATTTTAATTTTATGCTTTGAATATCCTTTAATTGGATTATCTTATCATCAGAACAATATTGAAGCTCTCAATTATATGTATTCAATTTATTCAATGATTTAGACTTAAGTTTATTTCAAAAAGGTTTTAAATCAATCATATTTAAGTATAACTTTTATATTCATTTAGTTTATTATCTAAAATTTGTTAAATTTACAAACATTTGTTGTATTGTAATTTATTCGTATTAGAGATTTTTGAGCTATATTTCTTTATTTAATAATCGTTTAAAAACAATTTTTTTATTAAAATAAGAACATTTCAGATCGGACTTAACATTTTTTTAAATTAAAAAAAAATAAATTTTTTCAAAATAATGTTTGTTTCAAGGACATTATAAGCATGCTATTTTCAGGATAATTTTACTTACTGTTCGCTGCGAAGCCCTCCTTCATGCTGGCTGCCAGGGCGGCGGTGGCCGGGTGTCCTGGAATCAGAGTGTTATTGGACGATGAGCTATCCATCTCTTTGATGGGCGAGAGCAGCAGCGTGCCCAGCACCTGGCCGCTCTCCTGGTGCAGAAGGGTGTCGGGTGCGTAGGAGGAGGGGTACATGCCCGGTGGTGGTGCGCTGGTGGTGCTCATCTGGTGAGGTGGTGCCATTAGGACCGAGCTCGAGGCTACACAAGGAGTAGGAGGAGTTGTGCGAGTTGTTCAGAAAGTTGCAGTTAGATTGCAGTGCACGAAATGTGGATTCTCACTCACCTGGATTCGTCTGGCCATCCTTGGTTACCTCGGGCGTGGGAATCCGCGGTCTGGTCGTCTTGGCCACATTCACATTTAAGCCATTCAACTTGGAGTCTGTAAATTAAAAGTAATTTAATATCGGAAGCATACTTTTAGGGGTTCGTAATAATAGACGATTTAGTTTGGGTAAGTGAATAAAAGATAAAACGTTTCAATGCAAAATATATTGTTATATTTTTTAAAATTAAAACCAAATATTTTTCATTTACTCACTCTGCTTAATAAGTTGGCGTTGTGCTCTGATCGACTTGCGGTGCACAAATTTCCCGTAGAGACTCGATTTACTTGGCTGCGATCCCGCCTGCTGTTGCTGATGCGCCTGCTGCAGTTGCTGCTGCTGCAGAATGGTCAGTGGCAAGCCGGACTCGGGACTAGAATACACGGAGTTGAGGCGGTTCCTGTTGAAGGGCATTCCGCCGGAGGAATAGGCCGTGGACTGACTCCTCATCGAACCCATTCGAGAGAGCTGACGTACCAGCCAGTTGTTCTTTCGCCGCTCCACCATCGGGGTGTCCACGCTCTCCTGTTTGTCGTAAAATATTATATCAGTATATATCCTTCATCATTTACCACTTAGGGTGATAGTTTTAATACACAACTAATTTTAAAAAGCCCTTTAAAAACCTCAAATGACATACAAACTTCGGTATATTTGATAGCCCTTTAAGTTGAAGTTATTTTCCATAAATAAATTATACTTATAGCAATCATACTTTTCAAAACGCCTGCCAAATGTAAACAATTTTATAGTTAAAACAATAAAACAGTGACAGCCAATGGCTATGAATGCGAATGTTAAGTGAATCTAATACTTTAGTGTTCGTGGAAATGAAGTATAATTTATATTTCCGCTTCTGCTTCAAAATTTGATTTGCGATTTAGAAATAGTGACTCATTCATAAAGAGAAACAATTGAAAATTTTAATTTTTTTAGAGGATTGGCCATTTTTTAAAAAATGTATAATTATTAATTTAATGTTTATATTTAAGAATTAAGAATGAATAAAGACCTCAAAATATGTCTCAAAATCCTCGGAAATTTTTTTTTTATATTTTCATATACTCACATAATCCGCGTAGACATCGTCGCTAAGCATCCGCTTGCCGCCACCGGGCATTATGTTGGCGTACATGGCGTCCTCCTTCTTGACCTTGTACTTCTCGGCGGATCCCTTGGGCTCGTCCTTCCGGTAATGCTCGGAGGCCACCGTGTAGGGCAGATCCTTGGGCACCACGCACTCCCAGTACTGGTCCCTCAGCAGCTCGGGGTGCTCCTCGTGCATCTCGTCCACGATCATGTAGGCAGCCTGAAAGCGGGTTTATCAAAAGTGGATCAGTCGAGGGCTGTTCAAAATCGGAACGTGTTCGCCATTCGCGATTTTCGGGCTATTTTGAGGAGGCACTAAACCCAATTACGTCACAACAATTGAGTTGTGGCCACTGTCCCACATCGAAACAAAAGAAAAAGTGAAATTGTTTACAAGTTTTTAATTATTCCACAACAAAAACCAGCGCACAGCCCACAACAGAAATTTGCAAATAATAAAATAAAAATATAAAAAAACACTCATTTGCTTAATCATTTTGCCGCGCTCTGTTTTCAATTTGCCATTTACGAGCCACCGAGCCAAGAGTCACGTCTGTTCGTGTGGAGTGCAGTGGAAATGGGCCAGAAAAGCTGGCAGAGGTGTTGGCATTAACCCCCTGCTGATAACCGGGCTCAAAAGCGGGCATTTGTGTGCTCTCGACCGCTTGGGATGCATTTCCGAAATCGAGCAAACCCAGTGGTGACCATAAAAACACACACGAAAACAGTCAATGATAAAGCTCTACAAAAGAGGTTTCAATGTTTTCAGTTCGTATGTTTTTTTTTCGTCGTTTTTCTCAGTTTTTGAACAAAAACCTGTTTTCAATTTACTTTTGCTGCTGCTGCTGCTAACTTTTGTAAATAATTGCAAGCGACGGCAGGCCCCAAACACAGATACAAACATACACACACTGCACACATGCAAAGCGAGCTCCAAGCACACACCAACATCGAGTTCCAAAACCCAAGTCCAAAACTTCAATCAGCATCAGCAGCCAAACGGATATAGTCGAATCGAGATGCCCTAATATAATTTTAAATTATGTGCTTCTTTTTTTGGGATTTTGGATTTTACCAGAAATATTCGGGTTTCGAGTTCTGGAAACTAATTTACTTTTTAATTTGAAACCTAAACTGTTAGTAAAGCTAAAAAGTATTCTTGAAAAAAATACTTAACTAAACTTTTAATGTTTTAGAAACATTTGAAAACTTTCCATTAATTATCTTGAACAATAATCTTGCAATATTTCCTGGAATGAGTTGAAAAGATTTTTACAATCAAGAAGAATTATCCCACAATTCAAGACCTTTTTAAATTATGGTAAATCAAGTTTTTCTATATGAATAAATATTTATTTTAATGTAAAATGTATCTTTCTATATTCGATCCTAAACTAAGTCGCAGTAACTAATCTCTGTTAAATTCTAGTTTTATTCAATAGAGAATGAGTGTTATTACATACACTCGCACCTTTTAAAAAAGTTTTTGATTCTTTTTAGGGCACTCAACTATTCGTTATGCCAAAAACCATACTCTCCTCCTGAGTCTTTTGTTTGGCTATGTAGAGAATGCATGTTATTTTTAGCACGTGGCAGACAGACATGTTCTTTTCCTTTCAGCAGCAATCCAAGAAGTAGCTGACTCAAGCGATTATCGCCTCAAGAGCGCAAAAATCTTAACTTACTTAGCACGCTAACCCAATTAGCGAATTCAGATTTTAGCAGTCATAATACTTGGAAACCTATGAAATTATAATTATGGATATTACCCCTCTGACCAGATACGTATAAGTATCTTGCGGATGTGTGCGCGGCTCAAGGTTTGAGATAAACGCTGGGAAGTTCTGCTTTGAAGTGTTTCGAGAGACAGAGACCATCTGTTCCGATCATTGTTCCTAATTCAATTTGGAAATCAGTGAATTTATTTACCACATGCTAAATGAAATTAATTGGGAGTTATACAGGTTTTTGGTGAAATTCAAAGGGGGGATTTTTTTTTCGCATCTCTATCGAAAGATTATTGTTTTATGGTTGTATACATCGCAGAAATGATTGCCACCGCTTATTAAAAATGTTTAACGGATGGCTGGAGTATAGACAATGTGCCACATCGAATTACGTAAAGATCGTGCGAATTATCTGCACTTGTGACTCACCTTGATGTGCCGGTCAATCAGCCAGTTGAGCTCGATATCATCGTCATCTTCGCCAAAGGGATTGATTAGCACCTCGGCCACTTTCAGCCAGCCCACGTAGAAGACAAACTGCAAAGATTAATTGAAAGCTATATTAGCGATATGATCGGATAATTGCATCATAAACAAAAAGAGGATAGACAATTTCAGCAGAACTTGGGAATAATATGAAGGCACGCCAGGGAAAGCCATCCCGCAATTCCATTCACTTTTTGTGGCTTCAAATTATACGGTACGGGCATTAACAGTTAATAATGATAGCTAAACACTTGTCACAGATTTATATCGCGGAGAAACACAAAACACAAACCAGACCAGAGCCCGGCAAAATGCCAATTTATTACGGGGAACGTGACCGCGAATCGTTTACATAAGGCACTTGAAATCTGTACCCAGCTGAGGAGAACCGCAGAAACCAAAACGGAAAACAGCGAAAACACAACTGTTGTAACTGGCCATATCATGATATAGCCATTATATAGTATAAGGTATACAATATATATATAGAGCATCGGCTGGGCATATCGCTAACAAGGTATAGCCATTACATTCGACCACTCAGTTTGGCGGAGAACAGCAAAAACAATTGTGAATAACAAATAACCGCAACAAGTTTTTAAACTTTTACAAAACGTCGAGACGTGCAAATTTGACTCTGATTTATGGTAAATAAGGCGGAACGTGCAAATTAAGATAACTTCTAAAACGTCTTAAATCAAGCGAGAAAAATGACTTCATTAAATGCGTAGCAAATTGGTTTACCTGCAGTACGGTGAAGAGGGGAAAGAACAGATCGGGATCTTCGCGACCGTTTCTATCCAGGACATTGGGCAACATTTGTCGGCCCAAGAGGGCAGCTATGAAATAGGTGTACAGCACCAGGGTTACCACCTGAAAATTAGAATTACAGTGCATAAGATATTAATTTCACTGATTTATATCATAATCAATTTAAATATTTTTCGCAATGATTTTCATAAACTACCGTTTTTACAGATGTTTACCTTTACTATTCTATTTTTATTTATCAATGATATCTAATATTCTTTAAAATATTTCCAGGACTCACCTGAGTGTAGACCAGAGGAACACAGACCGTGTCGTATCCAATAAGACCACCCAAACGTCGACGTATATCCGAAAGTTCCACCAGTATAGTTTGGACAATATGATCCGAGGCGATTAGGCCATCCTTTCTGGCTCGATTTATGATGTTGGTGGCCCAGACCAGGGGCATCCAGTACTTGGACATGGGACTCTTCTGGTTCAGAGCCTCGAAGATTTTCATCTCGGACTCGTGCATCAGACCCGCATCCACAAGATGTTGGGTGGTGGGAAAGCGACGTTTTACTCGAAGGGAAATTCGCTGCAGGGTGATCACATAGGCCAAGACCATATAGCGCATGATATTACGACGCATAAGGCGACCCGTTTCGTTCTATGAATTCAGGTGTTAAATATAGTTAATGGTTTTAAACTATTTAAATATATTCTTACATTCACACCGCCATTTGAATTGGGTATAGCAGCACTTATAAACAGGGCCAACGTATCTGGCCAGGGCAGAAGGCGATATTGCTCCCACCAACGTTTCACCACCAGATTTACATAGAAGCCCAGCACAAAGGACATGGGTATACTTTCACTCTGCTGCCCGAAGTAAAGGCGAATTTTCTTAAAAATGCTGTCAAAAAATAGTATTAATTAACCAAAAGCTTTTCTGGGTAACTTTTACTTACGCCTGCTGACTTTCTGTCAGACCAAATCTGTAGATAACATTTATAGTGTAGTATAAACAGAGATACGCAACTAATTCGCGCCAGATCAATTTGTAAACGCTTCCTCGCCATCTATTAAAAAGGGGAAGGGATTGGAATTAAATAACTTAAAAGGTAGTCAAGGAATTTACGACTTAGTCGATCTCTGCCGACTTTGAACTGTAACTAACTGGTTTTGTTTTATTGAAAATGATTTCCTCATTCAGATCTTTAATCTTGCCCCCTCTTGGTTGCTCATCGTAGATGAGATTATTTTTCGTGCTTAATGGGTCGCCTGTTTTGCAAGATTGTTTTTTTATAGGGGTATTCCAATCTTGCATGTCAGTTCCAATGAATTCTAATGTCCCCAAGTGTGATTTGATACATTATAAAAAATATATGTATAATGATTGGCATAACCGCTTTGAAACTGGTACTACTATACAGGTGGGGTCTTTGTTCTGTTTGTTTTGATCAAGGTTTCGCTTGCCGTCTTCTTAACAAAATTTGGTTTGGTGTGGCATTAACCTATGTTCAAGATTATTAGTCCGAAGTAATTTTAACTATTGGAACTCGAGGCTATCGTCAAATAAACAATATGTTTTAAATAATTTTACATTTTTCTAGCCATAAAATTAACTTGCGCAAGTTTTCAATTAGTGAATCCATTACAGAATGTTTGCCTTATCAACTAAACTTTCGGAGCGTCGGTGTTATAGCCACCAATTTTTTCTTCTTTCTGGTTTGAATGGCAAAAACTGGAACTGTGCAACAGTAACTGGAACTGGAATTGCTATTCTAACTGCCCAGTTACGAGTGACTGCACTTGGGCAACAATTAAAGCGAACTGGGGTTAAAAATAAACACACTCTAAAAACAAAATAACCTGAAACCAGATGTGGCCGAGGGGAGCTGTCAATATGGAGTCTGAATAGAGAAGTTCGGAGTATTGGATGTTAATTGCGTTGGTAAACACTCGAACAGGTGAATGAGTAATGCGGAAAAATCCCCGGAATCGGTACCACTTGGGTGGTGACCCAGATTGTCTAGACTCTGTAGTACTCTGAAGTAAAATCGTATTAAACTTAGGAATATTTAAATATTAAATAAATTTTTCAGCTTTGAAAAATGTAATACTTTTAAAAGGGGTATTTCTTATAGATAATACTCACTTCCAGAGGATCTTCCAGAAGCAGCCGAAGCTGCTTCCATTTGGCACTTCACCAGCATATGAGACCGTCATTGTTTGTTGACGTCCCTCCTTTTTGACTTAGTTTTTTTTGTTAGCCGATCTTGTTTTGTTTACTTAATCACAAACAATTGGGATTTATTGTTATTTTTGCCGGCGCTAGGCCGCTGCCAATACGGAGAAGGCCGAATTGTAGTTGTTGCTTGATTTCGTACGCGAATTTTGTTAATTGTTTTTGTTGTCGCGTCATTGAAAAAGCGTCGCCGTCGGCTGCTTTCCCTCTCACTCACACCCCCGCCGCTCAGGCTGCGACTCCCTGTCTTTCTCGCTCTCTCCAAGCCTCAGTTTTTTAAGCTTTCCTAAAAAATAACAACGAAAAAATATACAGTCTTACTACTTAAGAAGATTAAGTTAAGTATAAATCGTTTAAATATATTTTTTATTTTATTGCATTTTTAAAACATTTTTTGACTAAGATTCTTTTTTTTCAAAATCTTTCACATATTTCTAAAAATGTTTTTTTAATTTATAGGCAATTTTATTAATAGTAATGTATAAATTAAATAAATTCCAAAATAATAATAATTTTTAAAATTAATATTATTAAACTGATCTAATAAATCAATTTATAGAAGCTTGACTGTATCCAAAACAATAGGGGGCAGGAGGTGGGCGGTCACATGCGCCCAGTAAAACTGTAAAGACTAATACGCATGCAATCCATGCAAATATACTGGAGGGCTCGAAAGCTCAACTTAAATTCCGGCACGTATCGAACAGTTTTTCTGTGGTGTTTCTGTTGTTGCTGCTGTTTTCCATTTTGTTATTTTGAATTTATTGTAAATTTAAATGGCTATGCACTTTCAGTTCGGGTGAAAAGCGGTGTTTAGCGCTGAGAACAGAGCTATGGCCATATTTAAATTTGTCACTATTTCAGTGTATATATAATAATATACAATTTGTAAGGTATTTTTTATTTCACTTCACTTTATTACGATCACCTTGTACACACAATTATTATGGGTTCCCTTTTGGGGCCTTTTGCTTTTTTTTTTAAGCACTTAAAGATCATTTTGCGGCCAGGATTTCCCCAAAACTGTAGACGCTCCTCAATGGCAAGGTATCCGGACGACTTGATGTCGGGATTTTTGGATTGTTGTTTACTTTTTTTTCCTCAGAAAACCTTGGGTTGGGCAAAAATTCGGCAGTTTCTCTGTGTATTTTTTGCGGGTGCTTAATTTGCGCCGTCAGCGCCACGAGTCTTTATCGTTTCCCGTTTTCTGTTGATTCGGAGTCTTGATTAATTCCGTTTATGTTGCGTTTCTCCGACGCTATTTTGATTAATCGAACGATTGGCGATCACAGATTTTTTAAAAAGTGTTTTTTAACTTACAGCCCCCAAATACAAATGCGAAGATTTGAAACCTGTTGTATTTGCTCCTTAGCGCTAGTCGGACCTGCAAATATTTGCATAAGCCATAACCAGACGGGGGCAACAGAACGGGTTCTTTATAGGGGGCTCCGAGTTATACAGATTCCAGGGCCCAGGGGACTCCGGCAATTTTCACTTTAGCGCGTTAATTTCGTTTACAAACATAGCAGGTGATCTTCAGGAATGTAAGAGCCAACCGGTTGTGAGACGGGGGTCTAGGCCAAGTTAAGTCACGATGGCTTTTGATTACACGGCTGGAGAAACCACCCACTGCCACTGGGCAACCACTAAGAACTTGCCGATTGTTTAGCAGTTGAGAAACAATTAAAGATAGTCGTGCCTCGCAGATTAGTTATTTATACTGGCTGACGGCTGAAAGTTTCGCAATCTACATGTTCTTTAGAGACAAATAGTAGTCATTGACCCTGCCGGGAGATTTAATCTCAACTGTCCAGCTCTGTGGCAATATATTTTGTGAACAAATAGCCTGTCAGCCTGCGCTGGAGATACGAGGGGCTGCAGCTTCTAGAATAAACACATTGCGTATACGCGATATGAAGTAAGGCAAACGCAAAAGAGCCGACATTGATTGGTGACGAATTTGGGCCAAATATTTTTCACTTTCTTCTGACGTATTTGAACACCGCAATTTGATTACCAAATGAGTCAAGGCATTGGCACTTGAATTCACCTGCCACTTGCACTTTTCCCGTCGTCGCCAGTCGTTCCCAGAATTAACCACTTGAAAGGTGGGAGTTTTTGGGCCTCATTAGCACACAATAAAGCAGATATATCTAGGCATTAAGCCGATTTCTGTTAGCATTGTTAGCGTTCTCCATAAACTCATTAAGTATTATTGAAGCGGATTAAACAGCACTTTTGAGCAGAAATTAACGTGTTTGTAAAGGTATTAAAGATTTATCACCATTGATCTTTTCACGAGGATTTTCAATATATAAAGCTGTTCATTAATCTACATTGATTTATGGCTAGCACTCATATGATGGCTTACAACTTTAATTTATTTGCTAATATATCAAATACTTTGCATTTATCATTCGTGTGCGGATTATACAACCAAGCACCATCAATTACTTTATTACTCCTCTCTTTATAGTTTTTTCTCCACATATACCTATATATATCTTTCTAATTGCTCTTCACTCATTAAGCTTGTTCAATTGAAAAATTGCATCCGAATTTGGCGTGGCCGCACATTCAGTCAATAGAATGCCGACTGAACACCTAAGCGGATCGGATCGGGGCGAAAAAACATAAATAAAAGTAAACTTGACCAGTTGGGAGCTCTGAGCTGGGAGCTTAGTTTACGGAGCCGCCTAGGCCATTTAAAGCTGGAGACACGCGCTGGCGTGCGACGCGTTTACGATTTCAGATACACAGATACAGATACGGATACTCAAGCCACTGGATTCGTGTATCTAATGGTTCGAGCTGGCCATCCAGATCATATGAGTATGGTTTTTTATTCAGTATCTACTTTTAATGGGGGAGTCCCTTTACTTTCGTTACACTTTACACACTTGGATTAAAACTTTTATTTTAGGTACATAAAAAACAGCAGCAGCAACGGAAAACTACATTCAACTCAAATCGTCTGTTTTTGTGTACAAAATTTCAGTCGTTTTGTGTAATATTCGAATGCTGGCTTCAATGGGGTTCCGCACGATCAACTGGCGAGTGTTTCAGCTCGGCTCAGTTCAGTTTAGCTCAGTTAATTTTGCTCCACGTACCGACTGCGCGACGACGGGTTTATCGCTGGACACTTCAAGCTGGAGCTGCAACTGCGATTGCGATGCCGACCGCCGAGCAACCTGACCGCTCGACAAACACAACCAAACTGCGCTCCAGAGTTGGTCGCGAGCGGCTCTTAACTCACTTTTTTCCAGCCCGCACGAAAAAAGTTTAGTTGGCAACAGGTAGACGAGGCGACAGCGAGCGGATCCCACAAAATACTGGGTGCAAGCGTAGTGGTGACCTCAAAGGTGTAGATATAGGCTAAAGGGGGCTTTCAAATTGAATACCTCAAGTTCGACTTCTAACAAAATTTTATAATTTATAGTTAGCATAATATCTAAAATTCCTAAAATACTATTCAAAAGTTTTATTGACGGACTTCGTAGATATAAAATGCGAGTTTTTAGATTTTGGAATAGGAACAATACAATTTATTTTTGTGCGTGTCTATTTTCATTAAATCGATATTTCTTTTATTTAGTGGTTTAGGATAACTATTTGTTGTAATTGTTATTAAATCGAAAGGTTGTAAAAATCCATTTACAATCAATTTACGATCATATAAATGTAGCTACCCCTATTTATCTACGCCTCTGAAACTGTGGAGAATCTGTAGCCTCTCTTTTTTTGGTACTCTCTTCCAGATATATCTGAGAGTTGGCTTCGATGAGATTAATCAGCTGTTTTCGTTTTGGCTTTAAGCCAGAGATCAGCAGAGGCAAAGAGTAGTTTGTCAAGCCAGATTCTTAAAGAGAGCAATTTAGAAACGCCGATGCTATAAACTAATGGATTTGAAATGGTAACCGCAAAATAAATTTTCAGTTTCCATTAAAAACTAAAAAAGGAAAACTGGCAAATAAACTTGACATTTGTTGAAAATTAAATGCAGTTTATCAATTTAACGCTTCAGTTCCGTGGAGTCAACTAAATGTGTCTGTCTGGCAACTCTGCATTTGAATAATTTTATAACCGAAGCATACTTCTGGGCTTTTGTAAATAAATATTTATACACACCTTTACCTTACTAAAATATATTTTAATAAATTAACTAACAAACTAAAAAACAAATAATATTAAAATTAGGAGCTTTTCCTATCAGAGGGTTTCTCAGGACGTCTCGCCTTGTAGCGCAGTCCATGTTCCATGTAGGTGAATGGCGGATTCGGTTGGGTCAAACAGAAGTACAGACCCTTAGCACTTGATGGATAGATGAGTCCAATGTTGATGGTGTTCTTGAAGTTACAGTCGCCCTGTCGGAACTTTGCCCAACTTTCGCACTTGGTAGCTGGGATCATCACACCCTCGATGAGAGCCTATTTAAACAGATGTTGAATTTAAATATTTCAGTTAGCTCATATATTCTTACCTCCATGAACAGAACAAATGGATACATGTGACTACAGATCTTGGACTCGCAGCCGGGTTGAAGTTTCCTCCTCGGGAAGTAGCCAATGCCATTGGGGTAGATATCGATATGACCCAGCGGAACCCTCACCCCGAAAACATCGCCCTCGCCATGCAGCACCACCACCCTTCCGGCCACACTTTGTTTTACCAATATATCGGTGGTGCGACACATGGTCGCGGGATCGATGGCTATCAGTTGACCCACCACCTGTTTGTTTTCCCGGGCAAAAAGTTGGGCACCCAATGCGGCTATATTCGCACCTACCGAATGTCCTGCCAAAGTTATATCCTGCACAGCAATGCCCGCATCCTTGAGGGCCCTGACTAGTTTATAAACGAAATATCCATCAACTGATAAATGGTGTCGCACTGCATAATAAAGTTGAGCCACATCCTTCGCGAAATCCACCACTATGACATTGAGATCCCTCCTGCTGTTCTGCAGCAGAGTCAAATGCTCCTGGACACTAAAATAGCTATCGGCCGTGTGGAAGGCATTCACATAGACGAGGGTCTTACGCTCCGGATTGATATCGAAATCCTTGATCTGAGATATCGACTTGATGGGCAGCTCTACACTCTGATTGGTGATGGTCATCACATGGAGACGGGCATCGCTGGGATTAATGCCCTGAAACAGGGACATGACACCCTCATCCACGGGCGCATCACCTGGTTGGGATATTATTATAAGATCATTTTGATAACTATTTACTAGTTTCCACACTTACAGAAGGCTCTCCATCCGCGGTTTAGTTGCTCGGTGAGCAGCTTTAAATTATGCCTTTGAATACTGTCAATATTCAGGGGTCCTTTAGCCTTATCCTCCTTAACCTCCACTGCCAACGATTGACAGATCAGGCAGACTGCTGCTAAGATCATCTGGGCTGTGCTCTTCTGCATGGTGAATTCTGCTCTCATGTCTGCAGTCGATCATCGGGGCTCTTTTATAGCCCGGTCTTATCGGGCCAAAAGCCCGAGTCAAGCGAAACTCTCTTATCTGGTAGCTGGTTTTCGATTTCGGTTTATTTTAATAGCTGACTGCAGCACGTCTTCTGAAAGGGGCTTCTGTCTGGTCGTTGTCTGCGGTGTTCCGCCCCAAAATCTTCAGCCCCAAAAGTAAGTGGCGGTGCCAGATAAGCCCTCAAATCTGGCCAGACTTCGCAGATTGATTATCACCCCGAAAAAACCAACGTGCCTCAATATGGAAATTCTTGCCAGAGTTTCCCTGGCACTTCACTTCATTCACTTCTTTTTTCCGTCAATTGATTAAGCTTGTTATCTCTATTTTTTTGATGGGTGCTCGAAGACAACTAGGTGCTAAATATTTATTCATTAAAATGTATATTTTGGTTTAAATTGCTTATTTCGCAAGTATAGATAGGGCTGTAAATTTGACTAGAACTCGTCTTGATTGACAAGCGATTCACAATTCAAAATTTACGCTAATGAGGTAGCGGCGGTTGTTGTCTTACTCCTTTTCCAAGCGGAATTTTTCGAGAGTGGCCTTAAAATTAGTTTGCTTAGGTGGTAAAGTTGTGTTTCTCAGGGAGCTTTGCTAGTCCAGGAAAAAATAATCCAATAATCATAAAGAAATAAATCCAAACAAGAACCCAAGATGAACCAAATAACAAGAGCGCTGCGAGTTAAACTTAAATTTTAAACAGTTTATTCGTGTGCGCACACACACTGAAACTAATTCATAAAAATAATAAATAAATTGAGAGGTGTACTAAAAATAAACATTGGTAGTCAGAAATACTTGATGCTCCGATCCGGGGCATCTCTTCACTGGCTTCTGCTCCCCCGCGGCTCCAAATTGGACTAAAATTAGCATTCCGCTCTGTTTGTGTTGTGTGTTTTTTGTTTGGGTTGTGAATGGAATTTAGAACTGGAGACCAGCCTGGACATCGGACATGATGTTGGCCGACTTCTGCAGCTGCTCGACCTCGGTGGGGGTCAGGATCTGCTTGACCACGGAGGTCACTCCGTTGGCGTTCAGGATGCAGGGCAGCGAGAGGAACACATCCTTATCGATGCCGTGTTCGCCCTGTAAAATATTAAATAATTAAAAATATATTTCTCATAATTCAATCTCTAAGAACTTACCAAAACGGAGGTGGAGACGGCAGCCACGCTGCTCGTGTTGCGCAAAATGGCCGAGGCCAAGGAGGCGGTGCTCAGGCCAATGGCCCAGGAGGTGTATCCCTTTAGCTTGATCACCTCGTAGGCGGAGTCCACCACCTGCTTGTGCAGCTCGTTCCACTTCTCTGGATCCTCGCCGGTTCCCAGAGTTGGGTTCAACTCACGCAGACGCACGCCGGCGATGTTGACTCCCGACCAAACGGGCACGGAGCTATCGCCGTGCTCTCCGATAATCCAGCCGTGGCAGGAGGTGGGTGCCACGCCCAGGCGCTGCGACATCAGGAAACGGAAGCGGGACGAGTCCAAGTTGGTGCCACTGCCGATCACACGGTTCTTGGGCAGACCGGACAGCTTCCAGGCCACGTAGGTCATGATGTCCACGGGGTTGGACACCATCAGCAAGATGGTATCGGGACTGTACTGTAAATGGTAATGAATCATTAGTTTTAGTTCTTCAAGAAATATTAAATCAGGAGAAAATACCTCTGAGATTACATCATATAAAACCAAAAATTAAAAAATAAAATTAAGTTTACAGGCAACCGAATGACTTTCTGCAATATTATTGACAAGGTACTTTCGGCTTGCAATTAAAAAAACTTTCTTAGGAAAGTTTCGTAGAACAGCTTTATTATTATGATAATATATGATTTGAAGCAAGAAAAGATTTTTATTAAACATTATAAAAATAACATTAATTTGCTGATTCATCTTCCTTTAATTTAACAAACGTCTTTAGTCTAAAAACATCTTCTAGTATTTATTTCGTTTTAATATAAATCATAGTTGTTTTAAAAAAACTAATTTAGGTTTTCAACTGATTTTTTTTTAAATTAACTGTTACTGGTTATTGGAAGTTTGCTGATCATAAAATTGTTTACTTAACCAATTTTTTTTGCAGTAGGGTTTTAGTTGTTTTGTAGGTAATTTTCATGGTTTTCAAGTGCAACTTTTTGTTTTTTCTGGTTCAACTTACCTCCACCAGCTTGGGGATGATGTTCTTGAGGATGTCGGTGTTGCGCTGCACGAGGGACAGACGGGACTCGCCCTCCTTTTGGCGCACTCCGGCGGTCACGATGCACAGACGCGAGTTGGCCGAGGCGGCGAAATCGGTGCTGGCCGTGATCTGGGGGTTCTTCAGGAAGTTGGAGCCGTGCTGCAGATCCATCAGCTCGCCCTGCAGCTTGTCGTTGCAGACATCGATGAGGCAGACCTCCTTGGAGACGTTCTGAGCCAGGATGCTGAAGGCGCTGGCCATGCCCACCTGGCCGATGCCCACGACGGTGACCTTGTGCCCGGAGCTGGGCAGCACCTCGGCAACCTGGGCCAACAGACTGTCCTTAATGGCGGCCATTGCTAAAAAGGATAACCAAAAAAAATCCCTTTAATATTTTGTAAAGAAATCAAAATTCCCCCTGGGAAATTACCCATTTATTTAGTGCCATCACGTGCCTATGATTTAGTTAAAACATTCACAATTTTTTCGTTTTTGGGAAACTCTCTTCCCCACACAGACACACAGACATACTGCTTAGTTGGCGTTCTTTAACCTTCACGAAGGTCGTATTAATGAGAAAAAAGCGACATCGCCACAACACGCAACCGGACCGAACCGAAAACATTGCCGAAAAAATTAACTTGTGATATTTTTTGCTCTTTTATATAGCAATTCATAGAGCCAACTTGTGATGGCACATGACAATGGCCGTCAATTAGGGTCTTCTTCTTTCCTATAGATAAAATCTAATTAGGCACAAATGGAAGTTTTATCAATGCAAAAATGCGTAAACCTTATGAAATTAATCCCCCTACTCAGCATTAATCGTTTTATTTCTGATTTGGCCAACAGTCAGTGTTACTTCCTCGAAAGTTGGTCATTTCTTATCTTATCAGCAAAGTTTGAGCCATTAAAGCAATTTGATTAATCCTATTATTGCATGTTCCTGATGATTATTAAATCGATTGTAAATTATTTATATATCGGTTCCATCACGATGACGTAGAACAAGCCTTATCGCTTATAGGAAGAGTTTTGGGGGGCCAAAGTTGAGTTTGTTGCTAATGTTTGCAATATTATTTCAGATTAGATTGCTTCAGATTATAAGTGCATATTGAGAGTATTATCAGTGAGAAAATATTTATATAAACATGTGGCACGTTTTTAATTAGAATCTGCTTCAGGTTGAGTGTTTTCCTAGCTTGAATTACGACTGCAGTTATGAGTTCTGAAGAATATGGGTGGGGTACAAAAAAAACCCAAGAGTTCCGATGAGTTCCGCACAAAAAGTCAGGGAAATGTCACAGATATATAAAAACTAGATAATGATTAATGGCGCTTTATTTTCATTGGCCACTAGTAAGTGAGTATAAGTATTGCGAAACTATTGACTTATTGTGTCTGGCTAATATAGAGCACCATAAAAAATTATTGTTTATTGTTGAAAATTCTAGCAACTTAAAAAAGTGGAGAAATATTATTCCTAAACAAAACTCATGATACATATTTAAGAAATGACGAACAACAAATATTTTTCAGTTATCTTTAATTAAGTATACTTAAAACTAATTTTGTGGAAAATTAACAGATATTGAGGTCACAAATTTAATATGAAATTTTACAATTTTTACCCCCACTTGTTGCCAGCTTGGAAAATTTGCCTTACAATTGGGCCTACGATGACCTTCTCTCAAAGTCAAATGCGGTTGTTCCACTTTATTGGGGGGTCCGACGTCACCTCGTCCAAAAATGGGGAAACAGCTGTTCGCGACACGGCGCATGCTCTCAATGAAAACGAAAGTGAAAGCCAATTGTACGCCCAATTGTCACCCCACCCCCTTTCGGAAAAGCCAGGAAATTCCGCCCACCCCACTAACGGTACAAGTGCGGAAGGCCAAGGGCGAGGTTTGGTTTCGAATTCGGTTTTCGGAAACGACCGTTGCACTTGACCCTAGAAAGTTGAATGCACTTTGATGAGGCAGGAAGTTAACGTAAAACCCCAGTAAATTCTTCAAAATTCTAAAATCAGATCCACAATCACTAGAATTATTTTCTATGTGCATGCGAGAATATTTTCTTACTTTTGGATTGGTTTTGTTTTAATTCACTTTGTGTTTCACTGGATTATTTTGGGCGCCTCTGTCTTTTGAGGTCGTCGACGTTCCGTTCACTTTGCGCGTTCGTTGCGAACTGTTTGCACTTCAAGCGGACTGCTTTGGAATTTAGCTGCCGCCGCTGGATTTTGTAGCCTCCGCAGCCGCTTTTGCTCTCACTACCTTTCTCGCTCATTCCTTCAGCGCCAGTACACTGAGATAAAATCATTTGCCTTCTGACACAATAATACAGGACTACAATGATTAGAGATGAAATCTATAATTACAAAAATTAGATATTACAAATTTTAATTTTTAGATTTTATCAATTTTTTTGCGTATTTTAGCTAGCTGTCTGCTTAAAGGGTCTGTTTGTTTTCAGCGATTAACCTAAACTAACAATCCATATCATTTTCGGTTAGATTTAAAAATACATTTTTTTGGCCAAATTTTTGAATTTTGATTTTAAAAAAAGGATTTTCAAAATTAACATTTTTAGGTTTGAACGTCAATCGATTTAGAATATTATTTCGAACTAGATTTGATCTTACACTCAGCATTTTGACAATTTCTTGCATTGTTTTGGACAAAATACAGATAGTTTATGCCAACAGAAATTTTTTGTTTGATTTAATTTTTGTCGCTACCAAAGATTAACTCCAAAATAAATTGATGAAAATATTAAATTTCCAACATTATTA